AAGAGGCCCTCGGTCTTAATGTCATCCAGATGAATGATAAGGAACCTTTTTAAGATTTTAAATTCACGACAATCTCACACTCGAAATATAACTGTTTTCGAAATGCAAGCGTTTCGAGATTTTTATCTAAAAAAAAAAAAATTGGGACGAAAATAATTTTTCTAAAAATCTTGAAAACAAGGAGATTAGGCAATATATATATTTCTTATAATGGGAAAGGGACATGACAGGAGAAAGCAGAGGAAAAATAAAGAAGAGCACATACTTCACACTTGATGAAAAGAAGAAAGTTTCGATTTTGGAAATAATTTAACATTTAAATAATTAAACTACATTAGTATTAGAGTCAAGTGGAGATTCTTTTGTGTTAATTTGATAATTTGGGTCCCATTCGCCACAAAAGTTAAATTTATTAAATAAAAGGAAGACAAAGTTGGAATTGAGAATTAAAAGTTTTTTATATGCATATTTGGTTCACCATCACCAAAAATTTATTTCATGGATCCCACATTATATTTTCCCTTAAATCATCCAAAAGGAAAATCTTTGGCTATTGTAGAGAATCAGATGCAAATAACAGAGAGACAGAAGATCCGAAAATAACCATCATACCACTATCTATCTATGTATAAATGTAATACCTATATAAAACAATATATAAAATTGTATAAGTTACATATTGAATGATTTGGGGTCAGACAAAGGGTAGATGATACACACAAATATACAGGTGCATAGGTTATCATATGGCAGGCGTTTAGGAGACCAGTAACCCTTGTCATAAACTAACACATAATGCTAAAAGTGCTTATTACTTTCTTAACTATAATTAGTACTTAATTATAATGTGTCGTCTGAAATATTTTCACATAAATGAAAAAAACATATTAAAAATGCTTCATATTCCCACAAGAACTAGTTAATTCTTGGAATTATGTTCTATTTATCCTTTGAACTTTTTTTAAAAATTATGTATTTTATGCTAAATTGTACAATAGAATTCCAAAATCAACATGAAAGCATTGTTAAAATAAAATTTATTCTGATACGAATATGTATCATAGTATATAATAAGATGTTGCATTTTATTGCATGTGCGCATGTAAAGGTAAATAAGAAAAGCTGAAATTTACTAGGTAATGGGTTGCTATAAGTCTTTGTGGCATACGACAGGAAGTTTTGTTTAAGGATTGCAGGTGATTTAAAGTACGCATATATTTAACCGTAATAGTAACAATATGTCTTAATTCTTGCATTTAAAGATCTAAAATCCACATGAAATTAACTTAACTAAATTGAAAATGAGGGTAAACAGATGCAAATTAAACAAGCATAAGTTGATTATTTAAGTATGTGATTGTAATTTTGTTGGGATGCAAAATGATATATGACAAGACAAGACAACGGTGTGTCTTATTGCATGTGAAGAGATGTGATGTTGACTTCTGTGACTTGACCTCTCAATCTCTTCCTCTCTCTGTCTCTCTCTGCTCCTCTCTTATTTTTTTCTTCCTACATGTTTTTATACTGATCACTAATTATAATTTTTAAACGAAGCATGCAAAAACTCCATCCCTTATTATTCGTTTTATCGAAAACGTAACAAAAACCAACATGCATAGAATAACAATTGTTACATTATACAATTAATTATTTTCCCTCGTTACTTATTGTCGACGTTAAATTATTATAATATAACGGAGAATTTTGAGTACCATTGACTTGTATAAATCTACGGAAAATAAAATAATCCTTCGCTGTTTAGTTTGATGCCAATCCTTTTTTTGTATAGGTAATAATTACATGAACTTTTTAATCTATCGCATGAGAGGTCTCTTCCTAGTTATTCGGTTGTGCCAAAAAATAGCGGCTTTCAAAATAACGGTACGGCCGCATCGTTAAACAGAACTCCGTTCACTTCAGTTCTATCTCAATGCTCGACACGTGTCATGGTCTCACTATCACCTGACTAGTTTCTGTTACCGGCCTGCCACACACCCCGATTAACTAGAGTGCTTGATAAAACCAATTAATTCAATAAAATAAAATCCAATCAACCAATTGTGTTCTTTTACAAAAAATATATTTGACCTGTCTATATGTATATTTTTTATACATTAATCACGTAAAAGAAAAAAAGAATGTATCATTGTAGGTTATTTAATGATAATTTATAATTAATCTCGAGTTGTCCAGCTACATCAGATTTTCTTTGCAATGACAAGCTGACAACAAACCAAGTCGAATTTTTAGTCGAATTAAAGACAAAAAGCGTTCATGTTCACTGGTTGGATACTTAGCTAAAGCTCTCCTAACTAACAGTAGATTTATGGATTCCTATATGTGTGATTTGGTTGAAATGTGAATAATAATTGTTTTGTAGAAGCACTGACTTCCACATGCCATGAGTAGGTCTATGGCTTAAGTCTCAGTCTCCTTGTCATGCGTCTCTCTCACTCAATGTAAAATGTTCAGTAGTATTAAATGTATAATGATGTGAGGTTGTGAGTCTTTGCATAGATCCAGAGAGTGAGAGACCTTTGGGTTGAACCAAAAGCTCTCACAAAATTCCTTTTGCTTCAGAGTATAGATCAGAGAAGATTGCCATTGAAACTTGGGAGTTGGAGTTAAGAGGTACCTGAAACTTTCTGTTTCTGTGATGACTGTGACCATTGGGCTTTGCTCTCCTCTATCAGCTCTGTTCTCAGGGGTTTTCTTGTCTTTTCAGCATCTTAAAGTATCATTTTTCGTTTACCATTTATTTGTGTTTTTATCATCGCTTACACTTTACACTAAGTGCTCTAATGAAACATCTCTCGGTTTTCATAATTGTATTTTTTTTTTGTCAACTTCTTTTTGTTTCTTATTGGATTTATTTTCTTTCGTATCTTCAACTTCTGGGTTTGACAAGACATATACTTCTCTGATAGGAAATCATAACAAGAAACAAGTACTTGTGTGATTGATTTCTCCGTAACAGTTTTTTCGATCTTTATATCATCATATATGCAAATATATTTTTATAGCTTTCTATGCTTTTTATATGAAAAATGGTCTACTAGACTATGGCCAAACCAAGGACATTACAAAAATATTATGGAAAATCATTTTTGTTAAGGAAAATTTAAGAACATTGTGTAAATAAGTCATTTAGTCCAAACAATAGAAACTGGAAAGGAGAAAACATATTTCCACAAACGTGAAAACAATTAATCTAAATGTGTATTCCCTCTGTTTCTAAAGATGTTGTAAATAATTATTCGGTTTTGATAACTTTGCATCATATGGTTCACGTGTTATAAATATGTTTTTGAATTTTGATCCCATATATATATAACTGTCGATCAATTTAGAATCCAATGTAAAAGAAAACACGCTCCACGGATTTAGAAGAAAAAATAATAATTATAGTATAAGCATTCTTCTTTAATAATAAGGGTTATATATGGTAGATGTTGAAACTTCTGGACACGACAAGAAACTCATTATTTTTCCGTAGGTAAAATCAAATAAAAGAGTCAATGCCTCAATGGTGAAACAAGTTGTCGATAATTAACTCTTTCTCAATCGAGGGGCCAAAGAAAGGTAAAATAATAATGACCCGACAGATGAAATTCGACATGATTTAGTGAGGATTATACCATTAAATTTGGTTGTCACTTTCATAGACTTTTTTCACCAATTTCCAGATTTCTCACTTGACCATTCCATTTTTGGGAATTTCATTATTCTAAAGTTCTACTATCAGTTAAATTAATTACTAATAGCACCTACTGATATTTTTTTATATACTTTCATAGATGCTAAAGTAATCTTCAGTATTGATAAAGAAAGAAGGGAGTAATCAAGAATATCTATCCATGCTCTGAATAATGGGCCATTTTGAATTTACTAGATTGGGCCAATCGGAGTCCATAAAAGCTCATTTACCAGTTGACATTAATATTGAGAGTAATGTAAAAAATGTGAAGGAAAATAGATCGATTCTTATAATAAATTGGCTCATGTCCTCTTCAGTCAACACACTCCTTCAATAGCTCAATTCAGTTTTGATTCGGATTTCCCGGTTTCAAGGTTCGTAGCAAAACAAAATTGAATCGACGTACACAAAATCATGAATTGCATGATAAGAACTGAATAACAATCAAGCTCCACACCATTTTTATTTTTTTTGGACGAATAGAAGATGACTTCCTAACACTTAATCTACCACACCATTATTTCATGTTTCTAATAGAAGCTTTTTTGTTCTATAGTGCATGTTCTTGAAAAGGAAAATATTTGATATAGTACTCTAATTACCCTAACGGCTAACGGCCTAACGTATTTAGCTCGCACATATTTTTCATCTATTCGCAAGTACGTATTAAGGCATTGACATCGCCTAGTTTAATTTGACGACGACTTAATTTCTAGCCTTTAAGAAGATATCTGCACGTACACACTACAACTTTTTTGTTTCACTAGATTAAATTCACATTAACTACCATTTCTCATGTGATAAAAACTCTTCTAAAACAAATAGGAGTACATGGAATGAATTCCTATTTCCTTCCATGGAGCTTTCCTATGCAATCAAAGCTTATCCTAGTGTGCAATCAAAGCTCAACCTAGCGACTCATATCTCCTCGTGTAAGTAAGAAACGCAATACATTACTTTCAGTAAAACTACTTTTCCTGAAAGAGAAATGCAAGTTGCTTGTATATACAGTATATATAACTTAAAAGGTAGATCAATTTAAAATTAACTGCAACCAGTATAACAAGATTGCCTATCCAAGCTTTTGGCTTTTTTCTTGTTCACGGCAAACGTTTTTACGTTGCAAGAAAAACACAACTATCAAAAGACTTCGGAATTAATGAATATGGACGATTCATTATTTATCTGATTATCAGAAACGTAAAAATATCTCATACATACCCATATAAATACTCCTCTCTCTCTCTTTGCTTTCTTCGTCACACAACACCTTTAGTTAAAGCATTCTTTATCGACCAAAATGATGGCACAATCAAATGTTGCTCTCCTCTCCATTCTTCTCATGGCTTCCCTCTCTTCCGTATCCAACGGCTTGACACTCTTTGGCCTACGTATCGACCGAGTTGCCATTCGTGGTACCTTGTTGTGTAGCCTTTACGGAGATCCAAACGCACCGCCTGTCTCTAACGCCATAGTATACTTAGTATGTGGCGACTCAAACTCAACCATCACTCAAGCAGTGACCGATCCGGTCGGTGTATTCTTCATTACGCTCAACGTCTTAGAGACGGTTTTGATTAATCCAGCTCAGTGCATCATCGAAGCGAATTTTCCGACTGCCTCGTGCCAAATCTATCCACCGGACGGCTCAGTCACAGCCACAGTCAATCTGGTCAGCATCGTCATCACGAGTCTCCAAACTATCGCTAACTATGCCTCCAGTACATTTTTCAGCGAAGGTGTATATCGCTAATTACACCGTATGTCGATCGGTGCATTTCTCAACAATAATATGTATGATGCGATCTCGCTTCCTTAATGTGTTGTGTATATATGGGAGGATTTAATGCATGGTCCTCCATTGGCTCCACAATAGCTATAAGCACCTCTCTTGTTTACTTTCCGTGTGTAATTATCTAAAATGATGATTATAATATAAAGAAAGACGTGTTTGGAATACACAATATTGTGATCACATTCTTTTAAGTGCATATACTAACCGATTGGGACATACAATCAAAGTGGGAGTCTTTTCACTTTTTTTGGATTCTATCACCACCATCCAAGTGAATATCAATCCAAGTTTGACCCGCTTCTCTCCAATCCTTGTAATATACAATACATCCATATAATTCTTCAACCCAAGTTAGAAGATTCAAGCTTTTGTGTGTTAAAGAATATGGCGAAATTATTCATAAAGCAAGCGGAGCAGTACGCAGCAGCCCGACCCAGTTACCCGGTCAAACTCTTCCAATTTATCGCATCCAAAACACCTTGCCACGACCTTGCATGGGACGTTGGTGCCGGTAGTGGTCAGGCCTCACGATCGGTAACAATGTTCTTTTACTTCATAACAATTTTTCTTGTTATTAATTTTCAGTGTAAACGCAAAAATTCTGCAAATTCTTCATAACTCAATATTTCGATTTTTAATTCCGATTTCTTGAGGAATAATATTTTCTCTGACTTTTTTTTTTCAGCTTGCCGGAATCTACAATAACGTGATTGCTACCGACACGAGCTCCAAGCAACTTGAGTTTGCTGCGAAGCTTCCCAACGTCCGTTACGAGCTGACTCCACCGACGATGTCTCCGTCGGAGATCGAGCAGCTGGTGGCGCCGGAGTCATCAGTCGATTTAGTCACCGTCGCTCAAGCCCTTCACTGGTTCGAGCTCACGACCTTTTACAGCAACGTGAAACACGTGCTCAAAAAACCAAACGGTGTGATCGCGGCGTGGTGCTACACCAATCCGGAGGTTAACGCCGCGGTCGACGAGGTTTTCCGGCGGTTTTACAATGAGAAACTTGGTCCGTATTGGGATAAAGCGAGGCGGCTTGTGGAGGATGGGTACAGGGGAATTGAGTTTCCGTTCGAGAAGATCATGGATGAGGATGAGTCAACGGAAAGTCAAAGTTTTCCGGTTCGGTTTGTGACGGAGAGAGAAATGGGGATTGAAGAGTATCTGACGTATCTGAGATCGTCTTCGGCGTATCAGACGGCTAAGGAGAAGGGTGTGGAGCTTTTGACGGCGGAGATGGAAGGAGAGTTTGCTGGTTCGTGGAAGGAAGATGGGGAAGAGAAGAAAGCTGTTAGGTTTCCGATCTATTTGTTGATCGGTAGAGTCGGAGATCGTGTCTAAATATTTTGACCTCTCGCTTTGAATTGAGAAACAGAGTTCCAAATAATTTGAAAACTTGATCTATCTCTCACTTGTATGGTCATAAAATAAAACACATTTATCTTTAAATAAAATAACAAAACATGGATTGTACTTTGTGATAAGAAATGGGACCATTAGTGAAATAGTGAAGATGACAACAGCTTAACAGAAGTCGACGTTAAGAGAAACCATGTTTTGTCTGTTTAACAGTTCCAGCTTCCTTGGGGATAGAATCTGTCGATCGATCATTTGTCTTCTTTCTCTCTTATTACCGCACGCGCGACTACACAATGTCTATGTTACTATGTAAGTATGTAGTACTTTTTTTTTTTTACTGACGTAATACTTACTAGTTTTGTTTCCACTTTCCAACTTATTTCGACTTCGTGCCTAGATATGAGTAAGGTAGGTAAAAATCTTTAGCAAAGATTCAAATGTCAAAGTTATTTAAATCAAATTTCTTTGCACAACACTTATAAAAGTTGGTTGTGTTTTTGGGTGATAAAGAGGTTTTTATGTTAGAGCTGGTATGATTTTGGAGTTTTAGTCTGGATTTCTATGTATAACGTGCATATTTATTTGGGTGTGTATCTTTAATGTCAGTGATGGACAACAATGATGAATTTGGGTTTGTTTTGTCGATGTTAGTTCAAAGACAAAATTCTAACGATCGATGATATATAGTGCTTAAAAAGTTTTCGTTATTCTTACTTGTATGATTGTATCAGATACCAATACCAATGCAGCAAACATAAATATATCATCGTTTTAATGATGTTTCGAGGGATGGCTTTTTCTGTCGAGGAAAATTCTAACGCGTTCACAATCTGCAGAATTTGGAAGATATTACAAGCGGCCATTTATACAGATGTGTATTTATGTGCGTGTGAAGACGAACAAACATCCCAAGAACTTTTCAAACTTATCCATATGAAAAGTCATATACCCAATGTCGGCATATTAAGAGGTGCATAAGATATCATTAACTGGAATCTTTTTTATCATCTCAATTAAACTGAAACATAAACATTTGAGAAGAGTTTAGATTAAAAAAAGAAAAAAAAAAAATCTTATGGTAATACATAAGAGTCAAGTACACACTAAGCTTTCAAATTGATAAATCCTATATAAAATACAATGGCCAAAATAAAAATATATTAACGAGAATGAATCATCAACCTCGACCAATAATGAAGTGGTTACCAAATTATCAGCAGTTTTAATTTGTTTATGCATTTCTCTACGGTCCTCACTACTCTCCATGTTCTACAAAAAGATGTTTCTTCCTTAAAGAAACAAAGAAGTCTATGCCTTTTTCCAAGCATAATTCAAAATCCGGAAATCCTTAACCGATAATATAATCTCATTTACCATGGGAATTGGGAAGTACCGTCTCATACAAACTTTTCATAATAGAAGTTAAGCTACTATCAAAACGGTTTCTGCCGTCCGTAACATTAAAATAATCTTAGAAAGCATTTATACTTCCGGCAGGGTTTTGATTCTCAAACACAATCATTCTTCTAGGTGTTTCTTGTAATAAATCTAATGCATTAATAAAGTCTATTTACTAACCAACTAATTAAAAAATCTTGTGCTGGTCCGAATATTCTACGCCTCAATATGTGGTTAGGACTTAAGAAGCGGCGCAATTGCCTTTGATCTCAGGGAAATCCAACTGAGACTCGGCTTTTGTTGTGGATCTTGTGGTGCATGTATCTTTCGTTTACTTCCAATTTAGAGTTCGGCGGAATTTAATACATTATAGTTTAAAGTACAAGCTTATGAAAGGTCAAAAAACATATAAATTCACATTGTATAAAAAGAAGACGATGGGGAGGGTCCATATTCCATGGCCAGAAGTCGAGTGGAGGACAGTTGGTCGACGCACTTGCTTGTGGACATAGTTCCCCAAAAAAGTTTCATTCTTTTTATTTCTTTCGATCTAAACTTTGCATCTTAAATATTATTGATTACTCCAAATATAGCTAGTAAAATGTAGTTAACTCGGTGGTTAAACATACGTAGCTAGATTAGTTGAGAAAATAACAAATGATGTAAATAGAACATTCAACACTGACCAGCATGTATAATGTAGCTGTAATAGTCTTACTAACAAATCACATATTAAAAATAAGCTACGCTGATTAAAGAGTAAGATTGTGAACAAAAATATAACAAGAATGGTATCCTCTGTTTTAAAAAGTTAGCACTGAGGATTGATTGGTCCTAGGTAGCTCTAAATGCAAAGGTTTTCGAACATGTAAACTTTTTCTTTGTAACAAAAAAACATGATGGTTTTAAAGTTGAAGGAGAAGGGAAGAGACATAATAAATGGAAGTGCCAATTTCTCAGTTTGAAATTATTCATCCCTTTCACGATTTGTGAGGTTTTATTAGTGATAAAAAGGAAGAAGAAGATAATGCGTGCTTAGCAGAGACCAAATCTTCGCATCTACACATCTCCATTGTCAGCTCCTTTGTAACCACTATAAACACACCAAATTATAAGAAAATCCAGTTTATTCACATGAAATATAAATATAAGTTATGGCTTGATATATAAAAAAAAACCTACAAGTTAACTCAAAGGTTTCACAACTTCTTTAATTTAAATTAACTTAATTCTCAGTTTTTTAAGACGTTGAAAAATGTAAGGATCGTGCGATTGTTAACAATCTTAAATTCAATACTTTTTTAGAACAATATTTTACTTGGTTTTTCTCAACTATTGCACATTGGTATAGTCATTTATAGAGAGACATCTGATTTTTAAACCGACGGTGAACGGTTTAAGTGGCTTGCCGTCACGAAATTTATAAACCGCCGCAAAAACAGAGATTACACAGTTTTAAAGTATTTTTTGTTTAATTAAAAAAAAAAGAGCATGGCGAATTGGCGATGTCATTATCATCATCAATCAAACATGAATCAATGATGATGATTCATCCATCGCTGGAGCTTGAAGCTCCATCATGCGTGAAAAGTCTTCGAAACAAACAAAACCGTCTCCGTTCCTATCAACCGTCGCTATCATCCGCCGACACTCTTCCACCGTGCACCGCTCGTCTCCGATCGCTCCAAAAACCCTGTGCAGCTCCTCCGCCGATATCCTCCCGTCGCGATCCGCATCGAAAAACTTAAACACCTCTCTCATCTCTTCCGTCTCCACCGACGAACCCTCCCCGGAGGTTCCCGCGACTCGGCTCGCTAGCTCCTCGAGGCTTATACATCCGCCGTCGCTTCCTCCGTCGACTTCTCTGATCATCAGACTCACCTCTTCCTGACTCGGCGGCTCAGGACTCAGCCTGCTTAGCAACGCCTCTAGATCTCCCCTGGAGACAACGCCGTCGTCGTCTCGATCGATCAGCTTAAACGCCTGAATAAGCTCGGAGTAGAAATCGCGATCTCCGGAGAGAACACTGATCGGAGTCGTGGCGGGACCTGGCTTGAGATTGCCGTACGATATTTCGGAGGAAGAGGAAGAAGCGCCGGAGCTGAAGGAAGAAGGCTCAGATCTGGAGACTGAAGCTTTGGATTTGGAGCGGAAGAGACGTTTGGGGCTGAGAGAGAGGAATTTGGAACTGAGACTTCCGGCGAGCTTCATATCGATGATTGAGAGAGAGAGAGAGATTGAATGAGAGAATAAGAGATTTTGGTTGTTACTATGTGTGTTGAGAGGAAGGAGCGGAGAAGGAAGGTATTAAATGGGGAGAGGAAGAGGGAAGCCATGGCAGCTTCCGCGAAGCTTCGTGGAGAGAGTGATTTGGTGTGTTTTGATACTTTTATACGTCCGACATTATTATTTCAATTTCATTCCTTATTTTTCTTCTTTTTAATTTATTTTCGTGGAATCTTTTCATTTATTTTCTACGTTTACTTGATTACATTTATGATTTTGTTACTCATATAGTCCTATCCGATTCATAAATGTATATTTTTATTGCCTTTTATTAAATTTATTTCCGTTTTCGTCGACATACGTTTACCATTTTTAAATATTTCTAAATTATCTACTGGGCAGAAAAAAACAAACATATTAAGGTTGATTTTTCTAATTCGGGGAGCTAATAAACACTTAAAACAGTTGAGCAAAGAAACAAAAATGTGATTGTCTCTGATTACATAGGATGTTGTTTGTGATTGGATTCCGTTCATAATTATGGTCTGACATCGTCACAAGACATGCAGTGGCCAGTGGGTCGTCTGGTCATGACTCATGACCTAATTTTGCTTTGTTTATTTGAAGAGATATTTACATTCAAAGGCACATTTACACTTTATAATAACATCCAAAGACACTTTGTGCTACTAAGGGATTTTGCCCAAAAAAAGAGAGTGTAAAATTCCAGAGCAGCCCTTTTATTAATTCACTTCTCATTCTCTCTCCTCACTTTCTCCCATCGCCTTTTTCATGCTTCCATTTCATTGGTGGTGTCGGCGGACGTTCATGTTTTGATGTTAAATTAATTCATCTTATTTTCTGTTAGGCAAAGAATTGAGATATATTTGAAAATGATATCTTTATTTATGTATGGATGACCATTTGTAGATACACTTGTATGGATAAGAGTATGACTTGTAATATGTGTATATATCAATGCATGAATATGAGTGAGTGGATTTTGGACATCAAATAACGATGCATGTACATACACAACAATTTGACAGAGCCATGTGGACATATTCGTTTGGATATAGAGAACAATTAACTAATCTTAATGCAATAGGTTTATAAGATCTATCAAAATTACTAAGATCACAAAGAAATCCATGACTTCGTGTTCACAAAATCATGTACACACATACATGTCCACATGTAACCATAAGACAGTTCTTAGGGTGGATGTCTTTATGGACGACTTCACATGGATAAGTACAACTCATTAACAAATTTATACTTTGTTTCACACAGACAAGGAAACAACGGAAGGACATAACTTCTTAATTCAGAGAAGAAGTCCCACTTATGCTGCTAGTTGGATAGAAGATTTTGTACAAGATGGAAATATGACGATGTGGACACAACTACATGGACATCTAGATGTGGACATAATCGCAAGTTAATCTAGATTTATCTACTCCAAATTTCAACAAGCTGCTATATTCATTTTCTCCTCATTCCAAGAAAAAAAAACCCAGAAGGATAATTAGACAACGAAAGTTATAAGGGCTAGCAATTCTTTTAGACAGACAAGGAAAAGATTGATTATGTCGTCGAAGGGAACGACTGCAAACTAGAAATAAATACGGTGAGGTAGAGAGGAATAAAAACAATGGTGTAAGAGAATAAAAAAGTAAAGCTGTAATAAAAGAAAAGAAGAAGGGGCTTGTTGGTCAATATAGCACTCCAAAGTCCCTTAGGAGTAAGAAGTACTTATAAGTGTAAAAAAAAAGTTTAAAGTGCCTATATTATATATGTAAGTGACTCTTATTTGAACTGGCGGGGAATTACGAGAATGTTTTTAGAGATTTATTTCCTTTTATTTTTTGATTGAATTACTTTTTTTTGTTATGGTAAACTCATTCGCATTAAAATCTATCAAATTATACAAACATCCCACATGATAACAGATACAATACAAACCTGGAGAAAAGTTTTTTTTAAAAAAAAAATAAACAAAATGATAATGAACAAAAAACATAGCTATGTTACTGTGCTTTTTTCATGTCAACTTAATTAATATTTGCTTAAAAAGCCTATGCTGTGTAATTTCTCGACATTTGCATGAGAGAGGCTTCAAAATAATTATATATATTGGGTTACAATGACATTGACATGACCTTTTTTAGTGCTAAACTTCGGCGTGGCCAAACACGTTGTGTGTCTTCTTTTTGCTAAAGGATTTTTTGGAGCAAAACATTTTTTTGGCAACAAATATTCAACAGTTTCGGCTATGAAAATAGAAAAATCTCTACAAAACGTAAAGACGCACTACTTGGTACGGCCGACTTTGGTCTTAAAAAATAATTTGTGTGTAGAACTGATAACAAAATTTGATACAACCGAATTGTTTAGCTTTATCTCCTTAACATTCGAAGATTTTTAAAAAAAAAAAATGCAGTAATCATCATTCTAGCTAGAATGATACAAAGCAAAATCAACAGTCTTCTTTTTGTTGCCATCTCAGTATCTGAAGAAACTTTTCTAAGGCTAAACATGGAATTAGAGACTTATATTGAAAGTTATGTAACTCCCTTATTTTAATCTCTAGTGTAAACATTTTTGCAAGCTAGTCCTTTATTCAGAAGAGAAACTCTTTTACTTCAAGCTTCTAACCATACAACTCTTGTTTCCTTGAAAATCTAACTGGTTGCTTAATCAACATGTGCGGTTTTGTATTCACGTCCATCTCTAGATAGTTTCTTGAGCTTTTAAACAAATAGAGAAAACATCATCTTTAATTTGGTGATTCGAATTCATCTGCATCACAAGAGTCGGTCGCAACAACAACATGAAAACGACTCACTTGACTTGAGTGCGATATTACTTGTTAACAAAGTAACCGTACGTACATTTGCAATTCCACCTCAACACGCTCTTACAAGAAGGGATGCAATGTAACTTGGGCCCAAATTTTTGTGTAGTTAGGAGTAGTCTTATCCTCGTTCCCAAACAGGTGGAAACACAAATGACATGCCTCCAAGGGCCAAAACAGTAGAACCAACCTTAAACGTCATTCTAAAATGTCAATATCCAAGGAATCACCAACTTATCACCATAATCCCAATCATCACCTCAAATGAATGCACACATTGTCCTGACTCCTGAGCTTGAAGGTGACTTTTCACCAGAGTATGGGCTTTAAACGGGCTTCGGATAAACCATAATGGGTTATGGCACAAATATCAAGATCCAAAATCCCATCCGGAATCTGATCCATATGTTCTGAAAATTATTTTCTCCGCACATATTTTTCTTTTTCTTAAATACTGTAGTAGTTCATATTTAAATATGGAAATTTGTGGCATGGGACTGAACTGATATGGAATATTTCCATAAATATATAAACAACTTGGAAATCATTGTTCTAGTAGTTAAGACCATCCTGCCTTATTCTTCTAGTTGCTTCTAGACGAGTTTTAAAGTCACAGCGTCAAAGACTTTTCAAACCCTAACCAATATAGACTTCTTCCTCAAGTAATTCTCGTAGAGCCCAAGAAACTCCAGCGTCTAAACAAAGTCCCTTTTTCCATGTTCCTCTATATAAAGCAATTAAAGAAACAGAAACACACGAGAAATATTTCTATACACATATTCATAAAGTTGTTTTGAGTTTCGATTTGATTTCAAATATTCGATGTCGGGTCTTCTTCAGTTCAATTTTTTTCCAACCGATTTCTACTATCCGAGGCCAAGTCGAGTAGAAACTGTCGACAAGACCAAACCTTGTTTTCAATCAGTCACGACATACGGATCTAAGAAAGAGAATGCGATTGTCATCAGAGAAAAGAATCAAACCGGTTTGGTTCTTTATGTCAACGGCGAAACAAGACGGTGTTGGCTGCCTGATGCTTTTAAGTCTTACGAGTCTTCTTCTAATGATTGTGACTCAACCAATTAGGCCTTTTCTTTTGTAGTTTCGACTGTTTTGGAATTTTTCACAATAAAATTTTGCTATTGTTATTTATACCTATGTAATGTAATGAACAGAAGCCTGATTTGAACACACTTTTGGAGATGAATTTATTTTGTAGAGATTATAACCTTTTTGTAATTAACAACGTTACATATCAATGATTACCTAACAACAATAATGAAACCAACTCCATGTGGCCATGTGGATTGGAAACGAATCTAATTTTTTCAATGATAGACTGTGACCTCACTATATAATGAATCAATGATAATCTACGAACGAAAGTAAAATCATTGAGATATTGTCTCCCCACCAAATTTACATTCCCATATAACCAAATCCAAACCGAGTCAGAAAAGTCGCAAGACATTCTAGTTTATTTATGAACCGAAGTCACATAAAAACACAAACGAAAGAGAATAGATCATCAGCGATCCATTTTAACAATGCCCACAAATCAATCAAGGTTCTTGTTCCACCGAAACCCTCTCTTGCAATCCAATCAGCAGCTTTGAGCAGAGACTCCGATCAAAAGCAAGCATCCAGGAGACAGCAACAGCATAGAGCAGCAAGACTGCAAAACCAAACCATTTTGTTCATATTCTATCAGTCAGCTTCAAAGTAACCAAAACTTGTACAAGTACTCAAAACAAGTTTAATTTTTGATGCAAGCATGTTCATCCTAAGAAGATGCAGTATGGATGCAAATTCACAGTCTTTAGTGAAGACATTATAGAACAAAAACAAATTATCCAGCATTTCACAATCAATCAGATTATCTACGATGAAAAAGGATCCATTTTTTTTTTTTTTTTTTTTTGGAAACAAGAACCAAAAGACATTCACTTCATAAACATACACACAAAAGTCAAGCTAAAACAGAGGAATATTCTCCCTGTAGGACATGACTTTTTTAAAGAATCTACAGTTGAATATTCGAATACGGAACATAGTCAAATCTGGTGTACATAGATGATCCACACGAAACTCCAGGAAGATAACAAAAATTATTAGCAGAATAAAACAAAAATTAAAAATCGAGTCTTTTTTGGCTTACCATCCTTCTAGAAAACCAGGACTGCTCTTTTGTGGCTGATTATGCTGCTGTGGCGGAGGGTATTGCGGCGCGTACGGAGGAGGATATCCTTGCTGAGGATAGCCTTGTTGAGGATATCCTTGCTGAGGATAGCCCTGCGGTGGGTAGCCTTGCTGCGGCGGATATCCCTGAGGAGGATATCCCTGCTGTGGATAAGCATCCTTTGGGTATCCCTCCGGTGGATAACCTGAATTTTCCCGATTATAAAACATGCAATCGATTTATCAGATCAACAAGATCAAAAGCAATTTAAACAAAACCAAAATTCAGCACCAGATCTAAGTTGAGTGATACGGAATCGAAGCTTGAAAAAATCGAAATTGAAAACAGAGAAATTGCGAGAAACAAACCTTGAGGAGGAGGAACACCGACGGGAGGTTGATTGTACTGACTCATGATAATCTCTGGAGAAACGTGAAGCTCGAGAACGACGTAGAGGAAAGGAGGAGATTACAGTTAGATCCAGAAAGTGAGAGAAGTTATAAGCGATAGAGATTGGGTAGAGAAAGAGAAGGAGAAGGAAACGAGGAGAGTGTTTTAAGTAAAACGCGTTTTTGCAGTTACATTTATGTTAATCTCTCTTTTAGCTTTTTATCCAAAAAAAGTCATTATCGTTCATTACGATGAATGCAACCGCCAATTATAAGAAGTTTCTTTTTTATTAAACCAACAAGATTTACGCGGTTTCTGGCCTCTTTGCATGATGATGTAATTCTGTTTGTTTTTCAAATACACAATTCAATAAGAAACATTCTCATTGGTTGCTTATCTTGTTCTATGTTCTGACTTCTCTGAATGAAGATCTAGTGATGCTGAAAATTTATGTCTCAAGTTAATACAGTACCTCATTGATTCTTTGAGTTCAACAATTAATACTTTATCATGAACTTTGATGGCATGATAATTAATTATGTACATGAGAAATATTAAATTTTAATGGCATTGATGATTAATTGTACATTATATATACATGCTTCCATAGTTTGAAGTGTTTGATTTTATTTTCTTGTAGTTAGTAACACGACATGGCATTTAAGTTTGAGAAAACAAAGAGAGACATTTTTGACATAAGAGATACTCTTGTACTGTAGACCAAATTATTTAGCCAAGCAAAAAGTGCACCAAATTGTAAACACGGGCCTTCATGTCTTCCAATGTTATAGTCAATACACCCTGATAACTCAAATGTCAGCATCAAGGTCACACTTTATTCAAATCCGACACAAAGAAGCTTTAGATAAAAAAACAAAACAAGAAACACTTTTTAGCTAACAAAATGTGAAACTTATAATGGCCTGTACTTGTTCTTATCATTGAGCAATGAGCTACTTCATCTACTTGCCTTGCCACTGCTCACTAGAAACTGAGTGTAAGTGGTTGATGAAGATAATTATTCGTCTGTTTGAAAAGGTGATTTTATCTCCAAACCAATCCTTTTTTATACAGAAACAATGAAAAAGAAAGCAACATCTTCATTTCAGTTCTATTGATACCATCTATGGTCATTTTGATCATCCTAGTTGTTCACTTGTTCTAGAGCTTAGCTAGCTCAGTTCGTTGATTACTTTTTACGATCCATAGGCGAGTTAGGCCCATTAAGTTGTAAAAGGGCCTATATTGGATTAGTTTTCCAACCTTATCCTCTTCCGACCGAATTTAAGATATTTTTTTTAAAAAAGCGGAACAATAATTTAAAGTCTATACGAGTCGACAACTGATTGGATCAAAAAAAGGAAGTCAAGGAAAGCCAACAGTAACGCGTATACACGTGGACGGTGGATTACTCAAAACCACGTTCGGCCTGGGTCCAGACCTACCCACTTGTCTCTCACGTATAATGCTGCCTCGGCACAACGAACCTAAGGCTCGGCTCCAAGCCTCGCTTTATATAACTAGCACTTCTTCTCCTGATCATCTCGCATCGTGTTTGATCCTAATCCATTTCGCTTTCGTCAAGAAAAGAAAAATCAACTTGAGCAGCCAGTTGCAGATATTTTCTCAGGCTAAGGTAAAGATCTGGTGTTTTCTCGTCGTCTTGTGCTCGATCAATTCTCTCAATCCGATGATCCGTTGGTTTCTCTGAGCTTTTGATTTCGTAGTTGGTGGATTTTTTGAATAGTTGAGGTTTAGTTTCCGTTAAAGTTTTTTTCAAATGAAGTGATTAAACTACATCTTCTGGTTTTGCGATCTGTGTGGTGATCGCCGATCTAGCTTTTAGTCCTCAGATTATCCAACTTCATATGATCTTCATCGTGCCGGATTGATTCGTAGTATTGGGCTGTTTGGTTGATTTGATTGCTTCGTTTTACAGATCTGGAAATTTGATTGAGATCTGATGTTTTCAATCCAATTTGTCTGTGTGCAGAGAATTAGAGTATGGCGATGGTATCAGGAAGACGTTCTACACTAAACCCAAACGCGCCGCTTTTTGTGCCGGCGGCAGTACGACAAGTGGAGGATTTCTCACCGGAATGGTGGCAGTTGGTGACGACCTCGACTTGGTACCATGACTACTGGATCAGCCAGCACCAAGGACCAGATGGTTTCTACGACAACGGAGATAGTTTCAACGGTGGAGCCGACGTCGACGTAGCTGATTTACTTCCGGAGTCGTTCGATTTCGATGACATGGAAGATTTCTTCGACGCTGATGCTTCTGAGTTTGATCATGGACAAATCTACCACGCTCCTTCCGACTTTGGTAAGTCGATTTGACTCCCAATCAAACAATCGAGTTGAGATCAACAGAATTGGAGATTGATTATATTCTATGTATAATCTCAGGTTTGGGAAAGAATGGTGAGATGGTTAGGAAATCGACTGGGAACAGGAGCCCTAAATCGGTGGGAGATCCGGCGAAGTATGCGGAGAAGCCGGCGAAATGGGGAAACCAGAGGACTGCTGCTGCTCCCAGAAACATCCACCAGCCTCGTTGAAGAAGGAGATTGGTTTGTTGATAACTAGTCAGTCAGAGCCTTTGTATCTTTTAGCATCTCTGTACTTTTGTAATTTTAGTAATTCCTCTTCCACCAAAAACAAAAAATCTGTAACTTTGTACCTTTTATGATGTTCATTCTCAACTTGTTGTTATCACAAAAATGTAAAAAACATAAAAAAAAAAAAAACTGTAAACTTTGAAGAGAAATGAGAAGTAGCGTTTATTTCCATTAAAATTTCATCTCTCTCTCAACTCGAAGTCTGATTGATTCATTTGACTGAAGAGGCAAAGTACTTTTCTATATTGAGAAGCAGTTGGGTTAACTGCAATTCGGTGATGGATTCAAGAAGAAGTTGCATCAGTGTTGCTTTCGCTTTAAGACTAAGAGAAGGCCTAACGTATCTCAGATCAGATATTCTGTTCTCTGCAGACTACAAGGTTGGTGGTTAAGAAAACGATGCAAGAGTTGATTGATTGATGATTATATAAGCAAACATGATTGACAACATGTATGACATTGTCATATACACATTGCATTTGCAGACAATGTCATACACATCAAACTCATCTTCAACGATAACCGAAGAACATTTTCCGAATTTAAACCGGAATTGGTAAAATGACTGCGAAAAAAAGAAACTTTCGGTGTGGGTTTACTTTTTAGTTTAGTCCACAACAAGTCCTCGAATTTAATTCTCAGAAGTCAGACCCAAAGAAATGAGTAGAAAATGAAGCGCGATTTTCTCCGGTTTTGGCACTCAAAGTCAAAAACTTGAATCGGTTCGACTCAAAACGCAGCGCGTTGGACAATGGATAGGAGACAGAGCCCTAAATTTTTAATGACGTAAATGTCCTTGGATAAACTTATTTATAGTCTTGACGTTTCACTTGGTTCTGCAAAGTTTTGAAATCCCGCTCAAAAAATTACAATGGCGCCAAAGAGAGCACCGCCGATGCAGTCTTCTCTCTACCCTATCGGTATGAATTCCGAAAACCTCGATTTTCTCCGATCCTCCGCTCAATTAAACGAATATTCCGTGGTTATTAAGTGTTATTACTTGATTTCTCCAGGTGATTACGAGGTCGCAGTGGATGGTAAGAAGTTTACATGTGAATCCGGACCCAAAAGCATCCAGATCAACTTTTCCGGAAACAACAGAGTCAAAATCTCAGGTTTGTAGCATTTTGGGTCCTCCGTATTCTGAGTGCTAATGTTATTTGATTTGTTAATGCATAATCTCTTAGTTGGTTCTACTTTTTGTGTGTGTAGAGAAGGATAAAATCGTTACTGCTTATCCGAAAGAAGACATGTTTCTTCTTCTTAATCCTCGTGATGGAGATGATTTCACCAAATCTCATCTCCAAGTAGGTGCCTTTTGGTGTGGAGTGTTGCAATTTTTGTTTTTTATGTCGTTTCATTTTAGAGGTATTGTATAGTTCATAAGCACTCGTAATTTAATTCATTCAGGAAGTGCTGAAGTTATATGGCAAAGAGCTGCCTGACATGAAATACGCTTCAAACACTGGGAAGCAATCTGCTTTCCTTGAGAGATGCGTCTCTAAAGGGTAAATCTTCTCTTCATCATAACCACTCTTTACTTGTTTCAAAGCTGGAATTTTTCCATTTGATAATGGTAGTAGACATCTAATGCTTTTATTTGAAAACGTCACTATCTTGCAGCAAGTATTGCTCATTGGTTTTGAAGTCCACGCCTAACGGAGTCTCACATGAGGTTAAATTAGCTTTTATGCTCTGATTTAGTCTCTGCATCAAAAGCAATTTGATTCAAGATTATCACAACAAGCAGAATCTGTCTTACTTGTAGAATTGATTCTTGAGGCTTGCTTTTTACAGATCTTAGCTGCAATCACCTATCAGATAGTCCCTGCTGATACACAGTATGCTGAGATACCTCTTGCTGCTGTAACATCTACACACCACAAAAAGGTTCTATTTTTTCTCTGAATCATTGACACTCACTGTTGTAGGTTGTCACCGAAACTCCTGCATTCCCTGTTACCAACAATTCAAGAAATAGTATCACCTTTTTATTGTGCAATGCTTTACCAAAAGTTTTGTGTTTGATATAAACGTCTCCAAGTTCCATGTACACTTTTTTCTCTTTGATCTGCAACTGCTAAGAACCTCATCAAGAACTAAAACAGATGAGTTTTTTTTTTATTAATCAGGGTTTTGGTAAAATCGTCTATGAAGAGTTAATGAAGAGGCTTCATAATGTTGGCATTCGGACTATATACTGTTGGGCAGACAAAGAATCTGAAGGATTCTGGCTTAAACAGGTGACTATTATCACACTGTTTATTGTTCTTGGAGTTTTTATCTTTATTGTTTGTTGGATTCACACTTAACAATCTTTTTGATTCGGAATTCTTCAGGGATTTATAACATTAGCAGAGGTAGACCAGAAAGGCAAAGCAAAAAGGTTACGCATCAAGTCTAATATTCGAAAAGCCTTATGCTTTCCTGGCGGCTCAACTCTCATGGTTTCTCATCTGAGAAAGGATAATCCTGCAAACCTCGAGATTTCCTCTTCATGGTGCGAGGGATCTCCACTTTCAGTTCCTTTGGCTGGAGACTCACCTAAAATAGTAGAGAGCTTTGGTGAAAGCCTATATGTTGACTGTAAGTTCCTTAATTCATTAAGCATCATCATTCACTTGTAGAGAAGAAGACTTCTTACATTTCTGTTACTTTGTGCCATACACAGGTCTCTCTGATATCAGAAGTCCAATGGACACGCCCACTGGAAAGGAAGACAAGAACATGGTCTCTGATCAAGCTAACACAGCTGACAGTGAGACCAAATGGTCCACACAGGGCGTGAAGAGATCATCTTGGGAAGCTCCACTATCCTCTCTACGATCCAAAAGGATTAGAGCAAACCACAACAATGACTCTGCAAGAGAGCAGGATCAATCTAAAGACGGTTCTTCTATGGAAACTCGTCCAAATGGACAACACTACACAATCTTGCTAATGGACATTGGTGATGAAAACAAGAGAGCTTGGTTAACAGAGGTACATTTGTATCACTAAAGTTTTTCTTAGATGTGTTTGTTTTTCCATTCACCTTATGTTTTTCTTCTGATTTCTATTGCAGGTAATAAGAAAACTAGGTGGAGATGTGACCTCGGATGGGAACATGAGCACACATATTGTCACCGGAAAAGTCAGGAAAACGCTTAATTTCTGCACTGCTCTTTGCTCTGGGTTAGTCTAAAATTTACTGGCATCATATTAGCACTTGTGTTTTGTCATAAGATTAACGTCATACTTGCTTGCAGGGCTTGGATAGTATCACCAAGTTGGTTAAAAGAAAGTTTCAGAGAAGGAAGATTTGCTAGTAAGATGAAACAAAACATCCCACAAATTATCTTTCTAGTCATCTTTATGAGTTTTTTTCCTAATGCTGACACTATTTTTGTGTGTATAGATGAAGCTTCACACATATTGCATGATGAAGAGTACCAGATGAAATATGAAACCGATCTAAAAAGCTCGGTTCTTAGAGCAAAAGCTAAACCTAACTCGTTGCTTAAAGGATACGACATATGTATTGGACCTCACGTTCAGTTGCCTATTAAAACTTCATCAGCTATCATCAAATCTGCTGGTGGAAATGTAAGTTCCTTCAAGTGTCTGCTTTCACCACAAGCTTACAACATTTGAATCCAAAAACTTATGTAATTTTGTTTTCTGGGGAAATTTGTCAGGTGATTAGAGGAGTGGAGAAGGTAAAAGAGGCATCAAATGCTATATACATAGGGTGTGAAGAAGACACAGTGGAGGCTTTGTCTGCAGTAAAGAAAGGTGTAAGGACATTCAGCAGCGATTGGTTGATGAGCTGTGTCATGAAACAACAACTTGACCTTGAAGCTTCTCAGTTTGTTGTGTCCTTGTGATTCGATCTCGAGACCTCCTCCCTCGTTAACCTGGAAAGTTTCACTATCTTTTCTTTTTTTTGTCTTTTGGGTTTGATGGAAAATTAGATACATTATCGAACCTGAGTGGCTAAAGGCTACTTAGCTGTTAGCTCAAGTCGCCGATCTATTTATGTATAAAAATAAAATTCGGTGTTACCTTTGTTCCCACTAATATACTACGTTAGCTACTTAAATGAAAAAGTTTGTTATCTGAAGAACAAATTAACTTTGTGCAGTTTTTGTAAAATATCTTCCTCATCTGACCACATGGCTTTTATTGATTAGCCATAAATTTAGCATAAAGTTTTACCCCTCAAATCTCAGACTTGCACTGAATAAATGTAAGAAAAAAAAAACAGTAGTTTAATTGGCGTTACAAAGGACTGGTTTACTTCTTCTTCAGTTTTGGACTTAACTTAAATGCCAATTTTCTCGTTACTCGTTTGGCAATGTATTAAAAACAGATATAGCAGAATGTTCAAAGGTCAAAGTTCTTAAATAATAGATTGTTACCAAAATGTTCACTCTCCCATTCAAGTAGGACATTTTGGAACCAAACATAATTCTAAGTCCACTTTTTAACACAATTATTTTGCAAATATGGTATCAAAATCCAATAATGAATGTTTCCATTATTTAATAAACCATCCTGAAGATTGAAGAGTTCACAAGAATGGCTAACTAACAAAACGGCTCCTTGTTTCAGTTCAAAACTCTGTTTTCAGTTTCAAGCATCGTCTCCCTCACAACATCACATCTCTCTGTACCTGGCGTTTCCTTGTGCATTCTCACATGGCGGTTCTCTACTCCCCAAAATCAAAGTCTTCTTCTCCTTCATCATCATCATCATCGTCAAGGATTTTCTTACTCGTGACTCTTCTTCCTCTCTCCCTAGCCTGCTTCGCATTCCTCCTCCAATGTCGTGGTGGCATCGAAGATTGGTTTACTGATAACCACCAATTCCCTGGAATGTCCACCAATACCGAGAAACGGTCTCTTCGTTCTGATTCAGGATGCCTTTCTCTTCTTGGTCAAAGCCGTACCCCATCATTTCCTTATCTCCGTGATTTGAAACTTGATCACAAGCCGGATCTGAAACCTAAGGTTAAACATCTTGGTCCAGTTTAATGTTTTTTATGGTAAGACTTTTGATGAGAAAAATGATCAGAGAATATTGTTATGTATGATGATAGATATGTATAACGACGAGCACATCAGCTGGATTAGAGCAGACATTGCCATGGATATTCTACCACAAGGTCATTGGAGTTTCGACCTTTTATCTGTTCGTTGAAGGAACTGCTGCTTCCCCAAATGTCTCTCGAGTTTTGGAGACTATCCCTGTGAGTTTGTTTTGTTATATTTGACTAAACTCTCTTGAATCCTGATTATGTCTTTTTTGTATTTTTATGCAATGACCAATTTGTATTCGCAGGGTGTAAATGTTATATACAGGACAAAAGAATTAGAAGAAGAGCAAGCTAAAAGGTATATTTCTTGTGTTGTGTTTTGTCATTAAATTATGGATTTGTTTACAGCCATTTTAAAGGTTAAACACCTTTTGATTATTTAGAAACAGAGCTAAAAGTCTAAAACACATTGGTAATTAATTAATGTTTTCATTCTTTGGATCTTCTAGTTAAGATCATTCATTGGATCTTGAGTATTCATCACATATTTTTTGTTTCTCTCGGTTTACAGCCGGATTTGGAATGAGACATGGTTGGAGAAATTCTTCTACAAACCGTGTAATTACGAATTATTCGTGAAACAGAACTTGAACATGGAAATGGCTATCACCAAAGCTAGGGTACTCACTACTTGTTACATTTGACACATTCATTTAGTCATAGTGACATTTTTGTCACATTCTCTATCTTGTGGCTCCGGTGTGTGTGTATTAGGATGCTGGTATGGATTGGATACTGCATCTAGACACTGATGAGCTTGTGCATCCTTCTGGATCCCCTGAATATTCCTTAAAAAATCTGTTCAGAGATGTTCCTTCAGATGTAGACGCAGTTATCTTTACAAATTACGTAAGTTTAACACATTTTGAATTGTTTTTCTTTTCTTTGGTTTGTTGATGTGAATGTTCTTGTTTCAGGAGAGCAGCGTTGAGAGAGATGATATCAAAGAACCTTTCAGTGAGGTACATAGCATTATTATGCTCCTATGATTTTTAACTTTTAACATATCCAAAAATGTGTTTTGTTTGTACTATTAGGTATCAATGTTCAAGAAGAACTATGCACATCTTCCTAGAGAAGTTTACTATGGAAGCTATACAGAGGCTTGTCGTGGCAATCCAAACTATTTTCTTACCTATGCTAATGGCAAATCAGCTGCTCGGATTCAAGACAATCTTCGTCCCAATGGTGCTCATCGATGGTATAACTACGAGAAGACTCCAAAGTATGTTGTTCTTTGTTCTCTCACTTAGCTTATTATACATATAATTAAGAACATCCATTCTTTTGCTTTTTGTAATCTGAACATGTGAGTCACACAGTGTTGTTAAACTAGACGAGGCTGCGATTTTGCACTACACTTACCCGAGATTCTCAGATCTTTCTTCAAGACGTGATCGGTGTGGCTGCAAACCAACTAGAGAGGATGTCAAGAGATGTTTCATGCTGGAGTTTGACAGACAAGTGAGTTATTTTGGGATTTGATTGAATACAGTTCTTGTTCAATAATACACTATATTTTGAGTTCTCTCTTTTCTCTCTTTGTAGGCATTTATTATTGCTTCAACTTCAACGTCAGAGGAAATGCTCCAATGGTACAGAGAACGAGTTGTGTGGACTGATGAAAATTTGAAACTGAAACTTCTTAGGAAAGGAATTCTTACTCGCATTTATGCACCAATGGTTAGTTACTTCAAATTACCAAATATCCAAAAACTTACAAAATATCTTCATTGGGTGGTTTTGATTTTTACAAAGTTATCACCTTTCTTTAGGTTATAATCCAAGAGCTAAGAGAAGCAGGTGTTTTCAGCTCAGTGGTAACTTCAGCTCACATGTCTTTCTCAAAGAAGAGTAGTAACCACTTCTTTAACCTCAAGCGTTACTAGTAGAGAATCATCACAAGCAACTGCTAGAAAAGCGTTGGAGTTTTAACAACCTTGATGGTGAATCTCAAGCAGCAACAACCATCTTTGAGGAAACAACCCAAAGTGTTTAACTTTGAATTTTCTTGATGATGATTTTCTAGTTTTAAGAGAGATTTGATGTACATCTTTTTTGCCAAATTTGTCGCTTTAGTTTTTCATACAAGAGAATATTAGCACAGGCTTTGTGGATCACCTTGGTCCATTTATACAAACCAATCCAACATGTTCTGTTTCATCTCTCTTTAAGTAATGCAAGTGAACAAAAAAAAACAAACGGCGCGTGGATACACGCGCAGAGATAAACGAGAGCGAGACTGAAAATCGCGTTGTGAAAAGACGCTATTTTTTTGGCGGTTCTTTTTCTGCCGCTTCAGTTTATCGATGAACAAGGTTCTTCAGTTAGGTCTCAAGAGCTCCGTCATCAATGTCGCCAAGTACGTTTCTCTCTGATTTTTGTTAATCCTTCTCCCAATTGTTTGCTTGATTATCTCGCCTCTTCAAATTTAGGGATTTCTGTGTCATTTACCTTCATTCGTTGATTTCGGATTTCTTCTGGGTTTGTGATTCCTTTAGCTCATGTTTGAATCTCAAAGTTGTGATTTTTTTTTGTTCTTCTACTTGCATGTGTGAAAATTTCGTGACTGATGGATGGTTCTAGGTTTCTGGTGGTGCCTGTGAGGAGATTAAGAATCGGCGCATCTATTGTTGGTGTTGGAGTAAGGACTATAAGTTTCAACACGAGGCTCATGTCTAATGAGACGGTCAAATCTACACCTTCCTCTATCTACAAGAGCAAGGGAAAAGAAGTCAAATTAGTAGCAGCAGCTAGTGATCAGAATTGTCATCATCAAATGGTTGGTACAAAGGTTATGATTCATTAACGTTTGTCTTAATTATCTTTGCTTATTTGATGGTTGATGTATAGGGAAGTGATAGTGATAGAGATGAAATGCAAAAGGCAATTGAGACGATGACGGTTCAAGAGCTTAAAGCCACATTGAGGCAAGCTTTGTTTGTTTTTTCTTGCTGTGTTTCTGTAGACATCCAGATTCTTGTTAATTTCTTGAACAATGGTTTTTGAAATTATAGGAAACTAGGACTACCTGTGAAAGGACTTAAACAAGAACTTATCTCCACTTTACGACTTCATAAGGACAGAGGTATTTTCACTGCACGTTTCTTTCTATTTTCTTGCATGAAATGGAACAAAAGCCACGGACTTGTTTTGGATTTAGTACTTGTTTACGCTTCTTCCATTTGAGTTTGAAGGAAAAGTCTCTAAATTGCCGTAGCTTCAGATTCGTTTGCAAAGGCAGTAAAGATAATTTTGGTTCGGAGGAAGTGTTTATTTAACATTTCCTCATATAGTAAAACCAAATTTTTCCTTGTTTATGTATTACAGATGGAAGTTGTGGTGCAGAAACAAATGAAGCTACTTCATCCACCCGTTTACAAAGTGTCACCATCAAAAGAAAGATGAGAAATCAGCAAGAGTCTCCTGAAGATGACTCTGAAGCTTATGGCAATGATCATGGAGAGAGACGAGTCAAACAGTCTACTGACAAAAAGTTGAAAGCTAAAGTTTCTTCAAAAACTATCTCAAATGAAAAAGGTATTAAAAAAAAAAAGAGAGAACACTGTGTACTAATACTGGCTTGTACATAGATTTATCATGAAACATTGTGTTTGCTTAATCCTCCCAGGTAAGAAGAAATCTCTGTTGAAAGAGGAAGAAGCATCATCAATGACCATATCTAGCGAAGTCCTTAAAGTCGATGAAATCATCTCATCCTCAAGTCAAAGTGAACCATGGACTGTACTAGTTCATAAGAAGCCTGAGAAAGACTGGAAAGCTTATGATCCAAAGACAATGAGACCTCCTCCTCTACCGGAAGGTACCAAGTCTGTGAAGATCATGACTTGGAATGTTAATGGACTGAGAGCTTTGTTGAAGTTAGAGAACTTCTCTGCTCTCCAGCTTGCCCAAAGAGAAAACTTCGATGTCTTGTGCTTGCAGGAGACTAAAATCCAGGTCATTACATAAACATTACCTCCTCTCTTTAAGTAGTTTCTGCTCTGTATTTTAACTAAAAATCTGTTACACTTATGGCAGGTGAAGGATGTTGAGGAGATTAAGAAAACTCTCATTGAGGGCTATGATCATAGTTTCTGGTCCTGTAGCGTCTCAAAGCTTGGTTACTCTGGAACTGCGATCATCTCACGGGTAACAAGAAAATGTGCTTATTTGTTACTGTGTGAAATTGAAATGTAAATTTTCTAATGAAAGTTGGTCTTCTGACAGATAAAACCGCTCTCGGTTAGATATGGTACTGATGTATCTGGATCGGATCATGACATGGAAGGACGCATTGTGACTGTTGAATTCGACTCCTTCTACTTGATAAGCACATACGTCCCTAATGCCGGAGATGGCTTGAAAAGACTGGTACTCATCAAATCTTACGGCATTTATAGTTTCTACAGTTGTCATATTCTTGTTTTTCTTTAATTTAACAAATGTTTTTGGTTTTAAAGTCATACAGGGTTGAAGAATGGGATCGAACTCTCAGCAGTTACATCAAAGTATGAAACTTTTCTTCTGGGTGTTTCTCTTTATTTGTTGGAATTGTTCTTCTTTTTACAAAGACCTCAATGGCTCTGTTTGCATCTGCAGGAGCTGGAGAAGTCTAAACCTGTAGTCTTGACTGGTGATCTAAACTGTGCTCATGAAGAAATCGACATCCACAATCCCGCGGTAACTAACTAACTAACTCAGATTCTTCTTCTTCTTTTTATGTCATTCACTTAGTTGAAAACAATAATCACCTCTCGGTTTGTTTCCTCCAATCAGGGGAACAAAAGAAGTGCTGGTTTTACAAAAGAAGAAAGAGAATCATTTGGAGCAAACTTCTTAGACAAGGGCTTTGTAGATACCTTTAGGAAACAGCATCCTGGTGTTGTAGGTTACACTTATTGGGGTTATCGCTATGGTGGCCGCAAAACCAACAAAGGTAATTAAATTAAGTCTGCATAATAAAAAAGTGTTGATGGTTGTTTGATACATATTCAGATTTCATATTTTTGGATGAATTGGTGTGTGTGGTGAAACAGGATGGAGACTGGACTACTTCTTGGTGTCTGAATCAATCGCAGCAAATGTCCATGATTCTTACATTCTCCCTGATATCAACGGCAGTGATCATTGCCCCATTGGCCTTATTCTCAAGCTCTGATCTATTCAAAGATATTATAGATTTTCATCTAGTGATGATGCTCAAGTTTATTTCTTCAAGAGAGCTATGTAGCGTATGTGAGATTTGGAATTATTTATCTATATCAGTAGAAGATTCCTTTTGTGTGGTTAGCTAAACAATTAAAAAAGAAAGCCTTAAAATAACAATTTTAAAAAATCTCCGTTGCCGGGACTCGAACCCGGGTCTCTCGGGTGAGAGCCGAGTATCCTGACCAGCTAGACTACAACGGATTGTTGTTTTATCAGTATAAGAGCAGTTACTGAGTAGTCTTGACCAGTTTATACCTTAATTGCTTACGATTTCTTACTTTCACAGAGCTTATTGTTCATTGTGAATAAATGCCAAAAATAAATAGAAACCAATCAAACCCCTACTTTGCTGTCTTTTGAATCTGATTCTTGCAACTTTACTTGTCTCAACTCTCAAAGCACAGCCAAAGACCTGCCTTGAATCTCAAGGCAAAAGGGTCCATCGGAATGACCAATGACTGAAGCTTTGAGAAGCTCGATCTAGTGTGATCTAGTAAAGTGTACTATCTTTTATTTTGCATCACAGCATTAATAATTTCACATTGTACATGTTTTCTCAACAAATGCACACGCAACAACACAATACTACAGTGTTCTGTTTCCGCCATAAAACCACATCACAAATAATCCAATTCTCTTTTGCTTTTTATCAATCTTACATAGCTGCCAAGGCGGCGGAGGTAGTGATGGGTTGATCTGAAGACTTGTCAATGGCATTCGCAATGCCATTGCAGACGTTAAAGCCATACCAAACGGAGTTAGGCAAGAAGAGGTTGTAGTAGAAAGTGACTGATCTGATGGATGAGCCGTAGATCTTCACGTTCTCCGGTTTCCAGCCGTCGGATCCTTGCCTGAGTAGGTAGAGATAACAGACGTCGCGCATACACGGTCCCGTTATCTTGTATGTGTCTGATGAACACTTTTCAAATGTCCTCGAGTTTGGATCATCTAGTCTCTTCACGTATACCTGAACCAACAAACACTTTATTAGTCAGAATATATAATAACATTAGCATGTGTGAGTGTGACGAAATTTGTAGATTACAACCTTTTGAATATGCATCATCGTAACATTTTAAATGCAAGTTAGTACTTTTTTGGACGTATGCAAAGTTAAAATACTTAATAAGATTATTTTAAATAATATGGGTTGAAACTTTAAAATGTAAAAAAAAAAAAAATGAACAAAAAACCCTTAAGCTTAATCCCCACGGAACTGACGTCACAGAAAATAGAAAAACCAGTTGACAAAGATGATAAAATTTTAGATCTGAATTTTATCAAATTTGCTGTTTATCTCAGTTAGGAATCAAATAAATCGACTGACTAAGCTGGGACTGGTTAAACCTAAAAGCCAAGTTCTTTGGATCTTAAAAGTAATCAAGAAGATATCTGGCATAACCAAAATTACATCAATATTCTGAAGCGAGTTCTTGTTAAATTCCATTAGGAATAGTTTGTAGATCTAAAAACCAGAAATGAATTATAAAGAAAAAGAAAAATCACCTCGTTGCCGTACACATCACCAAACGAAATACTAATCTTATCTCTGGTGTAAGACACCGAGGAACAGCTTGTCTTAATGATCACCGTGTAAGAGCACACACCCGCATTCTGAAATTATATATATAAAAAAATCAGTAATTCCTGGATCAGAATCTTACAATGAATCGAAACTGTTTTACAATTACCTCTAGCTGGGGTTTAGGGAGAAACGAATCAATCGGACGAGGTATTGTGGTGACGAAGGATCTCGCAGAGGAAGACGATGTGAAAGAACATAATGCAAACAAAAACAAAGAAATCGCTAATCTGAGCATTTTCATCAATTTTTCTTTTTTGCAAGTTGTGGAGATGAACAAAATGGTCAGATCATAGTGCTTTGGACCAAGCATTTATCTAATGAGACCGACACGAGGGTCACGTTCATTTTAATAAATGGGACAAAGTTTATGTATATCTTTTATGATTGTTTGTCAGAAAACTATTGGTTTCTCTTTTGCCAACGAGAATTTAACTGTCTTTGTTTGTTCTTATGTCTATATGCATAGATTTCCAACCACTATAAAAAGGAAAACAATCATTGACAAATAAAGGGATTTTAGTAAATTAGACTTGTATATCAGTAACACTATGTTGATAAAAAAAAAGTAACACTATGGAAACTCTTATTTTCTATAATTTTGTTTTTCCTAAACTAGTGTCTTTCTAAACTGAGAAGTGAAAACTCTTTCTATTTGTTATTGTTGCCAGTTTTTACCAGATTATTTTCTACTGAAATTCAAAATGTTACACGACAATGTATTCAAAGTACATGGTTTATTTATTTATTGATATTTGACTAAAAGACTACAAAATTAACCTTGTCAATATTTTGAAGGAAAATTAAGAGGATTTTCCACACAAAAAATATTAGTTATTAGTTTTACGCAAGGCAAGCATTTAAATGGTTATCATAAAAAGGTTAATGCTCGAAAAAGACTAGCTAGTTTTTTTTAACAATTCAAATCGATATTTTCATACTTTTTCCCTAAGACAAATAATAAAAAAACAAAAAGAGATAGTAAAAGACAATTTCGAAACATTCAATAGTTAAAGGTCTAAAACGGATAGGATATTTATATATGTTTTTTAACTTTTTATAACAAGAACTTTGAGACCTTTGGTCCATAATCTTTTTGGCCTGTTGATAATACATGTGTGATGCGTAACTTATCATCTCTCACAATAAGGCTCACACTTGAGACCAAAGAGTCAGCATCACAAATTGCAAGAGCTACCTAAACCACTGGGTATTAATTATTTATATTTTCTTATGTTTTACTCAAACTAGTTCACCTTGGAACAAACTTTTCTAACCTCACCATCGACGTCTGTCTTTACATCAATGGAACTCATCTTAACCATGGCCTTACCAAACTCATTATCAAACCTAAACCCAAACAAACCTCTAATAGTACTTGCATACTTCTTCACCACGTTGTTTGTCTCGGCGTCCGACCAAAGCCGTTGGTCCGACTCCAAAATGGCGTTGCCATCTCTCAAGTTCTTGAAGAAGCTTGTATCGAACTTCGAGGGACTGCCAATGTCAAGAGCAACGCGTTTAGAACCGTCTCCATTGGGAGGACAAAGAGTCTTGAGCTGTGTAAGAAACGATGCGCTTATGGTTGGGTCCGAGTTTCCGGTCACAGTGAAGTTGTATAGACGGTAACGGAAGAATTGACAGTCCGTTTGTCCTATTGTATGTGCACCTGTATAACATGTGGATATTATCATTTTGGAGAGAAAAGATAAATGGAACATTTTGATTAGACCCAGGAGAAGCAAGTGTTATTATAATCATCCCTTAGATAAATCATTAGAAGGCAAGAATAAAAACATACGTACCTAGAAGAGTAACGAGATCATGAGTATCCAACCCTTTAGCTTGAAACTTTTGCTTTTGAACAGCAACAGAGTCAAGTGGCGAAGGTAGATTCGATGCTTCCGATGCCAACGAGATTCTCCCATCTTTACGACCCGTTGGAACACGCCAGCTCGGCCCAGAACTCTGTTTCCATACGTAAACCAATCAAAATTCTATAAAAAGAATCAAGTAAGCCCTAGTTAGGTTTAATGAAACTTGCGTACCAAGTCAACAGAGTCACGAGCAGCAAGTGCAAGTATATCTGCACATGACACAACTCCTGGACACTCCGTCTCAAGCCGGGCTTTCGCATCGTCGATCACTTCCATCCCTTTAAGACCGAGATTCGGTAGAGCGGCTTGCTCCGCAGATTTCCCTTTGATTAAAACCGATCCATCACAGCCCTAAATAAGAGGAACAAGTAATCATTTAACTTAGCTTGCATAGCTTTATAAAAGAAGATTGTTGAGAGTTGAGAGTAAAGAAGAAGAATTGGAACCTGAACAAAACAGTCGTGGAAGTGAAGCCTAAGTAAGCCAGGCGAAATGGTGGGATCAGAATCAAAGTGAGATTCAACGGTGGATCTTACTATGGACTCAGCTTTTGGACATGAAGTTGAATAATAACCATTTTTTAACGACTGGCTTCTCACTTCTTTTCCCAAGACAAACACTATTATCAACACGTAATAATAGTTGCTTAAGTACACTCCCATTTTTCTATCTCTTTTGTGTGTGTGATCAATTTACATGTAATGATGTTCAAGAACCAACTTATATCTATATATATAGTCACACACATACGTATGACTTTGTCTCAATGGAACCGTGTGGGGACACATAGTGCATTCCTTTTCCTTTTGTTTATTTATCTATGTTGGTATATACACTTGGTTGCCACTATGATGAAATAATGGGTTTTCCTCAAACTAATTTTCATATAGTTTTTGAAAAAAATATTACGTCTAGGAGGTTCGTGCTATGGCATTGCCAAAGAAATAAAAACGTCCTTTCAGAATATTTATGATTCGTTTGCTTTACTTAAAGTTTCTTTGATCACACTCCTTAAAACTTTTATCATTAATCCACGTAACAAACAAACGCGTTCACAACTTAAATCTTAATATAAGCCGTCACTATTTTTTCCTGTTCACATTATCCTCTCTCGTGGTTCCATCTCAATCCTAAATCTTTGTTTTTCATTTACTACCAAAAAAAGAAAGAATCGAACAATCGAGATCAACTATAGATGTCGATACTAAAAATGCATGCAAGACAGTTTGTATTAGCTGATTGAATTTTGTGTAAGCTTTTTTTTTTTTCTTTTGACAAGAAATTAAACTGTTGGTGCTAGTTTCCATTACATATTTTTCTTAACAAACATGTAAGATTGATATCGAAAAATTATACGTTTACACAATTGAGCTTAGTTCATGATTTTGAACGACAAATGATGTTTCATTCGAATTGGGCCCCTAAATTCCTCAGTAAGTCCAACAAATATTTTTTTACCAGTTCTTTCAAAAAAGGTGTTTTTTGACTATTCACATAATTTTAAAAAGCTCAAAAATCCTACTTGGATGACACGGTGTCGTATTGCAGCCAAATGGCAAAGCTCTGTTGGTCTCTGTGACGACGCCTAAACAGAATTTGCTCTGAATTTTCTCAGCGAGCTTATTCGTAATCAAATCCAGAGGCGGGGAATCGAAACTAGCGAACGGATCCGCCATGGCAGCTCGTAAGAGAGCTTCTTCGACGTCAATTTCGAACAAACCGGATGCGTCAGAACCCAAATCAGCGCCGTCGGAGCAGAAGATGACCCGGAAGACCGCCGCTGCTTCCGCGACGAATTCCGTCTCGCGCCGCCGAAACTGGGAGTGATCTTCGTGATCTCTGCTCTCCTCTGCTCACTCTATCTCTACCTCCTCTGTTTCCACTACAAGGTTGATAGCGAGCTCAAGCGCTCGATCCTCATCAATGCTGGGCTTAGCTTGTTTGGGTTCTTCGTCACACTCAAGATGATTCCTGTAGCTGCCAGATACGTTCTCAGGCGTAACATGTTTGGTTTCGATATCAACAAAAGAGGAACGCCTCAAGGAGAAATCAAAGTGTAAGTTTTTTGATCCATTGGTGTGAACTTTAGCTTAAAATATAATCAAAATCTTCTAATCATTTCAGGCCTGAATCGTTGGGGATTGTTGTTGGTGTATCGTCTTCTTGATCGTTGCGATAATCTTTCAGTATTTTAATTTCACTGAAGATTCGAATGTAAGTGTGTATATTGTTCTCAGCTTGAATCTCCTTTATCAATGTTACTGAATCTGGCTGATGATTCTGTGTTAGTGGCTTGTGGAGTATAATGCAGCACTAGCGTCCATTTGCTTCATGATTTTGCTTGGATTTGTTGATGATGTCCTTGATGTTCCATGGAGAGTGTAAGCTCTCAAATTAATTCCTATATCCTTCTTCACTTACGGCGTTTTGATTCATACAATTATGATCTCTTTTTTTTTCAATTTAAAACAAAAGGAAACTTGTGCTGCCATCTTTCGCTACGCTTCCACTGCTGATGGCTTATGCTGGACATACAACTATTGTCGTACCGAAACCTCTAGTTGCTTATATTGGCTTGGAAGTGCTTGATCTAGGTACCATGTTACGCTCATTTGTAATTGTATGATTGGAGGAGGTGAATGATTATGATTTAGCTCAATAGATGTTTGAATGTGGCAGGAAGGATATATAAGTTGTATATGGGGTTACTTGCCGTCTTTTGCACAAACTCTATAAACATTCACGCTGGTCTAAATGGTCTTGAGATTGGTCAAACAGTTGTTACTGCGGCTGCTGTAAGTCCTATGGTCATAAATTATGAATGTCTCTGAATTCGTCTCCGTCTGTTCCTTTTTTTGGGTTGAGATGTGATGCATCGCAGTTACTTGTAGATCCTGATACATAACGTTATGCAAATTGGAGCAACTGTTGATCCTGAGTATCATCAAGCTCATGCCTTTTCGATATTTCTTACGCAACCGCTGATGGCAACGTCCTTGGCATTGCTTGCTTACAACTGGTAAAAATTTTTACAAGGTTTTCTCTTTATTAGTTGAAGTAGTGCTTTCTCTGAGCTGTTCTTGCCATCTTCTGCTGTTAGGTATCCTTCTTCAGTTTTTGTTGGTGACACTTACACAGTTTTTGCTGGAATGACTATGGCAGTTGTTGGCATTTTGGGCCACTTCAGGTAAATTTCCAAAAACCTACTTAGTTTTTCCTACTTTATGCTCAGATTCATCATTTAAATGATTCCATGCCATCTTTCTCTTCTGAAATTTTGCTTTTGCAGTGAGACCCTTCTCATCTTCTTTCTTCCTCAAGTTCTGAACTTTCTATTGTCACTTCCTCAGGTTCTTGTCTAATTACACTCTTCTCTTGCATGCTATGATCTTGTGAAATCAAGTTTCAACAATCTAACATACTATCTATATATAACTCTTTAGCTTGCTGGCATTGTGAAATGTCCGCGCCATCGTCTCCCAAGGTAACCACCTTTGTGTTCTTACCTTTTGTTAGTTTGTAGATTGATTAAGGAAGATACACACCACTCATCTTGTCTTCTGGAATCTCCAGGTTTGATCCTGCAACCGGATTACTGACCGGAACAAAAGATGGGACACTCGTCAACGTTTACTTGAGGTTGTTTGGTCCTAGATCAGAAAAGTCTCTTTGTGTCCATCTTCTTGTTTTCCAGGTAACTCTCAGTCAAATTTGTGTTTATCACCGTTTTAAATAACGAAAATATTCGTTTGTGATACTCTGTTTTGTTTCTGCTACAGGCTCTAGCGTGTGCCTTCTGTTTCATACTTCGGCATTTTCTTGCTGGTTGGTACAAATAAATCTGCAACCTGAACCTGAAGAATTGTCTGTTCTTCAGACAAGTCACAAATATAGAACATTACTTTAGTTCCTTGTATATCAACGTGATTTTTTTTGTTGGTGTTAATTAGTAACTCAGAGTAACAAAGTCATTTGCTTTTTGTTGAACGTTGTGCCAAAATTTCCAAAGACGATGAGTTTGTATACAATCAATACCATTACAAAGACTCTCTCTAACAAGTTAATCTCTAAATCTCTCGATTCCAAGTTGATTTGTTCTTGCACAAGTATGGATAAAGAAGCTACACATCCATGTCCATTTTATCTCCACCTTCGTCTTCTTCTTCTTCATCGCCACTGCTTGTCCAAAGCTTGATGGTTCGGTCATGTGACACACTTGCAATACACGAGCTATCTGCAGCGATATCCAGAGAGGATACTTTGGACTCATGCCCAGCTAAGCTCTTCACAAGCGAAAAGTCTCTCCCTGACCATATCTTGAATAGATGAAACAAAGTGGAAAGAAACTATAAGTAAATGAAACAAAAGACTGAAAGAAACAAAAACTTAAAGGCAAGGGAAAGCAGAAGTGTTTACCTTCACTTTCATGTCGTAGGATGCCGTAGCAAGAAAGTAACCTTCCTGCGGTTCGTACTTCACCTGAGAAACCAAGTTCGCATGCGCTGGGATGATATACAAGGACTTCCTCATGCGAAGATCCCATATGCGACACTGGTTATCCTCACCGCCGGATGCCAAATGATAACCGTTTGGAGAGAAGTTCACAGAGAGAACCTGTAGATGCATAAAGAACAGAGGAGATTAAAATAAGGGTTTAGTAAAATGATCGTTTTTGCGTGAGGAAGAGGACCAACGAAAGAAATGTCTGAGTCTTACCGGTTTGATGTGTCCCTGGAAGACGAGGATGCTCCTACCAGTGCGGAGATCCCAAACCCGTGCGAGTGCATCAAGCCCTGAAGAAGCAGCTAATGCTCCGTCTTGTTGAAACGCGAGTCCGTAGACACTGCGACTGTGGCCTTCTTGCAAAAGCAGCTCTGCTCCTGTGTTTACATCCCACAATCTCCAAGTTTTGTCAAAGCTCGTTGTCCCGAGGTACTTCCCTGACGGGTGGAAGGCAACGCGTGCAAGGCGATCTAAGTGTCCTTCAAACGTTTGGAGGAGTGTTCCGTCAGTCTTCCACAGCTTCGCAGTTCGATCAGCGGAAGCAGTAGCTAGAATATCATCAACGGGAGAGAAGACTACATCCGTTGCACGTTCCTTGTGGTCCTTCAAGACAGCAATCTTGTTTGTGACTTGCGGCATCTCCCATAATTTAGTAACTCCACTCAGAGAACTAGCCAAAGAAAAAACCATGGATTAGTAAACAGAAGAAGAATGGATCACAAATCATGAACTTAGAGAATGTGTAACGCAATAAGAAAAGGGACGAATTCACTTAGACATGACGTATGCTGTTTATAAGGTTAAAAGCCTAGTTAACTTCATGGTCTAATAAAGGTGGAAACGATGGAAAACCGAGGAAAACACAGCAGATTCAGTGTTTAAGGACAGGATTATTGGGATGATTCTCTACTGATATAACTATGAAAACCTATATGCAGCTAGAATGCAATGTAGTCCAAGTAACTCTAAGCCAATAGAGCCTAGCAAATTTAACTCCAAGCCTAAGGAATATGATGTGGAGAATATGTAAATTAATGCTTGCAAGTGAAAAAGAAGATATAAGAGAGACGTACCATGTGGCAAGTAATTTTCCATCTCGAGAGAAGGAGCAGCCAGTGAGAGGACGATCATCTCCAAAGTTACTGCAATCAAGGACCATCCCTTTAGCCTGCTTCAAAGCCAACTTAGTCTCTGCATCAATATCTTCATCTGGATCATCCCTCAGACGCTTTGCACGCTGAATCCTCACAGCAGCTCTCTTGATAGAGAATCTAGCAATGTCTATCCTAGCCTCTCTAAGCTCCATTGGACCCTCAGTGAAAAACGGGTATTCAAGTATCATTTCATCGTCCACTTCCTCTCTTGGAGCCACATCTTCTTCGTGAGCTTTAAGAAGTTTATCCAACTGCCCATCAATATCAAGCCTAGCCATAAGCTGCGCCAGCCTAGCTCTCCTCTCCATTTCCTGCTCCCCGAAGAGAGTAATGGGCTCACCGAGTCGCCTAAGGCGATCTCTGACGGACCTGTCGTTTGTTGGAACCGCGAGAGCAGCAGCACGGCGCTTGATCAGCAAATCTTGCAACGCCTTTTCCTGTCTTTCCCTGACCTGTCTACTCCCTTCAGATATGTCGACATGTTCATCATCTGATTCAGAATCCGAGTCGCTGCCTTTCGCTCCACCGTTTTGAGAAACAGGTGGCCTAAAAGTAGGTGGACGTGCCACTGGAGGATGTGGTATTGGAGCCATTGGTGGGGCAAAAGAAGGAAGACCCATAGGTGGCGGCATTGCAGAGATGCCTGCAGTTATAGTAAAGTTAGGAATTTCAACATCTTAGATGTAACAGTAATTCGAATGCAGCTTTGAATAAGAGAAACAAAGAAACATTAATCGAATGCTAATGAATCACCTGGCTGAGATGAGGCATCTTGTAGAACTTGAGCTGCTGTGATTTGAGTTATAGGTGCAAATGAAGCATTTTCTTCATTGTTTGGTTCCATTGTTTCTCAAAACGAAGAGACACCACTGAAACAGCAATCTAGCCAAAAATCTGGAACAAACAAACAAACAGAGAAGAATTACAAATCAGCTTTATCATGAGCATTGTATATACGAACGCATTACCAAAACCAGAAAAAAGCTTAGCTTTATACTAAAATCAAATTCAGTGTTAACCAATGCTCTCTTGGGAATTTTAACAAACAGTTAACGATCAAGCTCCATAGTCACTTTTTAATGGCTATAGCCGTGTAAATTATAGGAAAAGGAAGTAAAGGAAATTCAAGAGCTATGAATATAGGATCGAAGATTACCAGCAATTCACGGAGTCGACGAATCTCGTTACTTTCTTCGAGACCCAAACCCACGAAATAGAGATTTCAGCTACTCGAGCTCCGTATTTCCTGAGAATAGAAAGCCATGACCTAATCAACAACTCAATAAGTTAAAATTTCGTCTTCCTGAGAAACAAACAGAATGCTAAATCAGAGATTTTCTCTAAAGAGATTTCTTCTTACCTCTCCAGAACCCGTAGCAAAACGGAATAGAAGCGAGAAGACGAGTCTAATAAGAGAACTTTAGATTCCGCTTAGAATTATAAGATTTTAACAATTTTGAGTTTTGATTTAAGTTAAACGACGGGTCGGTCCATATTGGGCTTTTTTCTTAATTACAAAAGCTGAGCCCAACATTGAAGCCTCCTTAATCTTAGTCATTTACACTGTAGAAGTTCACATCATTACAAAGAGTGGCCAAATCTCAATTAACCACACACAAGTCACTCACTTTGATACTATTATGGATTTCTTCTATCGACATTTTGCTTATGTGTCCATTCAAAATAAGACTTATGAGTGGTTCATTTGTACTAGTAAATCACAGCAACAATAGGCCATGTTACAACGTTACGATCTAATTATGTTTTGCATAGATTGTTTCAACAAATTCGCAGTTTTAAGTTTATTGTAATTCTAAATATAATTTTTATTTTCTTACAAGACATTTGTAGCCTCTCTACCATGTTTCAATAGAGTAGCTAATTTGGGAAATATCCTCCCAACAAAATTCTGAAACGTGACATACAAAAAAGTCATGATTTCAGGCTTTAGAAATCTTGACCCCTTATTGCTCCTCTTTTACTTTCAATCACACTTTCTTTTTTTTCTCTCTCCACAGTGTTGGTTTCTTCTGATGCCTCAAAAGTTGGCCAACCCCACAATCTTTTTCTCATACATTATGGTTAGTTTTTGGTGAGTGGTATCTGTCAGTCAAATGAGTCAGTATGAGATTCAAGATATTGATCCTACCATAATAACATAAGGATCCACGTGGCGCAAGCCGGGACATGGCTTAGAGGAGAGGAAGAGGGGTCCCTCTACTGCATATGGCTCGTGACATTGTTTTTCCCCTAAAGTGGTTCCACTTTGTTGAGACTTTCAAGCTCAGCCATTAAGATAGACGTGATGCTTCCTCTTCTTCTACTTCTTCTGGTTGCTAAACTTTTGTGTGCTCAATTTCTAAGTCTTTTAGATGTCTTTTCGATTTATCTCAAGTCATTTTCTTACTCATGTTAGTTACTTACTTTCTATCTAGTGCAGTTGGTGAGGACTTGGCTCCACTTACCACGTGAAGATAGCTTGAAGATAACACTTTTTCTATGTTTTATAACCTTCAATAGACAATTACTCAATTGTCTCTATCGTTTGAATGACTTGGGACTTGATGATCGCTTGATCAGTCATTGTTTTACAAGATTTACCTTCATTCTAACATTAGATTTCAAAGATTTACTACTAGTTCATTGAACTTAATAGAACAAATGCTCTGTACTTTGAATCTTGTTAATCAATTTTGCTTCATTTATTTCTCTTTTTACTTTTTAGTTTCAAAAAATCACTCAAAACATATCTTCTAAAGTGTCCCTACTCGTTCAGAAATTGTTCTACGAGGTAATTATTATTCCCTTTTATATTATTTCCTCGTTTTTACTGTTATAATTTGTGCCCACTAACATTTTTCTCTTGGCATTAAATTACTCGTTCATATATGATAATTGTTTTTCTTCTATTCTTTCTAGTTTAATCTTCTTCTTTTTTACCTTAATTATATACAAAAACTTGTTAGATGGGGTGTAACATTATGCCTCTGAAATGATTGTGCTACAAAATTTATCTAAATGCTTATCTATTTGGCTGTTTCTCCGTATTATTCAATGGGGGTCCAAGAAAAGACTGATTTGTCACAAACTGATTTAATCTCTAACACATTGATTTAGCCCCCGGGTCGTTGCAGAAGACTCTCTAATGGTGTTTTCCTGTAGAGATGTAGCTTTCTAATGATGTAAGAGTTTCTCAAATCTTGAAGATGCGCGTGCAGAAGATAGTCATTGTCATGAACCTAAGGGAATCACTTGGCCTTAGACTTCATTTCCTTTTCAAACATTTTTTTTGCCCTTAGCATTCAAAATTCAAACTTGTGATAGGGAAAGTGTCTGCCACATGTATATATATAATAACATGTTGTTTTCATATACCCCTTCATGACTAGTTGCAGCACGTAAATGTCAAAGTTTTCCCTTTGTTAATAGTAATCGAAGTTCTTGGGTTAAAATCTAAAGTGATTTTGAAATTTATTATGTAGTACAAAAATAGGTATATCTAGTGAGTTTGGCTAGTATGATAAGATAAAACCAATAGACTACAACCATTTGGCTATGAAAGATGAAGTTGTAGCATTAAGATGTAAAATGATACTTTATATGATATTGCAAGATTATTAATTTTGTTTATTTTTCTTCCCCACTACTCTCACCACTGTGAAATTTCAAGATGGAGCCCATAGATTTGTAATCCCGACCACATAATATGTTTTAAGAAGGAATTAACCTATTATGTTATTAATATTTTATCTCTCTGTATCCATATACATTTTTTTGTTTGGTTAAAGTATCCAAATACATTTTCCCAAGAGAAAAAAAAAATCATACGAAACACTAAGCTACAACGATAATGTTTATAGGCATTTTATACAATTTTAAAGAAAGAACGTTTTTAAAACAACATTGATCTCTCCCTAAGACACAAAATAAAGCCTTTGATCTAAGTGATTGAGCATGTATTTTATCATACGTTTAACCGTGGAGTACTGTCCGTGATAAACGTAGGATCTTGGATTATGTAGTCGATAGATAAACGTATCAGGACAATGTTAAGGCATTTAACGTGGACGGTGGATCCACCTCTTGAGAATTCGATTCATAGCCGTAATGTGTTTTAGTGGACAAGAAGAAAAAAGTGTGATATATTATATAGTCGATAGATAAACGTATCATGACAATGTTAAACGCATGTAATTAGTTGGATTCATAGCCGTAATATATATAATCATAATAAAAGAGATATTTATCCACAAGACAAGAGAAAAAAGGGTGATGTATAATATAGTGCTTTACACTTAAACCACATAATTTATTATATTATATAAAGTTTTCTCTTGTTCACAAATTTGGTCTTTTTTGGTTTCCTGATCCTCTAACAAAACCATCAAATGCAATAGTTGTATTCCCTTGAATATCTTATTAAGAAGACAAGGACATATGCTATGTTTATATATAATTTAAATAAATGATCGTTATGTATTCGGAACAAATCTTAATGAATGGTTGTCGCGCTTAGAAAAAGGTTATCTGCAGTATAGCTGTTGATTACTCCTATGGGGCTAAGGTTCTACAGTAATTATAGCATTAAGAAAAACGGATCATGCCTATGTTTAAATAAAACACCTACTATTACTCACAAGATTGAGGAGATTAATAAAGTTTGTTGGCTTGGTTGGAAGAATTAATTTTATGATAATGTTCAATTATTCTAATACAAAGATTTGTGTTCACTTTAGCTAGCTAGAAAAAAAAAATACTTTGTTTAGAATTAAAAATAAGTATTTATAATGTTCTTACTATTATCTAAACATTTGTAAAATCGCACGCACAAGGGTTATTAATTTGCGTTTGCAATTCTCAAAATATCTGCTTAAATTGGAATCTTTTTGAAACTTTTTTCTCATGTAAACACAAACGCAAAAGCTACGGTTTAAAACAATCAAAGCGTAGAACAACAAAACACTAGCTATCTTATAAATATGTCTTGGGGACCGTTGATGCGAGGTTTGGCCAATGAGACTCATTACTTAAGATTTGTTTTTGATATTTAAATCAAATAACAAGAAAATATGAATGTACTATAGAACCTAAAACAGAAAGTTGAAAAGAAAAGTTATACGTAGTGATGTTTCGAACATTTTCAGCTAAATTCTAATGGGCTAAAACACATTCATTAATAGACAAACTAATTTGTTTTCTACCCATAAATAGACAACTAATTTGTTTTCATACCCTAAATAGTAAAAATGGGCAACCTTATATACACGTAAAAAGCAAATGTTGAAGATTTGCTAGGAGGATCTCTTTCCACTAAATTAATCAAAAACCAAATGAAATCCGAAGTAAAATACTATATTTCTTTGGATGATAATGGAACCATAGGGTGTAGAATACAATTATACAAGCTATATAGGCAATTTGTAACTAGGCTCTAAGCATAAAAATAAAAATTAAAACAAAAAAAATCGGAGGAGAAAGAAGACATGGTTTTCTGAAACGAAAGGAAGAAAATAACCCATCACTGCAGAAAAAAGGTATCTCTATAATAATTGGAGACAAAAGAAACCTAATTGTCAACGAAGTAGCCAATGAGCCCAACTCCACAAATCTCCACCTCGACATTCTATCTTGGGACCATTTCTCTCTCTCACTCTCTCTCTAATATCAATAACTTGAAATTGAGTCATCTAATTATCTATCATGGTGTAATGCTAATGGATCCGAGGTGGTAATTTAACATTTTGACCTAATATCCAGATTATGCCGTAATGCTTTTAGTTTGACAAAGAAAAAAAGATGGAAATTTGAGATTCATGTATCACGTATAGAGTAATGATTAAATATGTTTGTGGTGTCTAACCTTATTTTTGCGGCAATGGTGGTGATTTAATATCATGGTGTATTGGTGTGCGCATCATGATGCCATCTAAATAGTCTTTATTAATGCCCAACTATCTTCTTATTGCAATCTTCACGGCGATTTACCTGTGAAAATTATTAAAGAAAGAAATATATCTTTATAAAAAAAGAAACTTTTGAGTGGAAAGTGACACTACAGTGAGACCTCCAAAAAATCGACAAGGTTGAAATAAACAACTAAAAAGAATTCACCCACAGAACTAATAAACCTTTTACAAAGAAAAAAACCAACAAATATGTGCCACTAAATCTAAAGAATGTCAATAATGTTGCTGTACGGAAAGGGAGTCACTTGGGGTCTACATAAATTCATGCTGTTCTTTTGATGAATGCATTGATCATCTAGAACAAGAAAAGAAGTAGGAGATACACATATATCTATTAACCAGCAAAAAATCTCTAGGTTTAAAGTATAGCTAACATGAAGATAGCTAGGAGATTGTTTGTGCCACTAGACTAAAATGCTCTGTTACTAATAAGACTAAATAGAGAAGAAATAGTATCTTAGAGAACAGAAAAAAGGTATTGTGAGCTACGATTGCAAAAAGAAAGGTGAATTAGCCTATGCCCCAATAATTGGGACAAGTTGATCATGAAAATATAAACAACACTGAACAATGAGAGGGTCCTTCTTTAGTCATGAGATAAAAGGAGTAATAATGCTTAGACCACTGGTTTTCATTGCACACAAAGTCACATAAGACAGATACACGACGAAGGGTAGTTATTCACTGCAAATCCGTGGACATAATTGGTCACTATAAGCTTTTTTTGCATCATAGGCTCGTTGAGTCATTATATCCTACGACTATATATGCTAGATGCCACTTGGTATTTACTAAAAATAAAGTGAAAAAGATGAACATATCAGTCTAAATTTTCAACACTCCTATTCAAATAATCAAAATGAATTAATACATTTTTTATTTAACGGTGCCTCCTTTGTTCAAACTGTCACTCGACTACCCACATTATACAATTTTCATCAGCCTTTGCTTCCATATTCTCCGACTGTGTAGGCAAGGCCCCTACATCTTTCAATCACACAACAAAAACAACATGACGTAGTTTGAAGACATAACACAAACCCACAAGTACATACATATATCTTTATTGCAAGTACCACGTATCGGTATTTGATTTTTTTTACTTGAACTGTCCTTTTTCTATAATGATATTTCTGAGCAAAGAACACTTATTATTACCTCCAAAAACTATATAAATACTCGCGAAGGAAAATCATGACAAGAGTTTACTTGGTCTTTCAGGACCACCAATAAGAACACAAGCTTACAATTCTTGTACATGTCCACTTCAATATGTCATGCTTGAAAGTTGAGACTATTTAATGAGCAACACAAAGCGCTTCCACATAGAGATGTATAACTTTTCCTTTCTTAGGAAAAAGAGGATAAAACATGAATAGCACCAATCACGCTAGGAAGAGTGAAAACGTTCATATGCAGCAAGATTGTTATTTTTTATCATAAGAATCTGGAACAAGAAATGCTCTGTATGCATCCTGCAAGGAATGGTAGCCAATGTTGATGTTTAGTCCAAAGTGGTAACTTACTTCCTTGCTTAAACTTAAAAAAATGAAGTGCAAGAACTGACAGGATCAAAGTGATGCAAAATGGTCCAATAAAATCATCCAATGAGGTCACCAGACTGGTTTTAGATGGGTGGTGGGCAAGATTCTCTTCCCTCAAAGTGAGCTCAAGTACCATGAGACCCAAGAAAGGGCCCTACTGTACATGCTCGGACAGTAAGCTTAGCCAAGAGACAAGATAATAACAAGAAGATAAAACTATGCAGTAAAACAAATGTTTTTACCTCTTTATGCAGAAAATCTTTGGCAGGGAGAGAATGTACGTTCCGGGGATCTGAATTATTAACCTAACATTTTTCAAAAAGGTTGTGAACTGAGAAATAGGAGTTAGACATACCTTTTTAGTAACTTTCATCCTAAATAAAATATGCAAAAAACACAAAAATAAAGATGTCACAAAGATATCTTTATTTACAGAAAGAGACAAAAAGTAATGGCCATCTAGCTATATAGTGAGCACAAGTATATGACTGTACCGCCCAAATCCTTTCCTTTAAATTCCCTTCTTTTTTCTTGAGAGTGCTCTAAACCTCAAGTTTACCTCTACCTTCCCCCATTTTATCTAGCCTCTCAGTCTTTGCAATTTCTTGTCAAGAAAGAAGAAATGGGATTAGCCTCATCTTTAAGATTCCGTAGAAGAAACAACAAGACCTTCCTCAGGATCTTTATGATCTTGGTTCTAAGCTGTATACCAGGTAGAACCAATCTCTGTTCCAACCATTCAGTTAGCACCCCAACAGATTTACCTCCTTCAAATCATCCACATATCTATTCCTCACTAGATTCACTAGATTTGGAAGGTTACATAAGCTTCAACGATGTTCACATTGCGGCCAAGGACTTTGGCAACAGATACCATTCACCACCTTTGGCGGTTCTACATCCGAGGTCAGTCTCTGATATTTCATCAGTGATGAAGCATATACTACATCTTGGCTCTACTTCAAATCTTACGGTAGCAGCCAGAGGTCATGGTCACTCGCTTCAAGGACAAGCTCTAGCTCACCAAGGTGTTGTCATCAGCATGGAGTCGCTTAGAAGTCCTGATATTAAGATTTACAAGGGGAAGCATCAACAACCGTATGTGGATGTCTCAGGTGGTGAATTATGGATCAACATTCTACGAGAGACTCTAAAACATGGTCTTTCACCAAAGTCTTGGACAGACTATCTTCATCTGACCGTTGGAGGTACTCTGTCTAATGCTGGAATCAGTGGTCAAGCCTTCAAGTATGGACCTCAAATCAACAACGTATATCAGCTAGAGATTGTCACAGGTATATTTCTTTCTTGCTATATCTCTATATGGTAGTCTATAAAAGATATTCAACTGTAAAGGATATATTAAAGACTTGAATAGTTTTTGACACTTGTGTGTGGGCGCCAATGTACAAAACATGCAACACACACTAGCAACTTGCAACAAAGAATTATAAGAAATATATAAACAGAACAAGAGATAAACAATATATTTGACATATTGAAACAGGGAAAGGAGAAGTTGTGACCTGTTCCGAGAAGCAGAATTCTGAACTTTTCTACAGTGTTCTTGGTGGGCTTGGACAGTTTGGGATAATCACCCGGGCACGGATCGCTCTTGGACCAGCACCGCTCATGGTAACAGTTTCCATCTTGAGAATGGTTACTAGAATATGTAAATAGTCAAAATATATTTATGGTATGATTCTAAGCACCAAGTTTCTTGACATGATTTTTATCAGGTTAAGTGGATCAGAGTACTTTATTCAGACTTCTCTGCATTTTCAAGAGACCAAGAACATTTGATTTCAAAGGAGAATGCTTTCGATTACGTTGAGGGATTTGTGATAATCAATAGAACAAACCTCCTCAATAGCTGGAGGTCCTCATTCAGCCCCAATGATACCACAGAGGCAAGCCAATTCAAGTCAGATGGGAAAACTCTGTATTGTCTAGAAGTTGCCAAATATTTCAACCAAGAAGAAGCCAACTCTATCAATCAGGTAAGATGTCAAATCAACATATCATCAAACTTAAGCTTCTAAAGCCACAATCACTACACTCTCTAGATCTAACCGTTGGTTTCGAATGGTTTGCCTTGCAGGAAACTGAAAAGTTACTCTCAGAGTTGAGTTATATTCCATCAACTTTGTTCTCATCTGAAGTGCCATATATTGATTTTCTTGATCGTGTGCATATTGCGGAGATTAAACTAAGAGCAAAGGGCTTATGGGAGGTTCCACATCCTTGGCTTAATCTCCTGATTCCCAAGAGCAGAATATTTGACTTTGCTACAGAAGTTTTCAACAACATCCTCACAAGCAACAACAACGGACCTATCCTTATTTATCCGGTCAATCAATCTAAGTAAGTGACCAAAAAATGCCAAAAGAAAATTCTTTCATTGATATTATGACTTAAACCATATTACTAACACTTTTTTTTTGTTGCAGATGGAACAAACGAACATCAATGATCACTCCAAACGAAGATATCTTCTATCTCGTGGCGTTTCTTCCATCTGCAGTACCAAATTCCTCAGGGAAAAACGATTTAGAGTACCTTTTGAAACAAAACCAGAGAGTTTTAAGCTTCTGTGAAGCAGCAAACATCAATGTGAAGCAGTATCTGCCTCACTACGAGACACAAAAAGAGTGGAGATCACATTTTGGCAGCAGATGGGAGACGTTTGCAAAGAGGAAACATGCCTACGATCCTCTAGCGATTCTAGCTCCTGGTCAGAGGATTTTCCAAAAGGCAACACATTTATCTCCCATCCAACTTCTCTAAGTCAGAAAGCAGTCCTCAAAAATCCTAGAACTTTAAATCGCAAACGTAAACGTTTCCATGTGTCCTTGTAACGGCTAAGCTAGGCAGCAAGAGATATTGAAATTCTTTTTTTTTTTTTTTTAAAACAGATTTTGGAGTGAAAAAACAGATTGAGTCTCTCCAAAAGCTCTAAAACATTCAGCAGAATCTGTTTCTAGCTTCCCAACAAGTAAAGGTCTTTCTTTTTTGTTTTGAAATAACAATAGTCTCTTTGTACAGCCATTGCAGAAGGAAGCATGATCAAATTAACCTTCTCTCTGAAAGATCAGAGAAATTTGGCGCCTTGAACAAAAGAAGCTTCTTTATTTTGTTCTCATGAAATGTGATTTTAAAATTTCACTTCGGTTGTCACGAGTGAAGTAATATTACACACGTGTCTGTGTATTATTGTATATTATATTTCATTTTATTTTAATTTAATTTTTCCGGGAGGCGGTCAGGCGAAGCAGTCAAGCAGACGCTCCTGGAAACGGCGGAAACAAATTTTATTTGCTTTCTTCTTCATTAGTAATTGAAGAGAAACAATCCCAAAAACCCTAACGGTCTTCTCAGAGATACTAAATCACCTCGCAAGGAGATTCGTTTTCCTACTAGAGGTCTAGAGCCCTTAATTTAACTATTTTGATTTTGAAAGTATCGAATATTTACTTGGGATGTCTCCTCCGGCGGTGGAGATTGGGTCTCCGGTTGAAACAATCTCTTCTTTCCTAAACCCTACCGAAAAAATCTCTGCTTTTTTCCCGGAGACTGTTCACTCTCACGATCAGCGAACCATGGAACCTCCGTCGTCGTCCTATACAGGTTCCGGAATCATCTTCGGGTTTGAAGCTGGTTCAGGAGAAAAGACAAAGAGTCGACCAAAGCCGAGACTGGTCAAGCTGAGGAAGAACGGTAGAAAAGTGAAAGGAAGCTCTTTTTCCGGCGAGATCCCCTCTGGCTTCAACCCATTTGCGCCGCCCATTAATGGTAATCAATGTCACATTTCTGCCGTTTAAAGATCCAATTTTGATACTTTGTGAGCTTATTGAGTGTTTTTTGTTTTGTTTCTGTAGTTAGTCTCCATATGAACAATGTGAATGATAGGAATGATGCAGAGTCACCTGGGGATAAAGGTTTTGTTTTTGGGGCTAATGGGAATAGAGAAGCTACTAGTGAATCTGATGAGGAAGAATTTAGCACACCTATAGGTGAATCTGTATTTGGTTCGGAATTCACAAAGGAACATTCAGATGGTGTTATAGGGAAGAATCCATTTGCTTCTGTGGAGGATTTTGGAGGACAAAATGGCATAAACAAGAATACAGCAGAGAGTAATTCTTGTTCTGATGGTAACACTATAGAACTGAATCTGCCTGCTGAGATGAAGAAGCTTAATATCAATGATACCAGCGTTGATGGCGGCAACGGCTATGAGGAAGCAAGAGAATCCGATAACGCACCTGCATTTATCTTTGGTAGCTCTGGTAAGGTTGATGCTGAGAGGACCGAGACCATCAATGCACACAACTTAACAAGCACCACCTTTGGTACAAGAACATCCTTTGATGATTTCAAAGTACCCGAATGGGATCCTTCTGTGCTGAAGAACAGCCTGTTTCCAGAAGTGAGTAGAGATCCAGTACATGCACGAAGAAGTTTTTTATCCAAGGAGAAGAGATCAAAGAAAGTCAAGGATAAAACGAAACGGCACGAGGTGAATCAATGCAACGATCAGGCTTCTGAAAGGATTGTGTCTCAAGAGAAACTCAGTTCACCTGGATATGGCTCACCAATGGATTTTTCTCCTTATGAAGGTGAGAAAGCCATCAATCAGTTTCCAGCAGAACCTCCTCTGACACCAATTGATCCCTCAGATTCGAGAGAACATGTTGATTCCTTCTCTAGCAGTGACCTTAAGGTTGTCTTCAAGGCAGAGGATTATGTAAGTAGTTATTCGCCGACATTTTCTTTCTCAGCGTCCACCTCTCAGGGACAAGTACCATATAAAAAGCTTCAAGCTGTAAAGAAATATAGGAGGAAAGTTGATAACATTTTCCCGAAGATCAGTCTTAATGCCACCACGCGAAACAATCAAGAGAATCAGCCTGTGAAAACAGGTCAAGCTAAACAGGAGTCAGGCGCTACATCGTCGTTGCCTAATGTATGTGAGGTTTGGCGACTAAGGTATCATAGACTAACTCAAGAACTTCAACGCTTGCGCTTCTTCAATACTTACTTTCTGAAAAACTGAGAGAACGAATGTTTTGTATCAGGGGAAATCAAGCCTACAGAAATGGTGATATGCGTAAAGCTGAGGAATGTTACACACATGGCATTAGTTACTCCCCGTCAAGTGTTGATGAAGAGTACTCTGTGAAGCCTCTTGCGCTTTGCTATGGCAACCGCGCAGCAGCAAGAATTTCTCTTGGAAGATTGAGGGAGGCTATAAGCGACTGTGATATGGCTGCTTCACTCGATCCAAGCTACATTAAAGCGTATACGAGAGCTGCAAAGTAAGTTTAAGGCATACTTTTCTAGATAGTTGTTTTGCTGTGATTCACATGAATATATCCTTTGTGTAAAGGAACGTATGATGTCCAGAAATAGTGTATTACCTCGAGTCAATTTGTCCTCTTGCTTAAGCTAGCTTGAGTGCTGAAAGAAGATATACATTCATGTTTTTTGTAGTTGTCATCTTGTGCTGGGGGAACTTGGATCAGCAGTGCAGTATTTTAATAAATGCATGGAATCCGCCTCTAGTGTCTGCTTGGATCGACGAGCTACTATAGAATCAGCTGAAGGTTTACAACAGGCTCAGGTATGCTTTCTCTTCTCAGCTAGATCACTGTTCTGCCATGGTCGTTTTATCAGTTTGAATGTCATATATTGGATGTTTATTCGGGCATAAGTATTAATGTCTAATAAAACTTTTTTGTTTTACTTACCGGCAGAGGGTAGCTGACTATACTAACTGTGCATCCATACTTCTGGAGAAGAGAACACCTGAGAACGCATCTGAAGCATTGGTACCTATCGCCAATGCCTTGTCGATTAGTTCATGCTCAGAGAAACTGATTCAAATGAAGGCAGAGGCCCTGTTTATGGTAAGTCGTCTTTCCTTTTCAGTTATAAAAAAGATATTGAATTTTGCTTTCACTGACCATGAGCGTCCATGTCAATTTTGCAGATCCGAGATTATAAAGAGGTGATTGAGCTTTGTGAGAATACACTTCAGACAGCTGAGAAGAATTCTGTTTCAGCAGGGCTTGACGGCGTGGCACATGTTAATGGATTAGGGTCTAAGTATCACTCACTAATAGTTTGGAGATGCAGCATGATTTCCAAGTCGCACTTCTACTTGGGAAACCTTGAGATGGCCCTTGAGATATTAGAAACGTTACAGTAAGTGGGATCTAGCCGCCATGAATCATCACGTTGTCTATGTTTTGCAATAACGAACTTGTTGGTATGCGTGTATTAACTTTCGTTGTGATCCTTGCTTGTTTTGCTGGCTAGGAATCAAGAAGAGTGTCGTGACTCACCAGCTTCTTTACTGGCCACCATTTCTGAACTTTTACGTTACAAGGTATGCTCTATTGGCCTAAGGATTCTTCATAAATCTGTGTGGTATAACGTTTTCTTAAAATCAACAATTCTGATACAATCCTTCATCATGATTCTGTTTTTTCTCTCTGTGGTTGCAGAACGCAGGTAATGAAGCTGTTCGGGCAGGGAAGTACATGGAAGCTGTAGAGCAGTATACTGCTGCTCTATCAAGAAATGTTGACTCGCGCCCTTTTGCAGCAATTTGCTTTTGCAACCGTGCGGCTGCTAATCAGGCGCTAGTCCAGATTGCTGATGCAATTGCCGACTGTAGTCTTGCCATGGCTCTTGATGAAAACTACACAAAGGTATTTCAAAATAATTATGCTTTTAACTAGTGAGCATGCACACATGAACCTTCCTCTGTGCTAAAACAATTTTTCTTTGTCTACTCATTTAACAACCCTATTTGTCCTTCCATTTTCAGGCAGTTTCCAGGAGAGCCACACTACATGAGATGATTAGGGATTATGATCAAGCAGCCAGTGATCTCCAAAGGCTCATCAGCATTCTCGTAAAGCAAACTGATGAGAAGACAAAAACGTCAGAGACATCTGCTGATCGTGCAAGCAGCAGGAAAGAATTAAGGCTGACCCGTCAACGGTTGTCTGTGATGGAAGAAAAATCTAAAGAGAGCATTCCTCTGGATCTCTTCCTCATCATGTATGCTCACTTTTCAATTATATCATTCATGCAAGTGGAGACCAGGCTAATATGCAATATATTTGTAAGCTGATATTGTGGCTATCTTCCGTTTTGCAAATTTTGCAGGGGAGTGAAGGCATCTGACACTGCTGCTGATATCAAAAAGGCATACCGCAAAGCAGCTCTTAGACATCACCCTGACAAGGTTATCTCTGTTTTACTTGCGGACAGTGTTTGCAAATCAATATTTAACATGTGCTGATAGTGATATTTCGTCTTTGATGTGTGTTCAGGCTGCACAGATTCTTGTCAGAAGCGAAAGCGAAGGACCGTGGTTGAAGGAGATATTAGAAGAGGTTCACAAGGGAGCAGATAGGCTCTTCAAAATGATTGGAGAGGCATATTCAGTTCTTTCTGACCCAACTAAGGTTTGCTTTCTCTTAGCAACCAGTTTCGCCTTTTTCTGCCTAATAAATAACCTTTAAAAGCGAATCCTGTTTTGTCCCCTACGGACACTTGCTATGACTTGCTGTGTATGAAAGGGTACTGATCTTGTTTTGTGTATTAACAGAGGTCGGACTATGAACTTGAGGAAGAAATAAGAAAAGCGAGGGCATCAAGAGAGAGCTACAGAAGCAGATGTAGTAGAAACGCTGCAGAAGCAAGTAGCCCTCCATGGACAAGTCCAAGCAGACGATACTGGAGGGAGGAGAGCGGGAAGACACGAAACACGTCTTCTTGGTGGTAGTAGACCGCTAAATTATTTTTGTGGCACGAGCTATATACCTTGTGTAACACATTCAAAAGATCAAAGAAATGAAAAAACCTAATTTAACTTGTAATGTAATCTTATGTTAAAGTGTCCGAACCACTCAGAATGATTGGCCGAAACTTGAATTTAGCCTTATTGGATTATTAAATGTCTATTAAGAAATAAAAAAAGCCCATTGGTTCTTCTTTCTTCCTTGATGGTGAAGCTATATATGGTGAAGAAGAAATTCTAGTTAGAGACAAAGATCATCCTAGTAATTAATCAATACAATAGTTTTTCTCTTAATCTTGCTTTGACTTGATCCACAAGTCAGTCTCAAAAGAATTCTTTCGGTCCTTTTGATTGAGCAAAGCACGTACGTCTCAAACACAAATCCATTGATTGAGCTACACTCTCTATTCTTACGCTGCGCCAACGTGAGAGAGATGTCCAAATCCTGCGAATTCTCCAGGTAATCTTGTGGTAACGATCATGTGTCTCCTTCTGTTTTCTAGGGTTTTGTTGTTGATTTACTTGTTAGGTCATCGGGATATGAATCAGATCCGTAGAACCTGAATCTGAGAGAAACGTTTTCGGTTTTTGTACGCTTGGCTTATTATTTTTTTTTTTTGAACAATGGCATACAAGCTCGGCTTATTCTTCTATTTTTTGCAATTGATACAGATCGCTACAAGAACATGATCATGACGCGAATGAGACTATGAAGGATTTACAGCTTTTGAGTGTGCATGATTCCGAAAGCCTGAGAGAGATGCCGAGTTCCTCCATGTAATCTCAGATTCTCTTGTTGGGATGTGTCTCTGTATTTGTGAGCTTTCTAACCAGAAAAACAAAAAAGAAACTGACTTATTCTCATGGGTTTGCTTTTGATGCAGCTCGGAACAAAGGCTACAAGATCATGGAACGTTGGTCCTAACCGCAGAGATTTTGAGTATCGAGCTTGAGAAACTCCAAATTCTCAACGAGTACGTATGATCATGATCATGATCAACTAAGATTGTTTTTCACTTTATTTAACCAAGTAAGATTTTGTTTTTCTCTCTTAATTTTTCAGGAATTTGTGTGGTGAGAATCTGGACTCTCTGAGTCTCACGGACCTAGAATCTCTTGATAGTCAGCTTCTACATGGTTGGCTCCGCGTGGAAGAGCCATTGTCAAAGGTAATCTTAGTCACCTCCTCAAAACTAATGATGTTCCCTAACAAGGTCTAAAATGCTTGCTTGTTTTAAATATATGCAGAAAACGATAGAGCAAGAGGAAGTTGAAAGAAGTATGATCAAGGAAGGTGTTGGGATAATGGATGTTAAGAGCAAGAGGAATGAAGGTTTGAGACTTCAAATGTCTTTCTCTAAGGAAAGACATCATGCAAGGAAGAAGGCCATAGAGCTCCGGAGCAGCAGCCATTACCGACTCGAGAGCAGAAAACTTTGGAACCATTATGAAACATTGGTGCAAACAATTCAAGACATGAAGTCGTACATCTCGAGGATTCAGCTTTGGAACAAGTATGGTGTTTTTTTCTTTCTTTCTTTTATGCAACTTTGGAACAAGTACCAATCCTCTTTGGCTTGTTTTCTTTCTTTCTTTTTATTCTTTTACTGAATTGAGTTTTCTTTTGCTTATAGGAGAATGTGCGGTGAAGAAATTGACGGCCTGGATTACTTTGAGTTGATGATTCTTCGCATGGAGATGGATGATGCTGTGAATAATCTGTGGGACGAGATTTCGAGGAGAACTGAGCAGTAGAGTGCAAGGCGGGGAAGAAGAGCATTCTGAAGAAGAAGAAGAAGAGATGCTAAAGCGTTTTAATAAATTAGGAATGGCAAAATTCTTATGTTCTTTTTGAAGTTTCCTTTGCGTTATATCAAATAGACCATATCTACCGTACAAAATGTCCAAAGTAGTTAGATGACTTAACCTTGCCGAACACATTTCCAAAATAAAGTAGTAAAGCTCATGCATGCGAGAGGAAGAAAGAAGATCCATAATCTTTGCATATGTCTCCAACTTCAGTGTTATGACGTGAAGTTGATTATCAAAAGAACAACCTTATTTGATTATCAAAAGCCCATTAAGCAATAAAAAGCCAATTTGGTATTTTTCTTTTTTTCCTTGATGATGAAGCCACCGACATATGTGAAGTTGGTCTTAAACAAAATTCTTTGATTGAGCCAAATAGATTACACAAATCCCTTGATTGAGCTATACTGTCCCTATTCTTACGAGAGATGTCCAATTCCAGCGAATTCACCAGGTAATCTTGTGGTAATTAACGATGATGTGTCTCCTTCTGTTTTCTAGGGTTTTGTTGTTAAATTACTTAGGTCATCGGGGTATGGATCGGACCGATATAATCTAATCGGAGAAAAATTGACTTATTCTTCTGGTTTTGCAATTGATAATACAGCTCCGAAGAATGGCTACAAGAACAAGATCATGAAGCATTGGTATATGTATTGATACATACACACATATGCACTTCCTCTCCTCTTTTAAGCGATTGTCGTTAAAATTATTTTACAACCTATCTTGTCTTCTTGCAGCTCCTTAACGCTGAGAGCGAGCTTGAGAGCTTACAGATTTTGAACGAGTAAGACTTGTTGACAATGTTTTCTTCGGTTTTCGTAAGGTTTTCTTTTTCAGTTTGGAAACAAAAAAACCTAAAAAAGCGTGACTAGTTCTTATGGGTTTGCAAATGATACAGCTCGGAACAAATGCTACAAGAACAAGATCATGAATCATTGGTATGTATATATATACACACACAGATACATGCATTCAATCTCATTTTTTCAGTGAAAATTATTTTACAAACTATCTTATATATGTACGTTCTTGCTTGCAGCGTCTAAACGCTGAGACTCTGAAGAGCGAACTTGAGGACTTGCAGATATTGAACGAGTAAGAACATCGTCCCACTTCCTGAACATAAGTCTTTTTTCTTCTTTTTTAAACTCACACGCAGGAGAATGTTTTTTTCTATACAGATTTGGAGAGCGAGCTTGAGAGCTTACAGATTTTGAACGAGTAAGACTGTTGACAATGTTTTCTTCGGTTTTCGTAAGTTTTTCTTTTTCAGTTTGGAAACAAAAAAAACCTAAAAAAGCGTGACTTATTCTTATGGGTTTGGAAATGATACAGCTCGGAACAAAGGCTACAAGAACAAGATCATGAAGCATTGGTATGTATAACACACACACACACACACACACAGAGGAGAATGTTTTTCTTTTTTAAACTCCCAGTAGAATGTGTGGTGAGGGTTTGGACGCTCTGAGCATCCCGGAGCTGCTTTCGTTTTAAGTGTCAGGCTAAACAAGGTCTCCTCAGTGTGCAAAACCAACTCGCGAAGGTAAAGCTTGTTATTTCTCTTGACATGTTATGATATATACAAGAAGATTCGCAAGCACGTTGAATACGAACCCTTTTGTTTTTAATGTGATATTGCAGAAGACAATAGAGCGGGAGGAATTTGAAAGAAGATTGGTCAAGCAGGTAAAAAGATTGGTTTTTATCTTCCTTAATCTACAAGCAATCAAAAATCGGTTTTTTTTAATCTCATTTCTCATTTATCAAGGAACTGGGAGAGGAAGCTGATTCCGATACTGCGAAGCTCTGGATTATGAGCATTAGGAATGCTGGTTTAAGCCAGCAGCGACGTTACGCAAAGAGAATGCGCTTTTGGAGGAAGATTGCGAGAGAGCGTCGCAGCAGGTAAATATATACTCTGTTATTGCTAATTAATATGATTGAAAATATGCTCTGCTATACTTGTTTGGGTTGACTATTCACATGTATTTAACAATACAGCTCCGAGACCACCAAATATTGGTATATTCCTGAAATCCTTGATCATTGCATGATGAACATGAGAAGCGAGATTCCGAGGTTGAAGCTTTGCAACAGGTGCGTATGTATATTGTTTCTGTCTTCTTCAAAATATGTTTTTTTTTTGTTTTGTTTTGTTTCCTTTGACTAATTTGGTTTTTCTTTTGGTGTGTTTAGGAGAATGTGTGGTGAAGATATCGATGATCTTCATTACTTCGAGCTAATGATGCTTGAAATGGAGATTCAAACTGGTCTGCTTAACATGGGAAGCTTGGTTGTAAGAAAGGAAATGGCAGCAATGGAAAGTCGTCTGAAGAAGAAGAGCACTTCTTGCATTGATTGAGAAGTGACTGCTGGGAGGAATATCATTCTGAAGAAGAACGTGAGAGCTCTCATCTATCTATTCAATATATTAAGCATTTTAATGAGACTTAAAAAACTGTTGTGATCTGTTGAACAAAATTAGTTACGTCAACTTCATTATATATAGTCTTTCATCATATAGTTTGTAAATGTATACTATATACTGGTTGCGTTAACATAAAAATAATGTGTTTATATGTTTAAAGAATTCGTATAAAACAGAAATAAACAAAAGAAAACCCTAAGCCATGCATAAACCCTAAAACCGATGGTTCCATCAACATTCTTCGTGCATGGCCTTACTTCCCAAGCTAGCTCCCATCGAGGTATGCTCTTCAGCTCTTCACGTCGGTGGTTGGAGTCTTGATTTCCCAGTTCCCGAAACTAAATGGTTCAAGGAAAAGCCTTATTAGATTATCAAATGGCCATTAAGTAAAAAAAAAGCCCATTTGTTTTTCTTTCTTCCTTGATGATGAAGCTATATATGTGGGGAGAGAAAAAAAACAAACGGCTTTCCGATGACGGAGGAAGAGAGGTGGTCGAACAAGAATTTGGTCTTATAATTTTTCAATACGGTTCGAAGATAAATATACAAGATCGAGCGAAGTACGTCTCAAGAAATTACACAAATCCCTTGATTGAGCTAAGAGAGATGTCAAATTCCGGCGAATTCTCTAGGTAATCTTGTGATAACGATGATGTGTTTTCTAGGGCATTTTTTGTTGAATTACTTCTTAGGTAATCGGAATATGGGATATGGATAGAATCTAATCAGAGAAAAACGTTTTCAATTTTGTACGCTTGACTTATTCTTATGGGTTTGCAAATGATACAGCTCGGAACAAAAGCTACAAGAACAAGATCATGAAGCATTGGTATGTATAATATATACACACACACACATATGCACTTGCTCTCCTCTTATCAGTGATTGTCATTAAAATCCTTGGTGTCCTTGCAGCTCCTAAAAGCTGAGACTCTGAAGAGAAAGCTCGAGGGCCTTCAGATTTTGAATGAGTATGATCAGCTTCTATTGCCCCATTGTCCCACTTTACTTATTAGCTCAAACAACCTAATTTTTTTCTTCTCTTTTCTCACTTTCAGAAAACTGTGTGGTCATGGAGTTGAGGATCTGAGTTACGCCGAGCTGAAATCTCTGAGAAGACAGCTTAGAGAGGGCTTCGACATTTGTGGTTACCAAGCAGAGAAGTTAAAAGTAGAGCTGGAGGAAGGTGAAAGAGAGATGGTCAAGAACTTAGGAGAGGAAGAAGGAGAAATGTTGATTAAGAGAAAGAGAAATGAGGCTTATAAAACGCAATTTAGATTCTTAAAGACAAGAAGTGATTTAAGGAAGCAGGCCAAAGAGCTCCGGAGCAGGTAAAAGCATATAAACTTTTTTGTGATATATTATCTTCTTCGTTAGCTCATGTTCTCTAATATGTTGTTGATTATTCATACAGCTCTGATCCCAGAAAACATTGGGATAGTTTTGAAACGCTAGTGCAAGCTATTGAAGACATAAGCGCGAGATATCGAGGTTGCAGCTCTATAACAAGTATGTGACTCTCCAAAAATGTTTTTCTACTGTTTTTTTTTTTGGTGATTGATTTGGATGTTCTTTTGTTATCCTAGGAGAATGTGTGGCAAAGAGATTGACGGTCTGGATTTTTTTGAGGTTATGACACTTCGAATAGAGATTGGTGATGGTCTGGTTGAGGCCGGGAATGTTATTTATAAGAGAACATCTACCGGAAGATGAAAGGTTGCGAAGAAGTGTATTCCGAAGAGAAGAAGAAGAGCATGGTTGGAGAATGATCTATTCAACTGTTTAAGAGATAATGACTATTGGAGATGAATTAAAACTTTTTTTTTATGTCAAAAACACACCACAAAGAGTAGTTTATTGAGCACAAAAACATCACAAAGTCCACTTAGCTTTATTGATGGTACTAGTATTTGGACAAAACAAAAGCTTGTGGTTGTGGACAAACAGCAGCTGAAGTGAGCTAGAGCTTAAGTGCTTGAGCATGGTGACTGATGTGGTCTTCGATGAACGTGGCGATAAAATAGTAGGAGTGGTCGTATCCTGGCTGCAGACGCAGTAACAGCGGTGCATTCACTTTCTTGCACGCCTCCTCGAACTTGCTTGGCAGTAACTGATCAGGATAGAACTGGTCGTTTTCTCCCTGACAAGTTTGAGGAATTTCAGCAAAACTTAACCAAGCAATTGTGAAGCTATAAGATTATTCATAAGCTACAAAAGGGTTGTTACCTGATCGATCAGAATTGTGGCAGAGAGGTTGTTGAACTTTGAAATAAGACAAGTGGCATCGTACTCCTGAGATTCAGAATGAAATCAATATAGTGTGGCAGATATGTAATATGAAAGCTGAGATCTTGTAGAGGTTTTACCTCCCAAGCAGCCTTGTTGTCACCGAGATAATTGGTGAATGCCTTCTGTCCCCACGGGCAATTTATGGGATTGGCAATTGGTGCAAACGCAGACACAGACTGAAAATGCCACACACATGAAGAGATTAACAGAAAAATGATTAAAGAGTAAGAAGTCTTACGTTGAAACATATTGTACCTTATACTTGTCGAGGTTCTTGAGATAAATGGTAAGAGCTCCATGACCACCCATGGAGTGTCCAGAGATAGATGCCTTTGTTGTGTCAAGCTGAGCAAAGTTCTCACTCAGTAGCTTTGGTAGCTCTTTGACAAGATAGTCATACATACGCCAGTTCTTCCACTTCTCCTGAGTAGCATTCAGGTAGAATCCAGCTCCTAGTCGGAATCAAACAGGAGATAAATAAGTTTAAGACCTGAATACTCTAAAACCAAACCAATAAGTCCAAAGCTACAACTTGTTCTGAAGAAGAAGTGTGTGGAGAATGCAAAAAGTAGAGGCAATGTAACGTTACATACCTACACCAAAGTCATAACTGTCTGCTTCCCCTTCAATATTCAGTCCTCCTACAATATCAAAACCATCACCGAGTGTTAAACGCAAAGACATTAAAACTGTTAAATTTGTTTAAACACCAAGGGAAGGTGATAAAACAGAGTAAAAGCAGGGCAAATCAAACAAATGAAAGTACTGTGGCTCACTTGGAGAAGTGTCTGGAGCAACAAGAGCAATGCCGTGAGTAGAAGCAGCACGTTGAGCACCGGATTTGATGATGAAGTTCTCGTCTGTGCAGGTGAGGCCAGAAAGCCAGTAAAGCACCTGGTCAAATCAACGAAAAGGGAGAATCATTTCTCTAGAAAACCCAATCGGTGGTTTTGAGTAGCAATTAAGAATCCGAAAACGCAATCATGAAAAGCTAAAAATTTTCAATTTTAAAGAGACATGAATCAGGACAAACGGCAAATCAGAATAGTGAAATCGGCTATTTACTGTAAAAATCGAATCTTTAATTGGAACACGAATCAATATAGCTGAATTAATAGGAAGAAGTGAGATCACATACAGGGAATCTATGGGAAGATGAAGCAGAAGGAGGGAAGTAGACGGAGAAAGTCATGGAACATCCGAGCGTCTGACTGTAGTGTTTGTATCTTTTGTTGAAGCCATCGAACATCTTCGAGCTTCCGATCTCGCTTAGCCCAGTCTCCATTTTTTCTCTTTTTATCTATCTCTCACTCACTCGATCACTGGAAAACTCCGGAAGAAAGAACAGATGCAGCGAAGAAGACGAAGAAGAAAAAAACGCTTGAAGGAGAGTGAAGAGGTTGTCTATTTTCTCTACAGTTCACCAAAAGCCTACTAAACAAAAGCCCACTAAAATATCATCGTGAAAGGCCCACCTAAGTCAAGAGCCTCTGTATGTGTGTGTATGTGTCAGTGGTCGCTGACTTTTTTTTGTATTTGGAGGCAGAGGAAGTGCTGCCCAACTGTTCTCAAAACGATAGTATTAATTTGTGGGAAACAAATGAAATATATATTGTGGGAATGGGAAATCAATTTCATTATAAAGTGTGTAGTATTTGTTAGGTGATCCAAAACATTTATATATGTGACATTATCACAAGATAACAACATGTTTTTATTTTGCGGCGGACCCATTTATTTATTATCTTGAATAAATAGATATATTTATTCGTGTATTGGTGGTGTATAATAAATGTTGTTCAGATTGAGAGTCCATAACCAAAAAAAATGGATGAGGTTCTCTTAAAAAATGAAGATGACATTCACTAGTACCAAAAAACTTGGAGTGTGTAATTTTCCTGAGCGCCATTAATGAATAATGACTGTATACGAAGTTAGGCACCTTTCCCTTAAATACCAATAAACAAAATGGAGTAAAAAGGAGTCTCCTTTTCCTCAACTGTACCCATCAATGCTTATGTCCATTCCTCTCCCTTGCGCAAAAGCTTTGCTCTCTGTATTTAATTTAAACTCATCATTTTCCTTTTCTGCATGCAAGTTTTATGATTCTTGTGAGTAGATAGATTACATACCCGAAATCTTTCTCATGCGTTTTTTCTTTCTTCATTTGGCAATTCTCATGAGTTGATTCATTTTGTTCTTTATGGTTGCCGACACGAAAGGTTTGTTCTTCTTGACTTGTTTACGAACTTTTTCTGATTTGGTAGATGAACAACTCAAGACGGAGCTAACAAAGTTGTAATATAGATGCAAATAAAAATCCTTTTTTTTTTAATTATTCCATATAATTCTTTGATTTTTCTCCTCATTTCGTCAGATTGCAGCATTACTATTTAAAGGATTTTTCTCGGTATCTATGCATTAATGTCTGTTTTTTTTATTTCCTTTTTTGTTATATGGCAGAAGAAGCTAGAACGCAAAATCTCAGTTCTGTTTGGTGAGAAAATCTGAGTTAGCGAGCCAAGAAAATCTTATTCTTTCGGAGCAAGAACCTTATTGGTAATGCCCAACTTGATCTTTTTCTCTCAGATCCTACTTGATTTCTTTGCTCTCTATGTCCAAACACATAAGATTATATAACCTCCAGAGAAATCATTTGCAGACATTGTTCATTGCCTTTAGTTTCTTTGAATTTCTTGAATTGGACCAAGAAAAGAAAATGGTGGGAAGCATTGAGGCCAAGAGTCTGCAATCAAACGGGTCTGTTCAACACAACGGCCTTAATCTGGAGGAGAAGCTTGATGAGTTTCGTCGTCTTCTTGGGAAATCAGACAAAGATCCGTTGAGAATAGTTAGTGTCGGAGCTGGTGCTTGGGGAAGTGTTTTCGCAGCACTTCTCCAAGAAAGCTACGGAGGTTTCAGGGATAAGTTTCAGATCAGGATATGGAGAAGACCTGGGAGAGCTGTAGACAGAGAGACAGCAGAGCATCTGTTCGAAGTGATCAATTCGAGGGAAGATATCTTGAGGAGACTGATAAGACGCTGCGCTTATCTGAAATACGTGGAGGCAAGGCTCGGTGACAGGACGCTCTATGCGGATGAGATATTGAAAGACGGGTTTTGTCTTAACATGGTTGACACGCCGCTTTGTCCTCTCAAGGTTGTGACGAATCTGCAAGAAGCTGTGTGGGATGCTGATATTGTTGTGAATGGATTGCCTTCGACGGAGACACGTGAAGTGTTTGAAGAGATTAGTAAGTATTGGAAAGAGAGGATCACGGATCCGATTATTATATCTCTGTCGAAGGGTATTGAAACTGCTCTTGAACCTGTTCCACATATCATTACTCCAACTAAGATGATCCATCAAGCAAGTAAGCTTCTTCTTGTTCTTGTTCTTGATCTTCTTGATTTTGACATATTCTTGCTTGGTTTCTGAAATGTTAACTGTTTTTGGAATTGGTGTTTGTGGTAGCTGGTGTGCCGATTGAGAATGTATTGTATCTTGGTGGACCGAACATTGCGGCTGAGATATACAACAAGGAGTATGCTAATGCAAGAATCTGTGGAGCTGAGAAGTGGAGGAAGCCACTAGCAAAGTTCTTGAGACAGCCTCATTTCATTGTTTGGGACAATAGTGATCTTGTGACGCATGAAGTAATGGGAGGTCTCAAGAATGTCTACGCCATTGGAGCTGGTAAGTTTTTGCTTGTGTTTACACCGGGGTTTGAGTGATCATGCTTTGATCCTTGTTGTTTGGTTTTGTTCAGGAATGGTTGCAGCGCTAACTAACGAGAGTGCTACAAGCAAATCGGTGTATTTTGCTCATTGTACATCAGAGATGATATTTATAACACATTTACTAGCAGAGGAACCTGAGAAACTAGCAGGGCCTTTGCTAGCTGACACTTATGTGACCTTGTTGAAAGGGCGTAACGCGTGGTATGGTCAGATGCTTGCCAAAGGGGAGATAAACAGAGACATGGGTGATAGTATAAGCGGGAAGGGAATGATTCAGGTACTGAATCTTTGAAAGAAGTTTTAGACTTTGTGGTGTGTCTATGATGCTAATGTGAATGTTGGACTTTTGTGTTGAATAGGGTGTTTCTGCAGTGGGAGCATTTTACCAATTGCTTAGTCAGTCTAGCTTAAGCATATTGCACTCTGAAGAGAAGAAACCTGTAGCCCCTGTCGAATCTTGTCCTATTTTGAAGACACTCTACAAGATACTTATCACAAGGTAAAATATTAAAATTTTGTAAAATTTTATAATTTTCCCAAAGTTTGGTAAGATTTGGTATGACATGATGGGAAATCAGATTTCTAGTTTTTTCATGAATGTCTTGGACTTATTAGTGAATACAACTTTGTGTGTGTGTGTGTGAATATTGCAGAGAACAATCAACACAAGCCATTCTGCAAGCTTTGAGGGACGAAACACTGAACGATCCGAGAGACCGTATTGAGATTGCACAGAGCCATGCATTCTACAGGCCTTCCCTTCTAGACCAGCCTTGATTAGTCACTCATGGCTTTTTATATAATCCAAACTTGTTGGAACAGATCACGGAGAGATGCAACATAAACTACCCGAAGATGCTGCATTTAATGGGAAGGGATAGTTTCACATCTGTCATGTCTTAAAATGGGTACTTGTTGGTTCAGTCTGTGAGTCAGAACAATCCTCAATCCTTTGTACTGTATAATTACTTTTCTTATCATCAACGAACTTTAATTCTCTGCTCAAATAGTTTACTGAACGAAAATAAACCCCGTTTTAACCAGGAAAATATTAACTTCATTAACCGAATAAGCATTTTGCTCTAGACTATTCAGATAAACGGCACTCTAAAGCAAAGCAAGCTCTGTAGGATAATTTGTACCGTAGTCCGTAGAAGCCAAAAAGAAACAAAAAGCAGGAGGAGGACTCTTCTATAAGGTCTAATGTTAACTATACCACCAGTGAGAAAACGGTTATGACTCAATTCTCTGCTTTGTACAATCGGTTAGCTGTGATTCTATCTGCATGGTTAACCGTTGAAGCAGCTCTTCTTTCTTGAGGGAAGAATTTGGGGAACTTCTTGTATAATAAAAAATTACGGTATATAACGTAAGTAAAATGGACTTTTGACTTCGTCAGAGAATATCGGTTTGCTAAATCCAATGCCTAAAAAATTTGGTTCGGTAAAACCATGCAACATTTTTCGTTACATCACCGCCCTCATCGAACTATTATAGGTTAAAGTCGTAACCTAATGATTGTGTCTTAACCTAATTTTTCTCATCCTATTTGATGATGAAGCAAACTATGGGGAAGTAATCGAAATCGATTGCTAAGGGGAAAGTTGCGAGGATGAACGTGGGAGAGACATCCACACCCAGGTAATCTCAGAGCTTGTATCATATAAATGAGATTTGTATCATGACACCGATTTGTTGTTAAGTTTTTTGATTCACCCTTTGATCCTTTGCAATTGGTACAGCTCTGGGCAATCGCTTCAAAAACACGAAGATCTGGTATGTAATAATATATTTTACATGCATAAATATTGTCTCTCCTACAATTTCTTTTTACAAACTATCTTGTCTACTTACTCGCAGCTACGAAAGGCTGATAAACTGAGGAGTAAGATTGATGGCTTGCACGTGTAAGAACATTATACCATTGTCCTTTTTTTTTGCTTGCTTCTTAATGTTCTCTTTTTCGAAAATCTTTGACTGATTCCTCTGGTTTTGCAATTGATACAGCTCTGAACAATTGCTTCAAAAACAAAAAGAGTATGACGCATTGGTATGTTTAATTTCTTTCACATACATTGATATCTTCTTTCTTATTTATTTCACATACATTGATATCCTCTCTCTTACAAACTATCTTGTTTCTTACAGCTGCTAAAAGCTGCGGAAGTGTTGAGGGAGATTGATGGCTTGACTTAGTAAGAACATTGTCCCTTGTCTTTTTTTTTGCTTCCTTCTTCAAATGCTTTTGCTTTTTTGGAAAAGGAAAATGTTACATATTCCTCCATTGATACAGCGCTCAGCAATGGTTTCTAAAACCAGAAGATCATGATGCGTTGCTGCTAAAAGCTAGGAAACTGAGGAGGGAGCTTGATGACTTGCAGACTCTCAACGAGTAAGAATACTTTCCCTTTTGTCTTTTTTTTTAGTTTTTGTTCTTTTAAAAAAAAAAAAATCTCACATGCTGTTTTTCAATTTTGCTTTTGAACTCACAGTAGGATGTGTGGTGAGGGTGTCGAAGCTATGACCCTCACCGATCTGCGTTCTCTGCAAGGTCAACTCCAACAAGGCCTGGACTCTGTTAGAGTCCAACTTGCACTGAAGACTAGAGAGCTTGAGGAATTTGAAAGGAGTGTGGTCAAGCAGGTAATTGGTTTTATAATCTTTCTCTGTTTTCTTGTTCTTGTGTTGTGATTGGTTTTAAGAATTTTCAATGTTTCTATCTCTTTCTTTGAATCCAGGAATTAGGAGAGGAGGAAGACACTCACACACCTGCTGGGAAACAGCTGATTAGGACTAAGAGGCAGTACGCTTTGTTGGCCCAAAAGCGACTTACAAGGAGTAGGACACTCATCAGGAAGCTTGCTAGAAGACTTCGGACCAGGTAAAACTGCTTTCTTATTTCTATATTGATTGTGTTTTAGTTACGGAAGAGATTAGGCTTAGTTGTGTTGGTGTTTATCTCTTCCCATTCCTTTTTAGATTTGGCTTTATCTTCTTCTTTATCTAGCTTTTGATTTATATTTCTTTATCTAGCTTTTGATTTATAAACATATATCCACATCGCCTCTTTCTTTGCTTAGAAGACTTAGAGATCGATTCGTCCAAGTTTGATTACAGTAACTTGTTTCTTACGCTACTGCTGCTGCAACAGTTTGTAACAAAACTTTTGTTTGCCTTTTGACAGGGGTGAGACAACGAGTCACTGGGATGACTCTGAGACACTCATCCGGGCTTTCTCCTACATGGAGAACGAAATTCCTAGGCTGGTTATGTTGAACAGGTATGTGTGATTGCCAACTTTTGTTTCTGACTAGAGTTGCGATTTGTTTGTTTGCTTCTTTGCTTCACATATGCTTCATCTCTAGTCTGCTAGTTGAATGTTCTGCTAGTTATTATATGCTATATTCAACTTGAAACATGTAGAACTCTCTGTTGTTACTGTTGCATTCTTCATAAATTATAATTTTTAACATATAGATCAGTTGTGTGTTCATATGATACTTCCATTCCTTTTCTTGTTTTAGCTTTGCGAGTGCTAGATCTTATTCTGCTGGTTGATTGTTATGCTTTTTAGTTGTTCCACTATACTTAGCATACATATCTTAATGTTCAATATGCTTTTTTCCTTTTCCTCGATTATTAACTATTGTTTCCTTTTTGTTTTGTTTTGTTAGGAGAATGGTTGGTGAGGAAATAGAGAGTCTTGACTATTCTGAGCTCATCTTTCTCAGAAAGGAGATCAATCATGCCATGGTCTGCACGTGTTCCTGCATTGTGAAGAAACTGATGAGTAAATGAAGGAATACTTTTCTTCTTTTCTGCATGTACTGGAACCTTGTTTAATGTGTAATATTTTGCTATCCTCCTTGAACTCCTTTAAACTCGTGTGTGTTTGTGTTTTTTCGTCTTTATGTCTGAGATTTTGTGACTTCATTATTTTCTCTTGAGCATACTTTTTTGCATTAAAAGAAAAACAACTGAATTGCAGATGATCTCAGGTTATGACTTTATAACTGGATCAGTTTTAATCTCGCCAGCTTCACCACCTCCTACTTTCTGTTTTGTGTTTTTCATAGACCAACCAAAAGAAGAGATATGGAAAAAGTGGAAACGTATTAACTGAGACTCAAAACAGTTTCACCTTTTCTTTCTGTAACATTTTCCCACAACCGTGGTCAATGAATCTGACGGTTGACCTCAAACCCCCAAACGAAAAGAAAACATGGGATGGTTAGCCCATTAGATCGTTAATGGGCCAATATTGGATTAGTTTACCGACTTGAATGAGCTGTATCATGAGGGAAACTGATACTGAAGCTTGGAGGAATAAGTTTGTGTTTTAATGCCATTAACATTGTAATATATTTTGCTATCCACTTAAACTCTGTGTTTGTGTTTGTTTGTCTTTCTAAAATGCAAATTTAAAGAGCAAAATCTAAACCCACTTCGATTCAAACCCCAGTTTACCAAAAATTAAAATGAGAAGACATTTTCTCCTTATAAATATATTTTTGATAGTTTCATTCTCTAAGTATATATATTTCCCAATTTCAAGAAGAAAAAACAAGCGTCTGTTGACTTATTACGGTGTAAATTATAATTTTTGAGAAGTTTCTAATTTTCGTAAAGTTTGGTACAATTTTAGTGCAATATGATGGGAAATCAAATTTCAGTGACTTTGACTTATTTTTGGACCGGATCATCTACAGGTCTTCCCTTCTATATCAGCCTTGATACTCATGGCTTATTACATAATCCAAAAAAACATTATGGCTTTAATGGGCAGGGATGGTTTCACATGTCATATTTTAAATTGGATACTTGTTGGTTAGTTGAGACAATCCTTGTACGCATATATTTACTTTTATTTATCATCAACGAACTTTATCTACTCAAATAGTTTACTGAACGTAAAAAACCGTTTTGACCAGAAAAATATGAACATCACTAATCGATAAGCATTTTACTTTTACATTGACTATTCAGGAAAACGGTAAGCCAAACAAGCTCCGTATGATGATTGTACCATAAGAGCCAAAAAGAAACAAAGAGTAAGAATGACTGTTCTATAAGCAGTCGTTCCCTGAGATATGATGTCCGTAAGCGATAAACAAAAATGATCCTGATTAATCATTATCGTCTCAAATACATATTAACGAATTGTTTGTGATACTAAAACATTATATTTTCTTATATTAACATTTTTTGCAATACATTTTGCTTCATCGTAGCAACAATTAATCATCTATAAATTTGTAAAACTGTAATACATGCTTAAAATTTTAAACATATATTAGAAATTTAAATTTTAAATCGTACTTTCTTAGAGTTGATACATTAGCAGCTGATTATTTTAGTTTTGGCTCCTCTAAATCACAAATCAAACTAAATTCAATATATAAGATAAAAACATAACTATAATTAACAAAACCTTATCAATTAGCGAATATCATTTTATTATGTTTTATGATTTGTTGTTCAAAATAAAAGATGGATATAGTAGAAGAATTAAGAATTGCAAGAAGAAGAAAAAATATTAGTTCATTTAACTATATAACTGGCTAGGTGTTATACCCTAATGTTTTTGTATTGTTAAATTAATATTTACTTCGCTATTATATCTAGATAAAATAAAACGTTTTTCTACTATTACTACTATTAGTAACAGCTACAAATTTAGACCCTTTAATTTTGTTTCATAATCTGGCCCGTAGGCCAATTTTTAATTTTGTTACACATAGGCCCTCTATAAGGTCTAATGTTAACTATACCACCGGTGAAAGAACGGTTATGTCTCCATTCTCTCTCTGCTTTGTACAATCGGTTAGCTGTGATTCTATCTGCATGGTTAACCGTTGAAGCAGCTGTCCTTTGTTGAGCTTATAGTAATGTGTTATCTTCATCTCCTTCGCTATGCTTCTCAGTTCCTTGCCTGTCTTGTCCTTCAAATCGCTTACTGAAATGACACCGGTTTGCCTGATCCTGGCTATCAATTCCAATGTTGGAGCCCTGATGATCTCAGGTTTTGACTTTTTAACTGTATCAGTTTTAACCTCGCCGCCAGCTTCACCACCTCCTCCTACTTTCTGCTTTGTGTTTCTGATAAAACTTGTCTTCATGCTGCTGTTAGACATGCTCTTCCTCTTCTTTAGTAGGACTGAGCCAGCCTTCAACAATGCATTACTCTCTGCCTTTTGTCTTGCCTCGGTAAGCATGTTTATGATCAGCTCGTCTTTAACAACAACAGTCTTCACAGCGTCTTGAACAACAACCGTCTTCACAGCGTCTTCAACAACAGTCTTCTTCGCAGCGTCTTTAACAGCAGTCTTCTTCACAGCGTCTTGAACACCAACAGTCTTCACAGCGTCTTTAACAACAGTCTTCTTCACGGCGTCTTTAACAGCAGTCTTCACAACGTCTTTAACAGCAGTCTTTACAGCTTCGGGATGTGATATTTTGCCTTTCTCATCATCACATGAGGTTTCTCTGCATTTCTCCGGTCCATCACACATTTCCAAGAGAGACTCTGTGGTAAAAGGTTCAGAAACAGCTACAATCTCTTGCACGCTATCACATCCCTCCTGAGGATCCTTTGATATTTCTCCATCTTCGTTTGTAGCAGCATTCGCAATTTCTACCACCTTCTCTCCAGTCTCTAAAACCAATGGCTTCAAAGTGGAACCTTCAGTATTCTCTTGGCTTATATCAGATGAAGATTTGTCCTCGGGGGCAGGTTTTATAGGGTCAGAGACTTGGTCAGTAACCAACGACGAACAAGAATGTTCCTCAGCTTCCTCAATCTTGCCTGCCAACACAGGGCTTAAAGAGATCTTATCTGCATCTTCTGCAACCTGTCCATCATTGTAAAAAAGACATCATTTCACTACAAAACTCCCAAGCTTCTCATTTTGGGTCTAAACAAGGTTCCCATACATGAAGAAAAGAAGAAACCTTTACATACCTCAACTGCCACTGGATCATTTGCTGGTGCCTCCTGAGGCTTTAATCTTGTTTCTGGATCTACGCCTTCCTTTTCGTTGCTAGAGTCTCTGGTCTCAATAGTTTGAGCATCGCTGATGCTGGATGAGTTTTCATCCTCATCAAGAGCCGAATTTGAAGAGCTTGTCTCAGCATCTGGAAGAATAGCACTCACTGTCTTGTCCTGTACCACACATAACAAAGTAGACTCCAAAAATTAATCACACATTTCAAGCGCATCAGTTACAATCAGGCAAAATCAAATCAAATTAGTCACTCACCGAATCAGAAGAGGTTATAACATCATGCGAGTCACCAGTCGCAGTCCCAGAGGAAGCCATTTCAATTTGGAGCGAAGCCGAATCCTTGTCAAGCTCAATCATTTCAGCATCTTGCTTCTTCTCCGTCAAAATCCGCCACACTAGCTCACAATATCTTTCGTTCTGGAAATTTACCTCGAGCACATCTAAAAAGCCACGGAAACCCAAAATTCAACAATCGATTGTGCTCAAAGAGAGTCGTAAATGCACATCTAAAACCAAATTACCTGTTCTGAAATCGAACCAAAATTCACAGCCACGAAGGATTTGCTTGCGGAAAGTATCGTCTTGCACAACTAAAAAAGAAAGGAAGAGAGAAAAAAAAGTCACAAGAGAACAAACGGTGACCATATGAGCACGATTTGACCCAACAAAAAAAAACAAGTACCAAATGGCGGACCCCAGAGATCATCATCGTCCATGGTAGCTACGACGGAAAGCCGCCAAATTTCATCCTGTTAAAACCCACATTTTCGTCCACATTTCAAAATTCCGAAGAAATCGTCACTCAAGTGGCAAAGAACAGTGGTCTAATTTCCAAAACAAAATGCGAGAAAAAAAAGACTAAAATTTACAGGAGGAGAGTAATGGGGTCTAACCAAACCGGAAACACAATCCCGTTGAGAAGACGGGAAGGAGTGAGCCGATCGGAATTCCGAAATTGATGCAGTTTTCTAGGGTTCGGAGAAGGTCGGCGAGAGAGTTTAGTGAGGGAAAGAGAGAGAGAGAGGGAGAGTGAGGAAAGAGAGAAAAAAAAAAGGCTGGAAGTGAAAGCGACGAACACTCTGCAAATATTGAGTAGAGTGTAGAGAGAGAAAGGTCGGTTAAACGGTGAACGGGGAGGCTACAAATGGAAGCCAACGGAGGCGCGTGGAGGGAAAAAAGTGTTTCCCGTTTAGCCGTTTAAGAATCCGTGAGGGGACCACGTCAACTGAAAATCTCAACCGTCAGATTATTTGACTTTTTGTTTGACCACGGTCGTGTGAAAATGTTCGTCTGTGATAGACTTACAGTACACTCTCAGATGATGCTTTTCTACATCGAACGGCTAGGAAAATATCGGGAATCGTAATAAAAACATCCTCGGATGGCAAAAGTGTAATAAAGTGTGAAGTTGGAGGGGGTCCCGCGAAGTTTTTGCGAAACGTTTCTTTATTGAACTGACATCGGAAGATGACGTCCGTACAGTTGTTGCGTTTTCCCAAAGATTTTCTCTTCATTAACGCGTGACTAATTATGTTTACAATTAAAAATGAAAATTTAATAACTCATGAATCTTAATAAAGTGGTTTTTACTTCCGGAAATAGAAACTATGATGCAAAGGCAATGAGAAATCAAAGTTTATTCGTGAAGGACCTTTTCGTATCATATATAAGCACTTTTCATAAAAGTATATTATGCAAAAATTATTGACTTTTAGAAAGTATTAGGCAAAGTTGGTGCTTTCCAACCTTTTTTCTTAACATGTATGAATGCACTTACATTGATGTGAGATAGAATTCAAGTTTTTTTATGTTATACACAATTTTTCGTCATATATAAATAATTTAATGAACGTGTAACAAGTTTCTCAACTAATAAAATGTCATCCTATGATCCTATCTTTAGAGCTCAACGAATACGCGTTAACTTTGCATAGCGGAGATTTCAATTATAACTAGAGTCTAGTGACAATATGATATACATATGACATATCTAATAGATCTATAGATGGTCATACGAAAGAGTAGATGTTATCAATATTTGTGCATCTACTAATTAAGCAAATAATCTCTAGAGATATTTCTATATTTAAATGGGATCGCACTTACTTAACATAGCACTTGATAGATAACATTCCACTTATACATGTCTATTAATATTAGGTAGATTTACGAACATACCAATAAACCACTGTATTTATGATCGTTGTGAAGTAACACTAGTGTGTTGTTAGTTAGTGGCATTTTAAGTACTCAGTGTCATACAGTTTATGTGTTAAAACATCAAGTTTGTCATCATCCCAATGCCATTACATAAAATAACATGCAATTTTCTCCATCGATTTTGTATTCAGCCACTTATATCAATCCATATCAGAACATCTAAATTCGAAAGGCTGGTTACAGACTTACGCTGGTTTTTATATTTTTATTGACTATAAGTTTTATTGACTTTTTTCGTTCTAGGTCATTTTTTTTGCTAATTAAACTCATTTAAGTACTTAAATCACCAGGATTATATTTTTCTATCAAAGTAAAAAGCTTGATCAAAGACTTACCTTGGACCTCAAGTTATCTAAGATCGTAATGAAACTCGGTTGTTTATCAAGAAGAGCAACGGTAAGAGAAATAGAGAGAGGATCACATTACAACCACAAGTTCGTGTAGAGGATTGGTTTAAGTGGAACAAAAAAACCGATTCTTGGTAAAAATAAGAATTTGCAGAATCCAAAATAAAAGATTAACAACGGAGGAATGGTATCAGGCGGTATTGGAAGAAGAAGGACCAGAAGGAAGCAGCTCGTAGCCATCGTGATGGCGACAAGACTCGACGGGTATGCATTTGAGGATAACGGCTACAATCATACTCAATGACCCTATCAAGATTGATAGTAACCAATGTTGCCAGCTTAGCGGAACAGTGCTAGCAAATGCTCCAAGAAACTCCACTATGATCACTTGAAACACTACGGTCACAGTCATTACTCCTGTGAACACCCAGCTATTGAACATCCCTTTGAACACATTTATCTTCTCTATTTCCCGGCTATTTATCTCATTGAATACCTGTTTTTAAATTTCTCATGTTATTTACTAATCTTTTATTCAATGGCTTGGGTTAGAGTGTTACCTGGCAAAAGACGAAGGAGTTAAAGATGACTGTGTTAAGAACAGCTGTTGAGTCTGGACCATCTAGTTTGAGAAGAGATTTGCCTGCAAAGTTGAGAATACCCAAGACAATCAACTGGTAAACACTTTGTCCAGCAATGTTTCTCCACATGGTTTTGGTGATAAAGCTAGCTGTTCTAGCGATCGGTGGTCGTTTCATTAAACCCTCATTAGGAGGTTCTGTTGCTAAAGCCAGTGCACCAAGTGTGTCCATTATCATGTTGACCCAAAGCAGTTGTACAGCAGTGAGTGGAGCAGAGCCTTGAAAAAAAAAAAACAATGAGCAAAAACAAAAGGAGAAAGACGGTAAGTGTTTGAATGTTGTTTATTACCTGTGATGCAAGCAGAGACGAAGTTGATGATGAGAGCAACGACATTAACAGTGAGCTGAAACTGAACAAACTTCTGAATGTTTATATACACAGCACGTCCCCATCTAGCCACATTCACTATTGTTTTGAAGTTATCGTCCATTATGATCACATCAGCATTCTCTTTCGCAACCTTGCATGTCAAGAAAGGAAACGTTAGTCTCAAGTTTTCTGATCAACCAAACCAGAAACAAAGAACAATTAGGGTTTTACCTCTGTTCCAGCTATTCCCATTGCAAGTCCAATGTCTGCCTCATGCAAAGCAGGTGCATCGTTTGTCCCATCCCCAGTTACTGAAACCACCTCTCCAATTTTCCTCAAGTTGCTGACTAAAGTATGCTTATCCAACGGCAGAGAACGAGCCATCACCTGAATTTTGGGAATAATGGCTCTCATTTCATGAGGAGGCAAATCCCTGAATTGTGAACCTTCAATAGCTAAACCTCCTTCAGTAAATATCCCACATTCTTTAGCAATTGCTTTAGCTGTGCTTATGTTATCTCCAGTGACCATACGAACAGTGATCCCAGCAGCTTGACAAGTCTCAACAGCTTCTCTAACACCAGGTCTAACCGGATCTTTGATTCCAACAACTGCCACCATTGTATAGCCTCCATCAGGAAGATCTCCACTAGGAGCTTCATCAAGATCTTTGTAAACCAAGCAGAGAGTCCTCAAAGCCTCTGAGGCAAAACCTTCTATGACATCAGAGAGATTTGTAATACGTTCTTCAGTTAATGGAACGGACTCTCCATTTGAATCCACAACATTGTCACACATTTTCAACACTATTTCAGATGCACCTTTGCAGAAAGCTCGAGCTCCACCATCAGGAAGAGCTATAAGAACAGACATTCTCTTCTTGTCTGAATTGAACGGCTCAATCTTGAGTATCTTATGCTCTTTCCTCTGCTCTCCAAAGTCACCACCTAAAAGCAAACCAAACTCAAGTATTGCTCTCTCTGTCGGAGATCCTAGGATCTGAGTGTTCCCATCTTTATCCTTAACAACTTCAGAGCCAGTGTTCTGAAATATCCCTTGCAAGAGAATACTCTTAACTTCTTCTTGTAGCTCCAAGTCAAAGCTTTCTTCATTCCCCTCTTGTCTCTCCTCAACTTTATCACATATCCATACTTTGTTGACCACCATGTGGTTAGTAGTTAAAGTCCCTGTCTTATCAGTGCAGATGCAAGTAGAAGATCCCATAGTCTCACATGCAGCAAGATGTCGCACAAGTGCTCTGTCACTCATCAGCTTCTTCATAGCAAATGCCAAACTCAACGTCACTGCCAACGGTAACCCTTCAGGCACGGCAACGACAATGATCGTTACAGAAATTGCAAAGTAGTCAAGTAACGTCAATGCATCTTCAGATGACCATTTGGTAAAGCTACCAGACCTTGCTTTCTCCAAGACAAACCTTACGCACAACACCAAAAAGGTAAGCACAGCGAAGCTTAAACCAATCTTCCCAATGATTGTTGCAACACCATTTAGCTTCACCTGAAGAGGAGTCTCATCTTCTCCACCATCAACCAACGTTTCCATCAACTTCCCCCATTCAGTCCTCATACCAACTGTTGTCACCAGCATTTTAGCAGAACCGTTTTGCACTTTGGTTCCTGAGAGAAGAAAAGGCTTCTCTTTATTCACATGAGACGGTTCACTCTCACCGGATAAGCTTGACTCGTCTATCTCCAAGTTGTAACCAGAGATAAAGATCCCATCAGCTGGAACTTGATCACCAATAGACAGATGAACAACATCTCCAACGACCAAGTCATGAATGGAAATCTCTTGTCTATTCCCATCTCTAGTGACCTGGACAATGATCTTCTTCTTCTCTCTATCCAAGTCTATGAACTGCAATGACTGCTTGTAGTCACTGATGGCAGTAACCATGACAACCAAGAGTATACTCAGCAAGATCCCTGTCCCATCATACATTCCTTTTGGAAATCCTTCTGTGGCAACACCAACGGCTATCGATACTACGGCACAGACCATAAGGATGATAAGTGTTATGTCTTGGAGAGCTTCCCAAACAAACATCAAGAAAGATCTTGCTGGTTTCTCAGCGTAACGATTCTCTCCATAGATCTTTTCTCTTATTGGAAGCTCACAAGAACGAATGCCTTCGGAGAGAGATACAGATAGTTTCTTGGCAAGTTCTTCAACTCCACCGTTTTTTGATAGGCTCTTTGTGTCATGGTTGCGAACCATAGATGCAAGTTCCTCCGCTTCGATAGAAAATCCTGCTTCTTTGACCTCATCAGTGAGCTTGTATTCTGGCCGAGCAACAGCTACAAAGAAGTACATAAAAGAAAAGTTACAATAACCATAAGTTGCCTTCTTGGTGAAATTAAGCATTGGATATCTTACCATCAATGAATTGAAGAGCTGCCTTTTGGACATAGAAAGCAACTCGGATCTTCTCCTGGTTAATTATGAGTAAAGAAAGTGAGCTAACAGATAAAACACCACAACGTGGGAAAATGTTTAGTCATGCATGAAACTGAAGATAGATGGAACAGTTTCTATGGTGCAATCAAGATACGCCAAGATTCATTTGCTTGCTTAATTTTCATTTTGCATTTTGTAAGACAGATTAAAGGCTCTTTGTAACACCACTTTATGTTTGGTCGTCAATTTAGATCACTGATCTAACAAAACCACAAGTGAAGCTAATGTAGGTAAAATGTATTTGGATTTGAAGCTCAAACCAGGATTAACAAAAGCACCTAACTGCTTATTATTCATCTCACTAAATTATGCTTTGAAACCTGAGTTAAAGAATGTAAGCGGTATTTTCATTTTTACTCAATGGTTGATCATAAAACTTTTATCTTGATTTAAAAAGACTGAAACGAGTTTAAATTTAAACGTGAAAAAAAAGAATGAATAAAAGGACAAAGGAAGACCAACATGAGCTCAATAGCTCATATCCAAAAGAATCTAGAAAATGCTTCTTTATCTGGTTTATCTATACAAGTGGCGAGATATAATTGATGTCTGTTTTCAGAACCTTATGAATACACCTGGCGAAGTTTCCTTGTAAACTTCCCTACGCTAAAACAATTGCACACAAGAAGTCAAAGAGACTGTCGTACTCGTACTGGTACCATAAGTCAAGAACTATGTAAATACTAAATAGCAATAATTGATTTAAGGGGAAAAACAAAAATGCGAATTTCATATCGAAAGGCAGATTTGTTGATATTATAATTCGTCCTTTCGTGTTTGGATCAGTCGCTAAGATAGCCAAGAATAGCAAAAACTAAAAAGGGTCAGACCTTTGCTGGCCTCTCAAAATTGATCGGCTCATCTTCTTGTGTAAATACAGCCGAGGACACAAAAAACCATGACAGGACTTGATGTCATTATCATGTGTGTTGGCAGTTGAAGAATTTTTTTGTTCTTTGGCTTCCTTTCCGTAGTTGGATAATACAAAGATAAGGCCAAAATTAATAACTAATTGCTCCTTAATATATCATAATCTCTCTAATTCCTATTTCCCTGAGGCCTGAGTTGTGTTCAAAATCTTCATTTCTTAGTCGTCGAGTATAAGACTAGCATTTTGTATTTACGCGTAACATAAAACGAGCGAAATGGTACCATTTGATTACGCAAAATATCATGTGACTTCATAAGAGAAAAGTAAACAATTTTTTATTAATAATCAAAAGTACCTATTTTTCTTTCTATTTTTTATAATTTCTAAGAAAAAGTAATTGAAACAAATATAAAAAAAGGGGAAATAGTTTGGCAGATCTTAAAAGTGATGAAAGATCAAATCATCAAAGTAGTCTTTGAAAAATAACAAGTACAGCCTTTCTGTTTATACTTTATAGTCCTTTCGTACGGATCATTCAGTGGCAGAAGAAAAGCCGAAAATGGTTATCACAACAAAATAAAACGCTTAACCAAGAAATTTAAAGAAGTTTCGGAAATACTTTCCCATTTTCTTGGAGAAAATCCAATCATCCTCCAGTAACAACTAAATAAACCGTATCGAGATCGAAAAAGCAGTACCATAATCACAGTATTCCATCTCCGTCGTTGCTTATGAGTTATGAACAACAGAATCACCAAAAAAGAAAAGAAAAATTGGGAAGGAAACAAATACAAACCTGGATCTGGTGCCTCTTAGTCTCGTACTCAGCGAGCTTATCGAGGTCACGAATGTTACGGAAACGACGAGCACGGTTCTTGACGATGGAGACTGAAGATCTCCATCGCTGCCTCGCTTCAAGCGTCGGATTAGCGTCAACCTCGAAATCCTTGAGCAAATTCGACATTTCTCAAACTCACTCTCACTCTCTGTTTTTCACTCTCAGAAAAAATGAACTGTTTTTAAATAAAGAAAACTTCGCCGGCGCGAAGGCAGCTGAGAGGGAAACAGAGAGGACTGCGCCTGCTTTAATCTCTTTGCACTTTGTTCTCTAGCAAATGGGTCTTAACATTAAAACCAAAAAAAAAAATAAAAAAAAAATAAAAATAAAATGGGTTTTGTTTCTGAGAGTTGCTTTTTCTGGACTACCCAAACCCGACGCGATAAAGTCGGATCATACACTCGGGTAGGGCCCATATGTTCATTCAAAAATTTCATTTCTGTTTCATTCGGGTAATAAAGGGATCAAATGATCCGACCCGGACGAATATTAAACGTCCACAACTATGCTTTTGATATTTTAAGTTTCTTGTTTGGAGTCTCAAGATCTATGCCTTTTATTATTTTTTACAATTACCTATGATGTTATTCACGTGCGGAAACTCTTCACAACAAGAGATTTATGTTTCCGAGAGTGATTAAACAAATGCGATTAATGAGCAACCAACAATTATACGTCTACTAACGATAATTTTTATAGTGTTTGGTGATTCATGCAGCAGCAGTATTAAGACTTTGAATGGTTGTTGTACAAACTGAAGTACTTCTGTTCAGCAGCATCGAGTTTAACTCTAAATTCTATTTTGTTTTCACCAATCAAAAATACGAAGGACGTTTTCCTTTTTGTTTAACTTTGTTTTGCTGAGAAGCAGCAGGAAAGAGGATAATATTAATAGGAGAGCAACAAAACAAAACAAAAAAAATCATCTACAAATTAAAGCTCACGAGGAGAAGGAGAATATATTCCTCTAAAATTCATTTTCTTTTCCTCTTGTTTTTGTTCTTCTGATTCCACTTGTTAATTACTCCTATAATAGTTTAATACTATGAACTACTCCTCTGAAATTCATATAATTTGTAGTTAATTACTCCACTTTAGCACACACGTAAAAAAGAAACCATATGATGTTTGAACTATCCGTTGCACATACTCAACAGTCGTCAAAGATTCGACAGTTTTTGAAAAGTAATAACAATCGATTGCAAAATGTTGCTGTAGTTTTGTTTTTAGTAATGGATAATAAAGAAGCAAACCAAGTTAAAAGGGAGAGATGCCTCATGCCGCCCCAACTTGGATCATGGAGAAAATCAGAGCACTTGGCGCTGCCGTAGTCAGAATTCTGTTTTTGCTCGTAAAGTTTTTTATTCCTATTCTTTTACCTTTTTCTCACTTTTAAACTTTCACTTTTAAACTTTTACGTATACGGAAGAAACAGGTCAAAGACATTTTCGGTGCCATTATCTGTCAGAGTGTCACCAAACCTTCAAGTCAATATCTCTTTTCTGTAAAAGAGAGAATACACCCACATTGTGAAAAAAATATTGAGGCTTGAGCAATCAAAGAGAGAATAAACCCAGAAGTCAAATCTTTTATGAGTTTATATTTTGTATTATGATGAATTATTAGTTCAGACATCAAACCAACTTGTTTGAAGATTTATTTCAAAGAATGAGATTTGGGGCACTGTTTGTTGGAATATACTAACAGTTAACAACTAACATACATGTTGTCAATAAAACTCCCTAAAAATAAAAAAACCATGGCAAAGCTGATGAACGCTACTCTCAAAATCATTACCATTTGCAACAAAACTCCAAGAAGAAGGTTAAAAAAAAAAACAAACGAGCAACTGAAATGAACAGCACAGCTTCAGAGATCGTGTGACATCGTTGATTCAAGCCTGCGTAACCAGTTAACGTACTGATCCTGCTCCTTCTTGTTAAGATGACACAAGAGGAAATTGGTTAAGCCTTCACTGACTCCCTTGGATCTTAAGTATTCCTTCATTGCACCATGTAGTTTCATATCTATTGTCCTAAAAGAACCAAAAGAAAGAGAACAACAAAAAATAAACACTCGTCAGACAAAACCAAGAAGACATAAGGATTCAAGTAAACGACTTAAACACCAGGGGAAGGATTCAAAGTGAAATTACTCGAAAAAGTGTCCACCGTAAGTCGAAGAACGCGCAGAGGAGGAGGCAGAGCGGATAAAACAAGCTCCCGCGATGTCGAAATCAGAGCATCTAGGTCCGGTTTCGTTAACGTGGCAATCAAACTGCAAGATCGAGCTGAGTCCAGGCTTTCTGATACACACTTTGGCCAGAGCGGACCTTGGAAACATTGTGTCTTCACCTTCTATTGGTTCCTTTTCCAGTAAAGCTGACACCACAACCTCTTCCCCTGAATCAAATCGTCTCCTCAGAACAATGTCTTTGCTTTCCGAAGATTCCCAATCCAATTTGAAATCTCCGATATTACCAGTCTCAACGTTCTGTGTTCAGGCACAAAGGCAAAATCATAAATGTAGTTAAAACACTTGAGCCTAGGGTTTAAGCGAGGGTTCCAACACCAAAACACGAATTCATCCTCAGTAACATACGAGAATTTGAAATCGAACGAATAGAAGAGACGAAGTAAAGTTTTGAGCAGCATTTGATTGAGAATTTAACTGAGAGATTACTAAGACGCGGAGAAGGAAGAGGAAGATTGATATTACCTGGAAGCGAGGGGTGGAGATTTCGTGACGAATTTCGGATTGGATGATCTTCAGCAGAACGTTATCCTCAACAATTTTGAGGCCTCGTTGCAGAAGCGAATTCATCTTCATCATCTCTCTCTCTCTCGAGTTAACTCTTTTGCCTTCGTTCCTCCGAAACGGCTTCCCAATCAGCGAAATACAAGAACAACAAAATAGACCAAATTGTTCGAACCCGGTTCGGTTCGGTTCGATTTTATACTGCAATTACGTACCGTTTGTTGGATTAACGAATTTTTTGATTAATAGCAGATGCCTTGTGTTTAAGTTTAAACCGAAAGACGAAATAAAAACACCATTCGATAATTGTAATTTAAAAACACCATTTGATAATTGTAATTGTGTAAAGTAGAAGAAATAAAAACACCTTGTGTGAAGTAGAAGAAATAAAAACACCATTTGATAATTGTAATTAGAAGAAATAAAAACACCTTGTGTGAAGAAATAATTGTAATTTGAAGACAATAAATAATTAAAAAAATTGTAATTGTAATTGTAATGTGAAGAAATAATTGTCATTGTAATGTAATGTAATTTAAGATAATTGTAATTTAGGATAAGTAGAAGAAATAAAAACACCATTTGATAATTTATGATATAAAAACACCATTGAAGTAGAACAAAAAAAAACACCATTTGAAGTAAAAACACCATTAAGATATAAAATCACCATTTGAAATAGAAGAAAACACCATTTGATAATTTAAGATAAGTAGAAGAAATAAAAACACCATTTGATAATTGTAATTTAAGATACACCATTTGATAATTGTAATTTAAAATTATTTCAAATTTGCAATAATTTGTTCAACGCCTCTAAAAAATTAAACTAAAACCTACAAAATGTCATTGAATTTGCAATAAAACATAGTTTATACGCATAAAATAGACATCAAATTCAGTAAAAACTATGGAATTATTTAAACTAGTTCAAACTAAACAGTTCAGTTTAAACTTATTAATTTCATGGCTTTTACCGAATTTAGTGTTAATTATATGTAAGATAACTATGTTTTCATTTCATTTCAATCGTTTACTAAACTTTTGGTTTTGGTGATTATGGTTTGATGTAGCCAAGTTTGTGCAGACCAAGTGCAGTTAATCATTTTAGTTTTCATAATTTATCTCAAACCTTTGTAGAACTGACTGTTTTTATCTAATTTTCAGTTTCTTGGACATCGTAAATAATCTTATTTCTATTAAAATCTATAAAATGAAAAAAGTTTGAAAATCCATTAAATAATTAAATTACCTCAATTTGACGTTTATGTTGGATTTTAAGTCATTGATTTGGTATAACAAATGTTATCAACAAAAGTAATAAATACATGATTCTATCAAATTATTATGTGATTGGTATATTCTAGTTTGTTTTGATATTCATGGTTCGATCAAATTATTATGTGATTAGTATATTCTAGTTCATTTGATTTTAAAAAGACCAATATGTTGAAGCATATGAACCCTTGTGTTTAAGTTCTTGTGTTTAAGTTTAACCAAAAGATGAGGAATCAAAGTTCTTACTGTGAAGTAAAAGAATAAAAACACCATTTGATACTTACAAATTAAAATTGTTTCAAATTTGCAATAATTTTTCCAACGATTCTAAAAAACCTTATAAAATGCCATTCTTTTTTTTAGTCATGATTTGGTTCATTAAGTATTTAGATTCAAAAATAATTGATTAGTTTTTTCAGAAAAACTAAAGAGAAAAGGTTCCAGAGTTATAACGCAAAACATACATAAATTACTCCATATAATAAGCACTTCATTAATTGATCAAAAGCTTCATTAACTGATCATAAGCACTTAATTAGTTAAGCCTCAAATTGATCAAAAGCTTCGAGCCACCTTCTCGTACAAGTCACGAGGCCAGTTCCGGTGCGTGTTGCTTGCAAGAAACCCAGCAATCTGCCCAAAGCAATCAGAGACTTCATTCATTATTCATGACTTTATATAGTAATTCACTCAAACCAAATCATGTTTCTTCGTTAAATTTTAAGTACCTTGGATCTCATGGCACGGATCGATCCATCAGTGTCAGGCACATTGTCTACACACGTTAGCGCAACTTTGAGCAGGTCCGGGACACAAGTCTGGAAGTAAGGAGATGCGCTCTGGAACACGTCAGCGGTTGCATCGGGCATTCTTGGATCAAGATGAAGGAACGGAAGTTTTGCGATTTCCCTCAAAGCATCCAGATGATTGCCTTGTCTACCCAACTTGTGGATCGCTAGTATTGCCTCGAGCTCTCTTAGTATGGTTTCTTGCTCCATCACTCGCTCTCTTTCCTGGACACTGCGAAACAAAAATTGAAAACAAACCTCTTGAGCACATCTCTCAACTTGAAGAAAAGTATTATACAGATTAAAAGATATCAAGCTTGCAATAAACATATTACCTGACTTCAGGGTAATATTTGTAAGTCTGAAGAATATCGTTTCCAGCGAGAATAAGCCCTGATGTTCGGCTTTCACCGTCTAATCTTCCACGGGCAAGAGAGCAAATGGCTTCAGACAGACACTTGTTTATAGTCTCCAAGGCAGCCGAAAATGCACCCACTCTCTTCTGTATTTCAATGGACTGACAATACATGGAAAACATGGTGAAAAGCTTTATTAAAAGGCCGAAGCAGAGTTAGCTCTAGACAATGTTAGATGGGATGAGAAGCTACTTACTTTGTCGTATAATCCAGCTTCTTGACATTGATGTGCAGCTTCGATCAAGAACTGGTGTCTCGATCTAGCATCAGGGAAAAACCTTCCAAGCTGACCTTCTTCACCAGAACCTCTTCCTCCAAGCAACAAGTAGATACCACCTTCTCGCAGCAGAATCTCAGTCAGTAGCTGCTTCAGCATTAAGTTTCTCTGCCTCTGTTGATCCGTATTACTTCTTCCGGACCAAGCTAATTGCCCACCACCTACACTAACAGCAGCTTGTGCATAGTACTCCACCGTCATTTGGAGATCCCCATGATGCAAAAACATTGACCCGTATTGCCTAATCATGCTAGAGGCCTCAGCATTAGCATCCATCACACTCAGTTTGTGGCCAGTCCCAGAGCCTTCAGATAGAACGGAATGGTCCACTAGAGAGATAGCTATATGAACAGCGTCAATATTATAGCCTCCGTCTCCTCCTTCTTTAGATAAGTGCATGATAGCGGGAAGCAACTGAATGCTGAGAAGCAAGACATATGGATATACCAAAGGGTCTTTTCCATTCTTAGTGTAGTATGAAGGCTCGAATTTGTTTAGATAAGCCTGGAGATCATCTAAACTGTACGGCGCGAGGCCATCATTCAATACCACAGATGAAGATCCACCAGAGACGTCTCTTATGCATGATAGTTTGAACCATAAGAAATCTTCAATTGTGTTGAAGAGTGTAGACAGATCCCTCAGTATGCGCTCAACTTGCCTGCGGGAACCAGAGATGATGGTGTAGAGTAGGAGTTTCTTCTTGTCATATGCGGTTCTGCCAAGCCGATCACCCATTCTTAACATTTTTTCACATTCTTCAGATGCAATAGCTGCAGTCTCTGCTGCCACCATACCATCTGTGGTGATCCACTCATTAAGCTGCAAAAAGGGAAGGTCTAACTAAGGAGCTGATTCCAAAACTCTCGTAACTTATAGTAAGATGTAAATGAAACCTACCAGTGGTGCAAATTGCTGAGATGACCGAGTTGACTGAGCAACTTCCCTAGCCTCCTCATAATACCCAGTTCGTAAGCAAAAATATATCTGAGATTCAAGAGATATATATCAGCCATCCCATATAAAAGGCATGCAAGTCCGTAACGTAAATCTCTATATCTCAATTGAATGTTAAGGACGAAGTTCAAAATGCAAGGGAAATATCCAAAACCTGTTGCCAAGTCGTATCAACAGGAGGCTGCCTACGTGCATCAGGTGAATCAAAATCCAAAGTTCCATACTCTTTCAAACGAATCTGCACAGTAAAGAAAACAAGAAATAAGAAAGTTAAAACAGCTGTTTGAACATATGATGCATGCTAAGGTCTTTAAATTCTGTGACACTAACCCGAAGGAAAGCACGAATTCTTTGCAAATTTCCAACAGATCCACCAAGAGAAGCCTGGAACAGGATTCGAAAAGCAAGACACATGTCAGAATGATCAGTGATTACCAACACTCTTGAAATAGATTGAAAGATCAATGATCAGTGATCACTTGTGTAGGGTGACTCTGAATTGTGTCCATGATATGTTTCTCATGCCCACGTTGTAAATGACGTCTTGCACCTATCGCGAGGGACATCCTCTTCGAAACACCCTGTCGAACTGCTGAATCTTCACCTGTTATTGTCTGGAAAAGGTTTTTCAACAATCAAAAATAGTTTGCATAAATCTGAGGAACGCAAAATGATGGCAATCCTTAGAGAGTGATCTAGCTGGACGAAATAGTTTCCGGTTAATATATTACCTGAACAAGCTCCCATATTTTCTGCATGTTGACTGATTTTCCACGAGTTACCTCAGCACCAAGAGATTCATAAGCCTCCTTAAAACACATTGCAGGCTACACAAAAGTAAGAATTAGGATCAGTAGCAAGCACACCCAAACAATAAATCTGAATGTAGAAATTCATCGTCAAAAGGTAGAGTGCATACAAAATGAAAAAAATATGAGAATTCTAAAAGTATTCGTACTCTAAATGGCGAGCCTCGTTCTCTTGCAGTGTTAAGTTTCTTCACAACCTCTCCATAGACATATGCTTTTTTCTCATGAATGGGTATGTTAGCCAGAGCCACAAGTTCTTTGCCTGGTGTTGAGGACACACGCGGACTTGAAGCCACCGGCACTAGGTGACCAGCATTAGCCTCTCTGCTTGTATCAATCATATTCGTTTTAGGTAACATTGATATTCTGCTAAGGCTCTGAAGGAAGTCACGTTTTTCTTTTCTCCAATCCTCCTGTCATTTCAGATTCACACCAAATATTTGGATAGTAAGTATGCAAATCTTTCGAATATGTCAACAAGCAAACCACTAGCTAATAAAAGCCTTCTCAATTTCATACAACTACCAACTTATCAATCTTTGTATGCAAAAGCATACTGAGCAAGAAAAACCAAAAGGCTAGGAGAAAAGGGATAGCCAGAATACAAACCTCCAGGACTTTCATCATATAATCATTAAAGCTTCGAACATTATCCTTTTGAGCTTCCTGTATAGCTGATACCATAGCCATTTCATGAACCTGAGAAAACAAAAAACAACACCACACATCATAACAGTCAGTCATCGTCAAGAGAAACAATCTATAAAGATAGTAAACTTCAGAAAATCGCCGAGAAATGGAAGTACCTGTTGCAGGTACTCTTCAACGCTCGTAGCCTCAGCAGGGAACACATCCTCAAATGTTGTCTTCAAAGAGAGAAAAAAACCATTTAATGCCACAATGAGAATAATCAGCAATGCACAAAGCAATCGTTCAAGAAGCGTATGCAGACGATAACCAGAGTAAGCTAAGGTGGACGATAGAATAAGAAAATGTTCACCTTCAGCTCAAAAGATTTTAGATCGCGAGCTAGTTGCTCTGCATTGATTCCCTCCCGTGCGAGTAATCTGCAAAACTCCAACAAAGATGAAAGACAACGGAATCATTTCATACTCGTAGGGACTAGATACTCATTTTTGAAATTTCAAAAAAAAATTGAAGCAGAAACTATTCGAGAAATCACCTAGTGGCGGCAATAGACTGAGAAGGAGCTTCGTTCCTTAGGGTTTTAGCCTTGAGCTTCTTCGACAACGCTTCCAGCTGATCTAAATTTCTCTGAAAGCGACACAGACACGGATTTAATCGAGTTAATTCGAAATAAAGAGCATTGAATTTCCAGCCCAGAGAAGAAATAAAAACATCCGGAGAAACTAGAGGGAAATCGGAGGAGGAAAGAGCAGCGGAAAGCGGGAAAAACCTGAAGAGGAGGAAACTGAGACGAAGGAGCAGCTTGCTCTAAGAGCTTCGAAGAAGAATGGAGAAGATCAGTCCATCCACTCATCTCTTGGTCGTTCGCCATTGATATCGGTGGATTCGAGCTACGCAGTCGGAGAAGCAAAGAGAGGGTTTTGGGATTTAAACTTTTTTTAATTAAAACTTTTTTATTTGTTTTAGGATTTATTTATTTATTACCACTTCTTTCATGGCGACGAAATAACCGGGTTTCACTCTGTAATAGCACAGGCTTGATTTTCAAATTCACTGCATTTTGCATTTGATAATGAATTGGAGCGTCTTTCCGAAAACTAAGTACTGTAATGTGTGGTAAAGAAATGTAATGACATCAGGCATTATTATCATTCAATTTGTCACGATTAGCAATGAAATTATACTACTACTGTATTTTGTTAATTTCTCAACATATCATTGCAAAATCCAGTTCCATTTTTATCACTTTTAAGTTTTTTCAACATTTTAAACCGACTATTGTACTCTCTATCCTGTTTGAGGTTTTAGCTTGTCAAAACCATAAATCCAAAAGCATTTTACGCTGTTTGGACGTTTAGAAGACTCGATATTAAAAACTCTTGTCTTGAGTTTTCATGGCGTTTATTATCACCTTTCAGCCACAACAAAATGCAAGTCTTCCTCATCAGCTTTTTTCTTTCTTTCTTTCGTATTTAGACGCATGGGACTATAGGAAACAAGAGTGAATAAAAAAACCTTCTTCCTTACTATGAAATTTTAGTTTTCTTTTGTCAAGTCTTTCACGCATTACAAGAATCTTAACAAAGGACTCCAAAAAGAAAGAAATTTAAAAAGAAACAAGAAGCATCTCTACTAGAGAGAACACTTAGCTTTGTATCCTCCTCAACATAGATATATATATTGCATAGAAGAAGAATAAAGAAAGAATTTTCAAGGACTTGAGAGGTTTTTCAGGTCCTCTTCCTTGGCATACCAACTTGGTGCTATCTTTGGAAGATGAGGATACAAGTCTTTGTATGAATTCCTTATTGTCCCTTCTGCTACTCCTGTCGCTAGCGATATTTCTGCACCCCCCCAAAACATTCATTCATCAGTCTGAGATTTGTTTACAAACCTTTCCTCAGAATTGCTAGAAAAGAAAGAAGAAAAAAAACAAACCTTTGAGAGGCTTCTTGTCATCAGAAAGCTGTGTTATGATATAGATAACTACTGCTGCTATTGATATAGGACTCCTCCTGCAAGATGCCAAATAAAGAGATCTGTATAAGGATCTGCTGTGTCTATCTAGGTACCGAATCTGCGAATAGAATGATACGTACCTGATATCAAATTCCTCAGACTTCTTCACAGCTTCTTGAGCAGCTTTAACAGCTTGCTGAGACATTCCAAGGTTAGAGCAGAACCTTCTCTGCAATATCAGCAGCAAGACGGTCGCAAATGTCAATACAAGCCAACATATACTAACGTACCAAAGGTACCAGCAACAAACTTGTACAGAATTAGGCCAAACTCACCATGAAATCACCAGCGTGAATGGTGCCCAATTCGACAGAATTGCCAGTCTCCAGCCCCAATGTTTTAACTATGTAGTCTTTCGCTCTTCCAATTTCCTTCTTTGTTGCTCCATTGGCAACAGAGCAGATTTCTATTCACAAGGTTCAGGAATTTTTGATTGACTTATGGCAAAGCTATATCAAAGACTCTCTCTCAAATGAGAAATCATTTGAACTGTACCCTTAATAGTTCGTGGCTTGTCCTCTTGTCTACACGATATGTACAAGCAGGCTGCCAAAAGCGCATCCTGGTTTCTTCCCCTGGTTGACTTTTGATCCTCCAGCCTCTTAAATATCTCATTAGCCCGATCCTACATTTCACCAACCATAAACAAAACCACCAAATCCATAAATCATAGGCTCCAATATGACATTAATTCCAGTAACATGTACGCAGGCTATTAACCCCGCCAGGTTAATAGAGACGAACAAGCTTACCTTGATAGTTGCAACAAGTCCCAACCTGGAAAAAAAGATCAACAAGTAAGTACTCTCTCACATGAATCACAACGTACAAACACAGCAATACATGAATCTTCAAAGTATAAACACACACTCTACACCAACAACAGCAACATCAACAAGGTAAAATTTTCTCATTGGACATTTAAAAATGAACCCTTTTTGGTTATGCAATTGACAATGTGATTTCTCAATACTTGCAAACAGGCATCAAAAGCATGGACAACAAATCAAAACCCACAGCTGATCGAAAACTGCGTTATGAATAAAATCTCCAAACGAAACGCCATTTTTGCATAAACCAGGAAACACCAACCAAAATTCAGCTATAACGATCATGTAATCTAAGCCACATAGATCCGATCCAATCTCATAGGCAATATTGGAAATCCGCGAGAATTGGATCTCAAAAAGAGGCGAAATCGCGATGTATACCTATCGGACATGGTGGCAATGGTTTTAAACGCCTGGATCAGGCCACGATCGGAATTGGAGTTACGATTCTGCCACCTCCCGAGAGAAGAAGACAAGAAATCGCCGGAGGAACCGTTGGGCTTGGCGATGACAGTGGTGAGAGCACTATCGGCGAGGAGGGGGTTGGTCGGACCACCGACACGGTTCGGATCGCTGTTGGAGGACTCATTGGCGAAGGTACGCCACTCGGAGGTCTCGTCGATCGAGTGCGACTCCAAAACCAGTCCACACTCGGAGCACAAGGTGTCTCCGGCGGAGTGATCGAACACCAGCTCCGTCTCCTTTTTGCAATCGGTACAATACGCATCCGACATGATTGATGATGATCAAAAACCCTAAAAATTCACCCCCTTCTCCAGAAAAATGAAAGAAGAGCCCTAAATAGATCTCAAGCGGTTACAGATTCCTCCGATTTATTTCTGCCTTTCTTCTCGGTCTTCTTCTTCGGAGAGACGAAATTAAAAACCGAAACTAAACACGATGGCTATGTGTGTGGGGAAGGAGAGAATCCGTAGGTTTGTTTCACCTTTTATAGACAAAGTAGATGAGGAGCAAATTGACCTGTAGGGAGGTGCACCTAAACGAGAAGATCTGGGCCGTAGAATTTAGTGGGACCCATTAATAATCAATCCAACGTCGGTTAATTTTCTCCAGCGATTGACGTTTGTTTCTTTTCTTTTTATTTGTAGCTTTGCTTGTCCGTTTTAGGAGGACAGAGGAAAAAGAAATAAGTGACTTGTTAGGGAAGTCATACCGGTCGCATGTGTTGGATTATAGTTGGGAAGATTTTTGGAGTGTTTGGATATTGGAACAGAAAATAAACTTGCAGTGTTTGGATGTAGGAACAGAAAATAAACAGGTAGTGTGAAGTGAACTTGTTCCTATTGAACTTGGCTCAATTGATAATCTAGATACAGAAACCAAATGTTGGGTAATTTTATTCCTGAAATGGCTAAACATTAGTACGTGAGACAAACGGATGATTCGCTCTGAAGTTGACATATCACCCCGTTTTAACTATTATACGTATCTTCACAGAATTACAGAAATTATGGATAAGTTTTACATTAATATGACTAGGAACTTTTTAATTTGGTATATTACTATTACTTTATGGACCACGTTAACGGATAGTTCTACCAAATTAATGTCCCTCTGTGTTATTAGATTAAACATTCAATTATATCAGATTTTATTTTTATTACTTGTAAGTTGTAAATCTGTGCCGTGTGATTATACTTTTTTTTGTAAATTTAAAGCACTTGATTTGAACATTGCACTAGTGAGCAACAAGACAAAACAAAAATGTTGATATTAATTATCAGTTGTCGTTTCATTTACAAATAAAGCGAAACATTCGGGCATTATCAACCAGAAAACCACTGTCAAGAAGATGGACTTTCTGAATATAGCCATTAGCCAGGTCGTACTTAAAAAGGAGATTCATGCATAGAGAAGAGATGAGCGTAAGGTCAAGGGACTTCCGCCGATAACACAGTACTGAAAACTTTTGTCCACGCTCGACTAACCAAAAAAAATTCGTGAGTGCCTTTAGCTTGGTGCCTATGTTCGTATATATCATCACTTCTATAATTCTATTGCATGGGTTCTAGATATTCTGATTCATATTTTTATTTTCTTAATGTATGATGTAAGATTGTAAATAAATGATCCGTCACGTTCATTGAGAGTTTTGAATGTAAAAATGGCAAATTCCACGCTAGCATTCACATATTTGTAGGGTTGTTCAATTAGGTGAATATTAATTAGAAGTTAGTTTAGTTAGGAAAGTAAGTAAGTACGTGAGTAGCGTTTGTGAGAAGGTAAGAAAAATGTAGATGCGAGAAGCCCTTCGTGCTTGGGAAAGCATATTTCGTCGATCTCACCAGTTACCGGCCGATTCGTAAGACGAGAAAATTTAAAATAGTGAAAAAAATGTCGAAATCGGAATTAGTTTACCATTTTACTTTGATTTATATATGTAGACTAACAGTGCTTTTCTATTACTGTATTTTTATTAAGTCTTGACATTTCTTATGAAAAACATTGGATATTACTCTCTTAGTCTCTTCATAGCTACGTAAAGAAATCACTAATATCCGACGGTATTCAGGCAATAAAGAGCTATAAGAAAGTGAAGCAGAGGAAGAGAACAAAAAATATAACAATCTATCGTCTGAGTATTTGGAAGTCGTTGGAACTTGGAAGGGATGAGTTCGATGTCGTTGTAGTCTAATTAAAATATTCATTATATTTTTGCATTTTATGTGGTGAATAGCTCTAATACACGGCAAAGATACAGCTCGTTACCTTTTTAATTTTGTATAGTAGCTTATATTATGCGAATCTAATTGTCAAGAAACAGATGTTCGGCGTTATGCACATGCCACATGCCAACAAGAATGTGCATATTTAAGCCGTTTTAGGCCCACAAGACCAAATGCTGTGCCGTTTTTTGTTAGTCTAAAGTCTGAATAATCAACCCTTTTTTTTTTTGAACGACAAGTCTGAATAATCAACCTTTCTTACGCAAACTTATCAAGTTGTGAATATTATTTATTTTTGCTAAACAGTTATATATGAATATCACCAAAATGAATTCTCTTAACTTATAGGAACAAATTTATGCAAAAAAACGAAGAAAAATATATAAATCGAAGTACGATGATGTATGAAAAAAAAAGAACAAGAAAATTAAAGGTCTAATTATATGACTTTGACCAAGTCACCAAACAATTGGACAGCCATCTCCTTTCTGTTGTTTCCGTGTTCTTACCGAAAACCAGAGGAAAGTCCACTAAACCCCAAATGTTATAAAAATACTTTTTAAGGACATTATTTTAATACTCCAATTGATACTTTTCATAGTTCTACTCGTTAAATAGTTGTATGTATATATGCGTGTGTATCAAAACTCTACCGTGTCTTTATCAAAAAGTCTATCTTTAAATCCTCAGAGACACTAATCTCTCTTCTTTCTCCTTCTTCCCTAAGAAAAGTATTTTTTGTGACTAGAGAAATTAGTTTCCGGTGATTTCCTCTGAAACGTCACCAAATTCATCAAAATCAAAACTTGTGTTCAGGGTTTTTGATCTTCTTCCTCTGTTTGTACCTTTCGCAGAAGATGGTTCAGTACCAGAGACTAATCATCCACCATGGAAGAAAAGACGAGAGGTTTAGAGTTTCAGCAGAGGAAGGTGGTGGCTTGAAGAGAGCTAAACAAAAGTTTCTTTCTCTTCTCTTCCTCTCTATCCTTTCTTGCTGCTTCATCTTGTCTCCTTATCTCTTCGGCTTCTCTACTCTCTCTTTCATAGGTATGAATCTTTTATACATATCTCCCACAAAAACATATTTTTGTGTGTTTTTGGATTTTGTATTTCTGATTCATCACTCAATCTCTCTCTTTTTATTCTTCTGCAGATTCGTTTGGCAGAGAAAGCGAAAGTCTTACTTCTTATGAGCCACTCACTGCCCCTCTCTGCTCAGATGTCTCCAATGGTTAGTATTCTAATTTCTTGTTCAAATCCAATCCAAAAATATTTGACCATAAAACAGAGTCTTGATCTCTTCATTTTAACCTAGAAACCTAATTTGTGTAACTTGTTACTTACGGTTCTTGATTTTTACATCTCTGTGTAGGAACCATTTGTTGTGACAGAACCGGTTTGAGATCCGACATCTGTGTAATGAAAGGTGATGTCCGAACAAACTCTGCGTCTTCCTCACTCTTCCTCTTCACCTCATCCACCAAGAACAACACAAAACACGAGAAGATCAAACCCTACACAAGAAAATGGGAGACTAGCGTGATGGACACGGTTCAAGAACTCAACCTCATCATCACCAAAGATTCAAACAAATCTTCTTCAGATCCTGTCTGCGACGTCCACCACGATGTTCCCGCAGTGTTCTTCTCCACGGGAGGATACACAGGAAACGTGTACCACGAGTTCAACGACGGGATCATCCCTCTGTTCATAACTTCGCAACGTTTCAACAAGAAAGTTGTGTTTGTGATCGTCGAGTATCATGATTGGTGGGAGATGAAATACGGAGATATCGTCAAGCAGCTCTCTGATTATCCACTTGTGGATTTCAACGGAGATTCAAGAACGCATTGTTTCAAAGAAGCAACCGTTGGATTGCGTATTCACGACGAGCTAACAGTGAACTCTACGCTAATGGTTAACGGGAATCAAACCATTGTTGATTTCAGAAACGTTTTGGATCGAGCTTACTCGCCTCGTATCCAAAGCTTGATTCAGGAGGCGAACGAGACAACAACGACGGTTGATGTCAAGAAACCTAAGCTGGTGATTATGTCAAGAAACGGATCGTCGAGAGCGATACTAAACGAGAATCTTCTTGTGAAGCTTGCGGAACAAACCGGGTTTATTGTGGAGGTTCTTAGACCGGACAAGAGGACAGAGATGGCTAAGATTTATCGGTCGATGAACACAAGCGATGTCATGATCGGTGTACATGGAGCTGCAATGACTCATTTCCTTTTCTTGAGACCGAAGACAGTTTTCATTCAGATTGTTCCGTTAGGGACTGATTGGGCGGCAGAGACGTATTATGGAGAACCGGCGAAGAAGCTTGGATTGAAGTACGTTGGGTACAAGATTAAACCGGAAGAGAGCTCTTTGTATGATGAGTATGGCAGAGATGATCCTGTAATCCGAGATCCGGATAGTCTCAACGATAAAGGATGGGAATATACGAAGAAAGTCTATCTACAAGGACAGAACGTGAAGCTTGACTTGAGAAGATTCAGAGAAACGTTGACTCGTTCCTATGATTTTTCCATTAGAAGGAGGTTTAGAGAGGAAGTTCCACGTCTAGTTGCTACATAGATAAGAAGAATAAAAAGAAATTATACCATTCTTTTGTAAATTTTTGATTCTTTGAATGACAATTATATTCTTTGAAGTATATGGTGTATGAGGTAATTAGTATTTTAACTCAACATCATACAGTTTATTAACTTGGTCCTAGCAATTAGTCACGATATGAAATGCTATAATGCAATAATATGAATTAGGTGTTTGTGCGCCCAAACAAGAAAGTGGAAAATTTTAGTGTTTTTTTCCCTCTCATCTTGTCTTGTTCCAAGTGTTGTGTAGTCTCACCTTTGGTTTTTAGACATATTGATATTGATCAACAAAATTTTAAAAGAAATCGCCACTTTCTTTGGTTTGATTTTCCCATTTTCGTTTATTTTACCAAGCTCGTTCCTTCCGTTTAACGTACTTGACACTTGTGTTCCAAGTGGCCCGGTTCTTGCCATGTGCAAATGCACTTGGTTTACATATTTTTTGCAAAATTTTCTCATGTTTTAGGATTCTTTTAGAAAAACTTAGGGCCTTTTCTACTCATATATGTTTTATATACATACAAAACGTTAATAGCTCAGGGCCCATCATTAATCTGACCCAGGCCTAATGATCAATATGAGATTTGTACGACGAATAATGTTTTCTTTTATTTTCATCCATCGCAAATGAAAATAGGTTTTAGTGCTTACTGAAGTAGAATAATAACAAATGCGTCAGACCACACAATCGAAGAAACCATTTAACCATGTGTCCGATAGTCTGGTGGCCCGGTTCTTGCCATGTGCAAATGCACTTGGTTTACATATTTTTTGCAAAATTTTCTCATGTTTTAGGATTCTTTTAGAAAAACTTAGGGCCTTTTCTACTCATATATGTTTTATATACATACAAAACGTTAATAGCTCAGGGCCCATCATTAATCTGACCCAGGCCTAATGATCAATATGAGATTTGTACGACGAATAATGTTTTCTTTTATTTTCATCCATCGCAAATGAAAATAGGTTTTAGTGCTTACTGAAGTAGAATAATAACAAATGCGTCAGACCACACAATCGAAGAAACCATTTAACCATGTGTCCGATAGTCTGCGATCCGTGATGTAGTTAATTAGGTAACCAACATGTTAATTGTTACATCATGAACAAAGAACCATATTACATATATCATGTTTGGAACCGCCCAAAGATCGTAACTAATCCTCCTTTGCGATTCGTTTTCTCGTTATTATATAATTGGTTTCAACTATATAGTACTTTTAGCTGCGGATGGCTAATTGGCTATAGCCTATAGTGATAATTTTATTAATTATAATGAAAGCAAGGTTGCGTGCAAATTTGTGGGTACTTTGTGGCCTCACACACTTTTAAACATAATCTAAACAAAAATTAAGAAACATGCGTATATATATTATCATTTTTTATAATCAAAAGATGTTCCGGTTTTTTACCAGCTAACTAATCTCGCATATCGATTATCACGTATATTATATATATTGTTAAAATGGGATATTGTAGTATTCTCGTGATGTGTTCATATTTTAGGACCGTCATCAAGTATTATAACTGTTTGGTTGATTTTGGTTAGATCGAACTATCTAATTGTTATTTTTCGACGATCGAACTGTCAATGTTATTCACACAAACTTTGACATATGTTGTCTTTGCCGTGTTAGTTACCCATAATTGTTATGCACAAATGATGTTTTCTTCTGAACAAGAGAAGTTCTCCCAATTTATTTTGTTTAGGCAAAAATCGTGTTCTTTTATTTTGAGCCACGTCACTACATACGACCGGGACAATATGGAAAAGGATCTCTGCGACACCGTTTAAGGCCAAACAAATGTTCAACGACTCCCAGTTGCGTTGTCTCTTGTCAATTTCTGATCCCAATGTCAACAACATATTAAAATTCAAAGAAAATAAAAGAAAACGTCAACTTAAAAATAAAATTACAAAATAAATATTTTGTTAGCCCGATCCATCGTGGACCTACCTTAATGACGGTTAAGATTAGCGGCTGGAGACGAGACCTTTGGTGGTGAAATGAAACCTCAGTCTACTATCTTGTAAAGACGTATGTATACAAAGCAAGCTACATAGTCGTCGTCGTATCAATCATATACCCAAGAAGAAAAAAAACTATATACCTAGTCGTATACTTTTAACTATTTTAAATCCCAATATTGAAATAGGCTAAAGCACATAATCAAAGAAAGATAATCGATTCACATACGAGTATCGATGCGTATTGGAAAAAACAAGCAATATACTATACTGATGTTTGTTTTAAACTAACTCTATGTTTTCTGATAACGTTATTCCCAATAAAATAACAAGATATTAAAATTTATCGGGGCCTCTCAAATGATACGCAATAAATAACATAATCACAAATATATGCCTTTTTAAAATATTCATGTTAAATGTGTATAAATACACATACAAATCGGGCACACCTATTCGAACACTCATAATCACTTTGGTCGGCCGCTTTCTTCCTTTTTCCTTCTTCCTTCTTCCTTCTTCCTTCCTCAGTATATCAAAACATACATACACTCACATATATAAAACATTCCTCTTTGTTTCTCGGTGGATCATTTCGATACATATCATAAGAAATGGTGCAGTATCAAGAACTCGCTCTTCAGAGAAGCTTTAGCTGCAACACAAGAAAGATCAATCCGGCTACTTCTCCGGCGCGTGGCTTCCATAGCCGTTCTCCATCCTCCTCCGCTTTAATCCCAAGCATCCCTGAGAACGAACTCTTCCTCGTCCCTTGCAAAAGATGCTCCTCCGTCTCCCTCCGACCAATCTACTCCTCCTCATCTTCTTCCTCTAGCAACATGGGGAAATTCCACTTGAAGCTTTCTTCCTTCTTACGTTCTCTCATCAACGTCATTAACATCCCCGCTTGCAAATTCCTCTCTCTTCCATCACCGCCGTCTTCTACTTCTTCCGGCGTTTCTAACCAACTGATTTCACTCGTTACCGGTGGATCCTCTTCTCTCGGGAGAAGAGTCACCGGTACGTTGTACGGACACAGAAGAGGCCATGTCACGTTTTCCGTCCAGTACGATCCGAGATCCGACCCGGTCTTGCTCTTGGACCTGGCCATGTCAACGGCAACTCTCGTCAAAGAGATGTCGTCGGGACTCGTCAGGATCGCGTTGGAATGCGAGAAGCGCCACCGGCCGGGAACAAAGCTTTTCCACGAGCCCAAATGGACCATGTATTGCAACGGTAGGAAGTGTGGTTACGCGGTGTCACGCGGCGGAGCGTGTACTGAGTCTGACTGGCGCGTGTTGAACACGGTGTCTAGGGTTACGGTTGGAGCCGGGGTTATCCCGCCGGTGAAGAGTATTGATGACGTGTCCGGTGGAGGGTTTGGTGGTGGAACGGAGCTTGGGGAGTTGTTGTATATGAGAGGTAGATTTGAACGAGTCGTGGGGAGTCGTGACTCGGAGGCGTTTTACATGATGAATCCGGACAAAAACGGAGGTCCAGAACTCAGTATTTTTCTTCTTAGGATATGAAATATTTTATTAAGAGAAGTATTGACTTTTTTAAAAATTTGAAAATGTCTTAAGTGACGTATTATTATAGTGTATGAATGCAATGTTGTGTCATGGAATATATGTAAGCGATAGAGATAGACAAGAAAGAGAGGGCCGAGAAGAAGGTATGCTAGTTTTTTTTGTTGGTGATTGTTTAGTTGATGTGTGGTATTTTTTGTTTTTGTTAATTACGAAGAATAGAAGGATGTGATTATTAGTTTGTGGTTGCTTATATGCAAGGCATGAAGATCCCCACATGGTCCATCATGATTAATGCCAATTTAAGATTCTTCTTGTCTTTATTATTATAAACTCTATGAGTATTTAATTTGTGCAAGGCGAATTCGCTTTTACGTGTAACGCAGCGAGCAATTCATTTTATAGTTTAAAACTAAATAAATATACTAAACAGAAAGTGGGCTTGCTTTTGAGTTGTAAGTTGTAACGTGTAACAGTCAATTCGTAACCAAACATCTTTGGTATTTTAATGGAAACTATAACATATTGTACCATCAAATTGGTGAGTTACACTTGTAGGTATAAAATAAAATATAAATGTCGAAGTTTAACTTTACAGGGATACGATCATACGACTAAAATATGGAATTACACATTTAATTCCACTAGATGTGTATACAATTTGAATTTATGTATATTTGTCAAATTATTCATATCATCAAGACCAAGTGTACCCATTCCAAATACTGTGCTGCAGAAAAATAAAGATATGATAGGAGTGAAGTGGAAAAGAAAGATTATAGATAACGTAAATAATGAAATTTGTTCACACAAATTAAAATATGGTAAGAAATGTAAGGAAATGGAAAATAGAAGGGGTGGATCGTGAAAAGAAGTGGGTGGGAAAGAGCGTAAAACCCACAGGGTTTAGCTTTAATGGACAAAGTCTTAAAACTCATCAACAGCCGCAAAGCCAAAATTCCCCTTTTAGGAATATTCTCTGCCATTTTAGGACCACCTATGTCTTTCTATTTACCTTTTACTTTCTTCATCTACAAGTTAACTTGTGGGTCTATCTGTTTTCTGACTTTGTTTTTCGTTGGCCGGGGTAATAAATTGTTCTTGTATTTGTGTGATATAGTTTACTAAAATAGATTGATTACACGAGTTAGATTATTGGTAACGTTTTCCCTTTCTTTTCTAAAACTACGTTCTAGATTTTTGTTCCATAGTTTTTTCAAGCACAGACGAATCTTTGATAATACTTGGGGGGGACTCACAAGCGTAAATAATCTTTCTTCAAGTGTAGCATTTAAACTCGAACTCAAAGTAATCCATTAACATTTAGATCCCCCGATGGAGATGCCCTAATGTCACTATGTATACTAACCGGGTGAGACACCCACACGCACAAAGAAAACGAACTCATGAAAATATTTCCAAAATAATTAGTCCATGCAAAAGTGTTCTTGCTTCTCTCCGATCCATGCATGGACCGATTCAAAAGATAAAAGATATTTTGCAAGAATCAATATGTCATCCGACTTACACATGCATGCATATATAACTTATGTAAACCGAAACAAAATACTTTTAAAATGTCTCCAAAAGTGAGAAACTATAAGTCAAATCGAGCAATACCTAACCCACAAATTATGAAACTCACGATATACTTTTTTTTAATGGATATGTGGTCTATATAGCTAGTGCTATACATTTTTTTCTTTCACTGAAACAAATTTTATATGTATGATGTATCCATACATAATGCAAATTATGCAATGCATGTGTTGCACAAAAAAAGAAGGAATAGGGTTGCATAGTACCTGATTACAATTTACAGATGCAACACATTATTATTACGAACACATGCCTCGCCTAACCAATTTAAATACTGGCACTTTTCTTCGGGCGAATCTAATCTGCATCGTGTACACTTCTGTCTTCATATATATCATCCGCTCTCTTATATTCTCTTTTTGGTAACAGATATTTTTTGTAACAAAGTTTTGGTTTCATCCACTATTCTATAAAAATATAAAATCAACTGTGGAAGAAATAATTTACACTTTCCTTTTACTTTTCTTCAACAAGAAAAGAAGAATTTTACTACGCGAAACCAAAACCAGAATGAATTTAAAAATATGGATGGAAAATTACACATGTGACAAAATACTATAACTTAAGAAATGAAAATGACAACTATTTTTACTGAATTAGCTAGCAAAATGGAAATAAAGAAATAATTACACACACACACACATATATATATATATATATATATATATATATATATATATATATATATATAAAATAATGATGGCCTCATATGGTGCCTCAAGAGTCAAGTCCAACTATATACATTTATAGGGGATCGTTGAATCTTAGTCGTAACATGCCTTTGGTCACACAGGTCAATCATACTCAACATCCATTTCTATATATATTATCTGATATTGAGTTTCATTGTTTTTTTTTTTGTTAAAGGGTTTATTGAGTTTCATTGTTATACAATAGTTCTTATACGGTTTCTTAGGTTTAACTATAGATTTTGTTGTCAAAAAAAAAACTATAGATTATATATAATGAGCCTAGACATTAATTGTTGCGAATGACTCCTACTCGTTATCAAATAGAATGAAAAGATAACTCAATTCATTATAGCAGTGTGCGTCAATCAATTTTGTTTTGTGATGAGAAACATTTTTAATTTTTAATTAACAAGCTGATTAATTTCCTCGATTTATTGTTTTTTCTTTCACACGCTATTTTTTGTTCACACTAACAATATTATTAGATAGAGAGTAAAGAAGACCTCATTATGTGTGCAATTATATATATAGTGAACATTCATGAATGTGGAAACAGGAAACTTATAATCGAAGAGGTCGACGTAGCTAAATGAGGGTTTCCTTCAAGTAAAAAATTGTTTCATGAGTACATATAATGATATATAGTGAACATTCATGAATGTAAATATTACGATATTTTTTAGTTCAATGGCTCATTACGGACGTAATAAGAACATCTAATCGAAGAGTTCGACGTGGCTAAGATATTTAATATCTGTGAAAAGTGCAAAATTAAACATTAATATAATTCATTGTGTTAATTATATATGCCCAGTGGTCTTATCTATACAGGTTAGAGAAAATCAAACAAACACTACAGATCTGCAGTATCCTAACGTACCGAACAAAATAATACTTTTTTCTTTACATAATTGACTAACTCCCTCTCTATCATTGGTGTTATAGAACTTATGTATTCGAATAAACACACGTCCACGTATTTGTGCAGATCGATTTATAAATTATAATTTTATAAGAAGAAAAAAACATTATCCTCAATTAGGTTCAGAGTCAAACTGAAGGAAAAGGACAACGTAAAAAGATATTTCCATGCATGAGATATTTTTCAGAGATATTTACATGCATGAGATATCCAGCTCGAGAAAAAACTATTTTGTTGGATCTTGGACCGACAGAAGATGTGGGTTTTTACCATAATAATAGAGTACTTATTTAACAAATCACGATGCCCGAAACTATAATTATTTACATAACAGACATTTGATCTTCTTTCCATCAGCTATGACGACTTAAAAATAATTAGTGTGTTCCTAAAAGTGCTCATCCAACCAAGATGGAACTTGATGATAATGATGTTAATTAAAAACACGTGTATCAACTGTTAAACGGAACAGCAGAAATATCTTCTCAGCTGTAGTACAGATATTTGTTCATTTCTCAATTATTAACTAAAATGTGAATCACATATGTATAGGTGTGGTATAACTAAGCGCTTTAGTTAAGTTTCTTTTACCTTTTTCTTATGGTAAGTTTTTTGTTTGTTTGTTAAAATTTTACATATGTTGTAATGAAATGCTTCATGGCCATGGGTATAGACTGTTTATTCTTGATACATGTAAAGAATATCAAAATGAACTAAAGTTTGTACAACTAGACTCAACTTATCATAAGCTAGCTCATCGTGCATATATATAATCCACCAGCTCAACTGATTAAGCTCATTAGATTCATATATTACAGTGTTTCTGTATAAAACATATGGCTCGAATTCATTAATAGTTGAAGTTAGTCCATTCACGAGCTTAACAAGTCGTTTCAAGACCGGTCGTCGAGACTAATTTGATATTACAACGTATAAGCCCAAAAATTGGCGTAATAAAGCCCATATATATTAAAGAATACAGTACAGGCCCAAATCATCCATAACCACATTTGCTTCCGCGTCATTTTCTGAAGAGCTGAAAAACCTCTGTAAAACCCCTCCTTCACTGAAGCTGCAATCGCCGGAGAAAATGGTGATAACGGTAGCGAAGAAGGGGTTGATCGGAGGAATGAGCTTCGCGAGAGACGCCGGAGCAATCAATTGGTTTCCCGGTCATATGGCCGCCGCAACTCGCGCCATCCGCAGCCGACTCAAGCTCACCGATCTCGTCATCGAAGTTCGCGATGCCCGTGTCCGTGCACACACCCAAAATATCCTTTTCATTTGATCCTTCGTCATCGTGGAAGCACCAATTTGATTTTTCGCTGTCTTGCAGATTCCTCTGTCATCGGCGAACGAGGACTTACAGTCTCAATTGTCAGCGAAGAGGCGTATTATAGCTCTGAATAAGAAAGATCTAGCAAACCCGAATATCCTCAGTGTAAATTTCTGTGCCCATTGTGTTTAAACTGTTTTTTCTTCTTATTAGTCTCTTTGAGGTCCGAGTTTCTGAATTTTCTGCATTTTTGATGTGTTGTTTGTAGAAATGGACACGTCATTTCGAATCCAAGCAGCAAGACTGTATCGCCATTAATGCACATAGTAGAAGCTCTGTCAAGAAGGTTAAATGATATCTTTACTTTCTTATGCTCCTCTGGTTAATCAATATCAGTTTCGTCACACAGATTATGTCATAAGGATTGTGCATAAAAAAGCTATCCTTTTTTGTTTTGTTTTGGGGTTAATTTCATGAAGCTGCTTGATCTCGTGGAGTTGAAGCTGAAGGAGGTGATTGCGAGGGAGCCTACTTTACTTGTGATGGTGGTTGGTGTCCCAAATGTTGGAAAATCTGCACTCATTAATTCGGTCAATCAAATCGCAGCCACTCGATTTCCTGGTAAGATTATCAGTGAAGCGGCTTAATCATCAGTGTTGAGTATGTAAGTGCAAATTTTCACAGATATTTGTATGAACTTTGAAATCCTATGTCTTCAAGCTCATAGTTTAAAGTTCATTACTGTATCCAACTATCCATGAAAATGATGTATGGAATGATGTTACATGACTTATATATTTCGTTACTATATGCATCATGTGCATAGTGCAGGAGAAGAGCTTGAAGCTTGAAGCTTGCTCTTTCGGGTTCTTATGGTTTGAAGCTTGCTCTTTCAGGTTCTTATCTATCTCTATCTCCTTTCTTCTTGATGCTTAATGCTGTGTAGTTCTTCAAAAGATGATACAGTTTATGTCTTAGAATCTCAGTGCCTAGTGTTTAGCTACTATGGGAGTGTATTTTCTTACAACATATGATCTTCCTAGCTGAGTGTTTCACGTTTTCTAAGAGCTTATCTACTTAAAAATTTCACATTCCAAGGGTCCGTCAAAGATTCAGTTGCGCAATACTTTCTCGCTGTAAATACTATTTTGTATACTTGATTCCAAATGTACTTATTTTCTTTGTGTTAGACAGAGCTTTAATTTGGAGGAACGGGATGGGATGATCGTGGCTTGGAATTAAAATATTGTTGCTTAGTTTAAGCTCAAGCAGGTAAATCTCAACAACTTATCTCTAACGTTTTTGGGTTTGGGTTATCTTGACTTTGAAACTTTCAACAGCAAACTAGATAATTTGATGTCAGCTACTGCACCTTCTTGGAAATGAATGATGTTGCGCTGAAACTTTCAACAGCAAAATACATTAAAATAAAAACGACAGGGACAACTTGATGGTATGGTCGCAAAACAATGATTACAAAATGAGCTGTGTAATACGAACTACGGACTTAAAGAAATTGTAGTTGTAGGTAAGGTTGATTTGCGCTGAGTGTTGAGTTCTGGCTTTGAAAAAACAATAGAGACATTGATTTGTGTAAACTATATAACATGTTGCTCTGTTCAGTTTTGTAATCGGTGGGTAAAGACTAAGTTTTTATATTATTCAAGTTCTTCGATTATGACGTGCAATATTTATATGTAGACCCATTTGTAATTATTATTCATAGACGGAGGTATTACATCATTGCTATTAGTTAATGTAAATAAAACAAAATGAACATGCCAAGCTCTAGCTAGTTTCAAAGTCAACACAATAGGTTCTTGCATAGAGATCTGCTTCCCTCTTGTTGCTCCCCAATTCTTACAACCATTTGATTTGCTCTTCTCTTCTTGAATCCTGAGAACAATGGCTGACATTGCCTCAGCTTTTTGTGCATGTTTCCAAGGTCTGCAACCAGTTTTTAATCGTGTGGGTACACGTGCAGGTTATATTTCCAAGTTTGATGATAATCTTAGCAAGTTGAGAAGTGCTTTGGAGGATCTTATAGCAAAAAGAGATGATGTGGTATGCAAGGTTAATGCTGAAGAAATCAAGGGTCATAAACAGCTAAATGAAGTGGAAAGGTGGCGTTCAAAAGTCGAAACCGTTGAAACCAACACCAATCTCCTGGTTGCTAAAGCTTCGCGGCAAAGGCGGTCAACATGTGGGTATTGCTTCATCAATATCTTTTCAGCCTACAGCAATGGGAAAAAGATTTCCAAGAATTTGGATGAAGTTCAAAAACTATCTTCTGAAAAGGTTTCTGAAGTGGTTACCCGGCAAGCTACGCTTCCTGTGGTAATAGAACAGCCTGTCCAGCAGACATTTGGCCTGGATACAAATCTTCAAAGGACATGGAGCTGTCTTATGGAAGATGGTGTTAGAACCTTGGGTTTACATGGAGTGGCGGGAGTGGGTAAAACGACACTCCTCACCCTGATAGAGAGCGAGTTCGTTGAAGTCAAGGGTAATTTTCATGTTGTGATTTGGGTTACAGTGTCTGAAGATGTAGATATCAAGATGATTCAAGATGATATCGGTAAAAAAATAGGCCTCTATGACGATAAATGGTCCACCAATTCACAAAGGGAGAAAGCCTGTGATATACACAGGGTTCTTAAGACGAAACCCCGATTTGTGCTGTTATTAGATGACTTGAGGAAGGAAGTGAATTTATCAAAAATCGGAATTCCAGTACGGGGGAGTGAATACAAAGTCGTGTTTACTACTCGTTCTAGGGATGTATGTGAAAGCATGCCCGTAAATAAGGTGATAGAAGTGGAACGTTTGGCGGAGGCGGGAGCGTTGGATCTGTTAAAACAAAATGCCGGAAGGAACATTAGATGGCGAAATGCTTGAGCACGCAAGAAATATTGTGGAGAAGTGCCTTGGCTTACCCCTTCTACTTAAAGTCATTGGCAAGTCTCTGTCATCCAAAAAGACTGCAGATGAATGGCATCGTGAACTCTGTACCATGTTTGAAGCTACGGGGGATGAGGTATTCCCTGTTTTGAAATATGGTTTTGATAATTTAAAGGATGACGCCAAGTTATGTTTAAAGTATTGTGCTTTATTTCCCGAGGCATATAAGATCAGAGATGATGAGCTGGTAGAGTATTGGATTGGTGAGGGTATCATAGATGAAGAAGACGGAAGAAAGAGAGCAATGGATCGAGGCTATGATATCATCGACACTCTTGTTAAAGCAGATTTGTTAGTTGAGGTTGACAAGTCTAAACAGAAAGTGTATATGACGGCTTGATCTGTGAGTCAAAACGGAAAGTGTATATGCATGGCTTGATCCGTGAGATGGCACTGTGGATAGTAGTTGAGGATGGAGAAAGATTTGTTGTGAAACAGGTGCTGGGATAAGCAAACTACCAAACGTCAAGAACTGGAGAACGGTGACCAAGATGTCGCTGATGAACAATGAGATCAAGAGTATAACGGAACATTCTCAATTTCCCAATCCGGATCGTCTTGTAACCTTGTTCCTTCAAAATAACAAGCTGGTAGATATCGTTGGTAAATTCTTTCTGGTATTGTCAACTCTGGTGGTTTTGGATCTATCTCACAACCCTGGTATCATTGAGTTGCCTGACGATATCTCAAAGTTGGTGTCTTTGCGGTACCTCAACTTGTTCGGGACGAGGATAAAGAATTTGCAAGGTTTGAAAGACTTTATCGAACTGATTCACTTGGATTTGGAGTCCACGTCCAATCTTCAAAGTACTTTTGATATCAACTGATATCAAAATTACTAAGTTGCAGGTTTTGAGATTTTATGGTTCTACAGCTTCTTTAGATCTCTCCTTGTTGAAGCATTTGGAGCGTTTGGAGGATTTAGAACTTTTGACCATTAGTGTGAGAAAAGAGGATGTTTTGGAAGCTTTCTTTGGAAGCAAATTGTCAGGGAAGACACAGGGTCTATATCTTGAAGGACTTAACGTGTCAGGACAATCATTTGCAGCCACCTATGGCGTATTAGCTAGTCTTTCCAAACTTGGAATGACAGAATGTAATATTATAGAGTCAGAGAGGGAATGGGACGACAGTAGAAGGAACCAGTATTCTCCATCTGCATCACCCAATCAAATGTCTCCAAGGATTACATTGTTCAAGAACCTCTCAGTTGTGGAACTACTCTCATGCGAACATCTAATGGATGTGACATGGCTGATATATGCTGAAAATCTCGAGTCCCTAAGCATCAAATTGTCACCTAAGATGGAAGAAGTAATAAGCGGTCAGAAAGCTGCAGGTGTTGGGGTTGAGCCTTTTCTAAAGCTACAAGTTCTTGATTTAGGTTATTTGAATGCACTTGAGAGTATCTATTGGAGTCCACTCTCTTTTCCGAGGCTACAGAAAGTCCGCATAACAAACTGCCAGGAGCTGCGTAAGCTTCCACTAAATTCCACGAGTGTAGATAAAATTGATGATCTTATCATTGAAATGGATCAAGGATGGTTAGATAGAATTGAATGGGAGAGTGGAGCTGAAGATCGATTTCGTCATCTCATCCGCACAGCTTCTGTTTCTCAGCCTGGTCCGGTAATATATATACTTTCTTATGTGCCAATTACCATTATAGAATCTCTGGTGTTCTGTTTATTTATTTCATTCACTTTGTGTACCCTTTTTTTGTTCTATCATTTTTTAGGTGTAGAAATGCAAGCCCACAAAAGACTGGTGCGACAAGCAGATATCAATGGATGCAAATAAAAGTTCCTCCTTTCTTGATTCGAAGTCTTTTTAATGGATGTTTTGTAAAACAAAATAAGCTTCTGGTTTTGCCACTTGTACGTGTGTGACTGAAACGTTTTATGATTGTTCCGTTTTGTGTTCCAAATTTTCATTAGTATTTATTTGTTTGTGTGAGATGTGTCTGTATATTGTTGTCGAGTGAACATCTTCGTCAGTACGTCTCTGGCGTTTTTTTCTTCTCGTCAAGTACAAGCAGGTGATTAAATCTACATCTGATTATTATTATGTCTTCTATCTATTGAGTACTTTATGTTTACAAGCCTAAAGGCAAATTTTCTTCATTAGTTGGTCTTTTGAGGTTTACAGTTTTACCGTTAGGCTTTATCAGGTTTGATGTTAAATTTTATCCATTAGGCTTTTAACACTCATCCTTAAAATTGAGTACGGATGCGTCTCTCAAATCAAGGTTTTACAGAGAACTTAACTGATGTACTTTAATCTTCTTTTTTTTTTGGTCAACTGCACTTAAATCTTCAAAAGCTGTTAAATATGAAAGTTTAATGATGCCATTGATGTTTAGAAGAGTTGTAAACTGAGAAGAAACATGTCTATCAAAACATAGCTTTGTATCAAGGATTACGAATTCACAATCAAGAATCCTAACAATCTTGGAGATTTGTTGTGAAGACCTTCTTAACTCTCCCAAAAGCCAAAAGGCTCCCAAGTACTAACCAAATGGTCAAAACCTAACAAGTTCTTCACCTCATTGATGTTTTAGGAGAGTTGTAAACGAACTTTGTTGCGTTCATGCTTAGATGCTGACGAGAGTTGTAAGAAAATCATCTTTCAGATTCTCTTGATTGTGAACAAGTGGGTGAATTGCTTCAATTGTAAGTTTGAGTACATTAAACTAAAGTATTTGATAACCTTACCATTTTTTGTCAGGAAACTTATCATTTATATAGCCAAAAAAAAACGAAAGATATTGCGGGGTTAATTTGTTGGGGTTGAGCGTCAACCGCTGATTGATGAAAGCATGTATAATAATATTTCTTAACATACATACTGTATTGATCTGTCAATTGTGTAAACTATATAATAAAATGATCTGTTCCAATAAGCAACCGATGGGTCACAACTGGTCACGACCAGTTTATATATTACAACTGGTCACGACCAGTTTATATATTATTCAAACTCTTGGATTGTTGTGATATTCAATGCATATATCATATATAGAGAGACCATGTTGTAATTTTTATTCATAAAAGGATACATTATTGCAGTGGACTAATTAAACTAAACCAAGCCAAACGTGTCAAGATGCACAATGATCTGCCCTCTCAAACCCTGAGCACAATGGGCAAAGCGAAAATGTTTCGAGAAGTTGAGTGAAGCTAAAAGTCTCTCGCCTACAAGAGATCTTGAATATTGGTGGCTGATCTAGCACGGCTTTATTCTCTTGCTCCAAATCAAAAATATGGGTAATATCTCTTCGTTTCTAGTTTGAAACCTCGTAGTATTTATTTTATTTCGAATAATCTGTGATAGAGAGCTTGAAAATAAGATATTGGGTTGGTGATGCTTTCGAAAATTGAAACCATTTGGTGGCCATAAACCTACTATTGATTTAGGAGATTGAACGAGGTATATATCGCCGGCTGGTTTTTACACCTACCACTAATAATCGATATTCTGAGTTCTGAACACAAATGTTGAATTAGAAGTCAACTTTCTTATAATCCTTTCTCTGGTCTATGTTATGAATTCAGGAAAATAAAATGAACTTGAGAGTAAATCAAGAAAAATCCAGTTTCATTATTTTCCAGCCAAAAGCATTAGTTACCACACAAAAATATGTTACATGATTTTCACGCTAAAACATGATTATGTAATGTTGATAATGCGATGATAATAATAGAATGATAATTTACTTATATATTAAAATGAACATTCAATGATATTTTGCTTATGGATTCGCACAATTTTTCTTAAGCTTTTTGTTTTTGTATTTAAAAAAAATGTATTTATTAGGGAAGTTTGGTTTAATAACATATACTTTTTATGTATAATTTGAAAACTAATCCACGTTTTCAAGTTTTTGAAAGCTAACCTTTTAAAAAGTAATGAGATAATAGTTTGTTTATAATTTTTTTGAATATGTAACTATAAAACATTATATTTTGATATAGATTCATGCTAGTCCAAAATCTAATTGATCCCCAAGTACTAATTGAATCTTGATTGCAAAAAAACTATAATACAATAAAATCAAACACAAAGCTGCTTTAGCTAGAGAGTCATCCTGCTGACTAAAAGAGCATAAATATCCAATTTTTTCTAACAAAGGTTCTCAAAGTATCCATTATCTTTGGAGATGTTTTGTAAATTTATTTTAAAACATTTAATTCCAAATTCTCGAAGACGGATTGAACATGGGAAATGAACGTTAACATGCAGGAATTAATGTCTTCTAAGTTATGAAACTCTTAGAAGATTTCTTTCTTACACGTTCCACTCTTAACTTCTTTTCGCTATCTTACATTCCACGAACTTTAAATGTCCATGCCGATCACCTATCGAAAGAGGCTCGAGTACGTGGTTACTATTTTTCCCACGTAAAATTTAAGGTTCTAAGTGGGCTGACTACTGAAGTCACCTTTCTTGAACCGACCTACTTTTTATAATGGAGTTTCTTCGCAGTTAAAAAAAAGATATGAAAATCTAGAAACACAATATTATAATCTCTCCAATAATCTTATATATCACTTTTTTTTGTTTCTTGTGTTGGAAAGAGGAGTATTTACAGAGACTAGAGAAAAATCTGGATGCCTTGGAGATGGAAGTGGAAACCCTCAGTGGAATGATAACTGAGTTGTCGAAAAGGGTGTCGAAAGAAAAGGAAAGAGGTCTACAAACGCTGCCTGAAGTCGAAAAATGGATTTCAATGGCGGAAGATCTTGAAATGGAAGCCAGTGGTCTCCTTAGTGAAAGTATCTCAGAATGTTACAATTTATCTACGTATGATGATTGTTCCCAGATCTCTGAAAAGAACCATCAGTACAACGAGATGGTATGTCTTACTCTGAAAGAAGTTGAAGCTCAGAGTCTGAGATCTAAGGGGGTTTTTGAACTATTGGTTGCGAGAGCTCCATTGTCTAATGTCCAAAAGATGCTCCCGCTTCGACCAATAGTTTCTCGGGAGATGTTGCTAGAAAAGGCATGGAAACGCCTTTCGGAAAATGAATGTGGGACTTTGGGTCTTTATGGTGTGGCTGGAGTCGGAAAAACCTTCCTTCTTACTCAGATTAAAAATAAGATCACAGAAGATAGGGAGGTATATGGTCTTCACATCTTTGTTGATGTAAAGTCTGACGGGGTCGAGGGTATACAAAACAAAATCAGGGAAAAATTAGGCATAGACAGAAGTAAATATAAGGACTTGAGTGAAAATATGCAAAAAGCAGATACGTATGAGTCGTTAAGTAAAACGAGATTTGTGTTGTTATTGGATGGCGTACAGAGGGAAGGAATGGATTTTGAAAAGATTGGAATTCCACGGCCGAGCAGAGAGAATGGATGCAAAATTGTATTCACCACTCGTTCTCCAGAAGAAGCATGTAGAAGCAAGTGGGTTGATGCTGAAGTCGAAGTTAAATGTTTGAGACCAGAAGAAGCATGGGAGGTTTTTCAAGAGATAGTTGGAGAAAGTACTTTAAAAGGTCATCCAGACATACCCAACCTCGCAAGAATTGTTGCTAGAAGATGTGGTGGTTTACCAATTTCTTTGAGTCTCATCGGCAAGACCATGTCACGCAAAAGGACTCTACGGGAGTGGTATCACGCGATTCATGTTTTGTCATCTAGTAGCCGAGTTCCCAATCCCATGTTGAAGTTCGCCTACGATAATCTTCCTGGTGAGAATATCAAGTCGTGCTTCTTGTATTGTGCTCTTTTTCCAAAAAATTATGATATAAGTAAACAAGATCTGGTAGACTATTGGATAGCAGAGGGAATGATTATAGATGAAGATAGAGAGATAGCTGAGCTCAAGGGTTATGAGATGATTGGTGATTTGGTTAAAGTGGGTTTGTTGATGGAGAATGAATCTGGAGATGGTGTAAAGATGATGATGCATGACATGGTTCTTGATATGGCCTTCGGAATAGCAGCACGAGCATCTTTTTCCGGGAGGCACGCAGAAAACATTGTCGTGAAATGCGGTGCAAAAATTCTCCGGATGCCATGGGCCAGTGGTCGGACAAGGATGTCAGTGACATCTACTCAGATTGCAACTATTTCAGCGGGTTATGGTTGTTCCCAGCTTACCACCCTATTCCTCCAAGGGAACGACAAATTAGGACGGATCTCGGATGGTTTCTTTCGGCGGATGACAAGTCTTGCAGTATTGGATCTGTCGCGTAACGTAAATCTTTATGCGTTGCCAAATACGGTTTCAAGACTGGTATCGCTGCAGCTTCTCAACCTATCAGGTACATCGATAAAACGGTTGCCAAGTGGTCTGAAAAAACTTAGAAAACTGATACACTTGGATTTGGAGCACACACATAAGCTTGGAGGAATCGAGGTGCTAGCAAGTTTATTAAATTTGCAAGTACTGAAATTATTCGGGTCTAATGTACCTGTGGATCTCGGTTTAATGGAGGATATATATCTTTTGAAGAGTCTTGAAGAGCTGAGTCTTACCGTGAATGATTATACTGTTTTGCAGCGGTTACAAAGTTTCCACCGGTTGGCAATCCGTCGTTTATATCTCAAAAACATTACAACAACCGAGGGAGAATTATTACTGATGAAGTCTAGTCTTCGCCATCTTAATATTTATCGATGTACTATATTCTCGGAGATAACCATTGATTGGAGAAGCTGGGAGACGGTACATTCTGGCAACATTCAGAAACTCCCACAATTCCGGAACATACGGACAGTGTATCTTTCTAATTGCGAAGGTCTAGAGGACTTGACGTGGTTGCTACTATCCCCGAGTCTTGGCGAACTACGTTTGACTGACTGTCCGCAAATGAAAGAAGTAATAAGCAAAGAGAAAGCCACGGCCCTACTGGGTCAGACGAGTCAGCAGCCCTTTCAAAATCTAAAGGTGCTCTATCTGTCTACTTTACCTGAACTGGAGAGCATTTACTGGACTCCTCTACCCTTCCCAGCTCTGCAGCTTCTCCATATATCAAACTGTCCAAAGTTGAGAAGACTTCCACTCAACTTCGAGAGCGCTAAAGGAAATCGAGTAAATGTAAATTTCGACCAACAATCTATACAAGGGTTTGAATGGGAGGATGAAGCTACTAAACAACGTTTCTCTCATCTGAATGACACCAGGTTCAGGTCAGTCCCTTGTCCCCTCTCATCCACCGTCCTCTTGTCCATCTTATTTTGTTTTGGCGATTTTGCCAGAGATGGTCCTGCCGTCCTGTTAACCATTTGATAAAAAAAAACCTTACGACCAAAAACTCTCATCTGAATTTCACTAATCACATCACCTGCAATCTCTATTTCTATAATAGACATTTGCAAAGCTAATGTGATTAGATATTTCAGTTATTTTTTTTTGTCAGTCAATGATGATTATCCGTTTGTTTTGACTTTCAATCAATGTTTGTATTAGGGATAATGCGGCTGAGGTTTTAAAACGATGGTAAAAAAGGAGAGCAAACGATTGGGACACCAGTCACTGATGTGGTTCAGTAACCGGTTCAAACATAACCGAGACGACTATTTTGCTTATGTGCATGAGGTGATACAAATCGAATGCTTTACATAATGTCATAATCCGTTTATTTTATCTATGTATTATTGTCTTTTGCTACGAACATGACGAAATCTCAAAAGAAAATTATCACCCAGATTCGGGTTGGTTAGAATAAAATAAAGGGCTTCCAAAATTTCGTTGTTATAAAACACACTCGGTAGTCATCAAAATATAGTAGTTTTTGCTGTCAAAAATGAGGAAAAAAATAACACTAGTAGGTCAACCATGGAGTTATTATAAATTTATATTCCCCATTTTTAACTTTGTAGTATTGATTGAATAATTAAAGCATGTCCGTGTTTTTTTCTACTTCCCCTCCCGTCACTGGATAGACTCACCAGAAAAACACAAAGAGCCGTCTCTTTCTCCAATTCCCTGAAAATCTTCTTCTTCATCTTTGTTCGATTTCTGTGAAAATGTCCTAGTAATCTCTTGATTATTTCGATTCTTCGTTCACGAGGTTATGCGTTAGGGTTTAGTTGGCCGTCAATTCTCGTATGTTTTGGGCGTCGACTTATCTCTCCGTCCTTCTGACGTACAACTGGACTCAACTTATCAGAAGCTCATCATGCATATAATCCACCAGCTCGACTGATCAAGCTCATTACTCATATATTACAATTACAGTTTATCATAAGCTGCATTAGCTGATCAAGTTGAAGTTAGTCCATTCACGAGCTTAACAAGTCGTTTCCAGACCGGTCGTCGAGACTATTTTGATATTTCCAGACCGATCGCCCAAAGATATAGACGAAATAAAGCCCAAGTAAATATTAGAAAAATACAATAACAGCCCAAATCTTATAAGTTAAACCACATTTGCTTCCGTGTCACTTTGTTTGTTTGTGAAGAACTGAAAAACCTCGGTAAAACCCCTCACCTCCGTCACTGAAGCTGTAATCGCCGGAGAAAATGGTGATGGGGTTGAAAAAGGTAGTGAAGAAGGGGTTGATCGGAGGAATGAGCTTCGCCAGAGATGCCGGAGCAATCAATTGGTTTCCCGGTCATATGGCCGCCGCAACTCGCGCCATCCGCAGCCGACTCAAGCTCACCGATCTCGTCATCGAAGTTCGCGATGCCCGTGTCCGTACACAAACCCACAAACACTATCTTTCTATTTGATCCTTCGTCATCGTGGAAGCACCAATCTGACTTTTTCGTTGTCATTTTTGGTTATCTTGCAGATTCCTCTGTCATCGGCGAACGAGGACTTACAGTCTCAATTATCAGCAAAGAGGCGTATTATAGCTCTGAATAAGAAAGATTTAGCAAATCCCAATATTCTCAGTGTAAATTTCTGTGTCCTTTGTGTTTAGACTGTTTTTCTTCTTGTTAGTCACTGTGAGGTCCGAGTTTATGAATTTTGTTTGTTTTGTTTGTAGAAATGGACGCGTCATTTCGAATCCAAGCAGCAAGACTGTATTGCCATTAATGCACATAGCAGAAGCTCTGTCAAGAAGGTTCGATGATCATCTTTTACTCTCTATGATAAATCTTTATTAGTTGTTGGATTGTTCATTAAAAAAGCTATCTTTTTTTTGTTCTGTTTTGGGATAATATCATATAGCTGCTTGATCTCGTGGAGTTGAAGCTGAAGGAGGTGATTGCGAGGGAGCCTACTTTACTTGTGATGGTGGTTGGTGTCCCAAATGTTGGAAAATCTGCACTCATTAACTCGGTCAATCAAATTGCAGCCACTCGATTTCCTGGTAAGATTATCAGTGAAGCGTCGTAATCATCAGTGTTGAGTATCTAAGTGCAAATTTCATAGATATTTGTATGAGCTTTGAACCCCATATCTCAAAGCTCGTAGTTCAAAGTTCATTATTGCATCCATGAAATGATGTTACATGACTTATATGTCGTTGTTATATGCATTATGTGCATAGTGCAGGATAGATTAAAGAGAGCTACGGTTGGTCCATTGCCTGGTGTAACACAAGATATTGCTGGTTTCAAGGTCAATCTCTTTTTTTTTTCTTTCCCTCTTGCTCTTTAGTTGTTTGGGAACATGATCTTTGAGAGCAAGTATTGAGAATGTCTTATGAACATGATTTCTGAGAGCAAGTACTGAGAAAGTCTTATGGTAACAGATAGCTCATCGACCTAGCATATATGTTCTAGACTCCCCTGGTGTGTTGGTCCCAAGTATCCCTGATATCGAGACGGGTTTGAAGCTTGCTCTTTCAGGTTCTTATCTATCTCTACCTCTATCTCCTTTCTTCTTGATGCTTAATGGTGTGTAGTTCATCAAAAGATGATACAGTTTAGGTCTTAGAATCTCAATTCTTAATGTTACAACACATGATCTTCCTAGCTGAGTGTTTCACGTTTTCTTTCATTCCAAGGGTCCGTCAAAGATTCAGTAGTGGGTGAAGAGCGGATTGCGCAATACTTTCTCGCTATTCTAAACACCCGAGGGACACCTCTGCATTGGAAGTACTTATTCGAGGGAAGAAACGAAGGGTCTCATCCAGACTCCATCGATAAACCAAGCTACAACTTAAAGGATCTTCGACACCAGAGAGCCAAACAACCAGATTCATCTGCTATCCACTACGTTGGGGTAAGCATAAATGACTTTATATCTATATACATAGCTTGCTTTCCATATGAGATTGTCTTATAACCTATTGAGGTTCCTTGTCATCTACAGGATATGATCTCAGAAGTGCAACGATCACTGTACACGACACTCTCAGAATTCGATGGGGACACAGAGGATGAGAATGATTTGGAATGTTTGATAGAGCAACAGTTTGAAGCTCTACAGAAGGCATTGAAGATTTCTACCAAAGCAGCAGAAGTAAGGTTAATGGTGTCCAAGAAATTTCTTACTTTGTTTAGAACAGGTAGACTTGGTCCCTTCATCCTTGACGATGTCCCTGAAACTGAAACTGAGCCGTCCAATTCGAGACGAGTAGTAGCTTTGTAAAAATTGAAAGCACATTATGCGTGAAGCTTAAGATGATGATTTCTTTTTTGTTTTTCATTTGAGATTCAATTCAATGGCGTTGCTCCAGTAAAGTATTGAATGAACAAAATTGAATTCATAATAAGACTTGGCATACGCCAGAAACAATATAAAATCTATCTGCTGTTGTTCTCATTTGTTGGCTTCGATGAATTCTCGGTACTCTTTCTTCATCTTCACACCCGATATAGTCCTGCACACACTCGTAATCATTAGCCAAACATGGTCACAGCAATCTTGACAATCCTAAAGAATGAAAGAACACAGCCCAACCTGAGCATTTCCTTGTTCTTGAAGAACTGCACGCATGGTGTTCCCATGATTCCGGCTGCTTCAGCAATTTCTTGATCTTCCTCGATGTCAATCTCAACAAAATGCACATCATTGTTATACTCATCGACCACCTGAAACAACATGAAGATGAAAAAACGGACAAATGGTTAGAAAATCAGTCCAGCAAGCTGTGTAAGATATCTTCCAATAAATTTCATTTCGTACCTTGTTCAAAATAGGCTTCAGAGTTCTACAGGGGCCACATGTTGGTGATGTGTAGAGTACAAGTATAACTCTTGGACTCTCATGGTATAGTTTTCTAAGAGCATACTGAAAGCAGAGGAATACAACACAAGAAGAAAGATGTGAGGCATAGAGTCGATAATACGATAAGGCCCATATGTTAACAGAAAGAAAAGGGAAATAACCAACCTGTCCACGATGCTTTGTAGAAGTGATGTCAAACTTTTCTTGGACATCCCGCTGTGTGAATTCTTTCTTTGTCTCTTCAGTTTGAGGCTGTTCATGTGGTAGAACATGAAACAATGTAAAGTTTGTGAAGTGTACATAAGATTTCGGAATTTTATGAAAGAGTTGACATAGTACCTGGTGAAATTCGACGAGGAGATTGTTACTTGTGAGGTATCTCTCGGCTGACAAAGCAGCTATGCATCCTGATCCAGCAGCAGTTACAGCTTGTCTCCATTCATGGTCCTAGAGTGACAAATGGGAGAGTTAACACCAATATGACTTCAAAGAGTTAATAACCAATACCGAAAGATGGCTAATAAGTTCCAAAGCATATAACCTGCACATCTCCTGCAGCAAATACACCTTCAACTGATGTATTCGATGATCCTTCTTGAACCAACACGTACCCCGAGCTGTCGAGTTCGACTTGACCTTCCAGTAACTGACTGTTCGGCGAATGCCCTATTCCATAAAACAATCCTTTTGCCTCCAGCTCGGTTTCTTCACCCGTATCGAGTCTTCTGAGTAGAATGCCGGACATCTGTCCCTTGGTGTTGCTCAATACGTCCACAGTCTCCGTGTTGTAATGCACTGTGATGTTCGGATTGTTGATCACTCTGAAACATTCGCCATAACCAACCTGTTAAAAAAACACTCAGGGTGTTGAAAAGACTCAACTCACAGTGTGCTCATTAGTCTATAATTCCATAAACCAAGGTAGTAGATAGCGTTCGATTCACTTTCAATGGTACTCATAGCCAAACCTTTCGAAAATTTAATAGCATTCGACACATGCAACAAGCTCATAAATCCAGAAGACCATACAGTAACATATCACACAATTCTGATCCAATTTCAACTATTTTTCTTCAGAAGTCAAAAAGATTATAACTCAAGAGTTATAAAACATAAGAAACCGTAAGAACTCACCTATCTTGCATGGCCTTGGAGGCTCTCAATTGATCTCTGCGAACCAGTAAATGAACATGACGGGCATATTTCGTGAGGTACAAAGCTTCCTCCGTCGCTGTATCTCCACCTCCAACCACAGCGAGTACTTGACCTTTAAACAAAGGCGAAGCGCCATCACAGATTGCACATGCACTAATTCCCCTACTCCAGAATTCCTCCTCTCGAGGTAGTCTCAACCTCTTTGCTGTAGCTCCAGTGGCATAAATGATACTATGACACTTAACCTACAAAACCAACCCCAAATGACAATTATCAAATCTTGCATTCTCTATCTACTTGGAATTGAGAAAATGAGTAGTCACACAAAAGAAAGATAATCACCTTACGTTCACTAGTTTGCACAGTAAAAGGAGCGGTTTTGACACTAAGAGATTCAACATCTTCTGGATACAACTCTGCTCCCCACCGCTCAGCTTGCTTCCTCATTCTAACACATATTGTTCAGAAAATTGCCTCAGAAAAATGATCTCTCTTAGAGCTGCAAACTACGAAAGAATCAAAATTTCATAATCCTCACTTCTCCATTAAATCCGGACCCGTAATCCCGTCGGGGAATCCCGGAAAATTCTCAACCTCGGTGGTTGTCATCAACTGTCCGCCGGGAACTCCGCCCATCTGATACCCTTCGAAAACCACCGGCTTCAAATTGGCGCGCGCTGCATATATTGCGGCTGTATATCCGGCGGGACCGGAGCCTATAATCACTACATTCTCGATAATCTCGCCTGCAATTAGGACGTATAGGACCAACACAGAGCTCGATTACTTGTCCTCTTCACTCAATCAACAAGCAAAAGAGAGGAAGTACTAAAATACCTGAAGAAGACGGCGAATTGGCGGCGGCGGAGACTCTGAGGCGGAGAGAATCGGAGCGAGTTCGGGTTGGTTGGCGGAGGACGAAGGAGGAATCTCGACGTGCAGTAGTAGTGAGAAAGAAGAGATGAGGTGGAGGAGAGAGGGCGGATGACGCGGCGGCGACTCGGTGAGTCGAGACGGAGCCGATTCCGATGCCAATCCTAGGAGAGGAAGCCATTTTTGCCTTACCTTACAGAGACCATACAATTGTCTCCTTTGCAAAGTTCAAAAATCCTCCATTTTCTGTTGGCGACTGTGCCATACGCGCCACAGCATTATCTCTTCGCTCTTAGTCCACAGGCTTAGATGATTCTCAGCCGTCAGATCTAAGACAGACCTCTTGATAAAACGTATGAACGGTGTAGATGTGTGTTGACTGATTTTACTTCGTCTTTTCAACTGGAGGATAAGCCAATCGCATTTAAGTGTTAGCTGACCATGAGTTTAAGTGGACGGACGCTTTTAGCCTTTTTTTTTTCAATTGGGCCATAAATGGGCCACATTTGGTCTGCCGTATTTAAGTGGAAGCTTTCTTCTTCTTCTATAAGCTATTTTTGTTTTAGTTTGCTCATATATAAAGACCAAAATGTTAGAGATTTATAGGAACGTGAAATAGTGAAATGACATGTAGCTCGAGAACTTCAATCGCAAACTTTCTTTTTCGTATTGAGCATACAAAATACAGACATACAGTAAACCAACACACGCAATTTATTAGGGTCATTGATTATTCTTTCTTTTCAAAAAATAGAAAGCAAACAATGTTACTTGAAACCAAGATAACTAGACGACCAATAACAAACGAGATGCGAAGGGTTTTGATTTATTTATTCCGATGATGCTAGTATACGTTTGAAGTGAAAATCAAACTTAAGAGTTGGTGAGGGAAATGACAGACTATTGCCATATAAGTCAAGTAGGTTTGTTTTTCTTCTCCTCGGTTTCGTTTCTGTAAGAATATTAAAAGCTAAGGCGTGCATATAAAAGAGTAATATATTACAGTCAAGAAAGTTAAGGTGACCAAAAAAGAGCGGCCCAATTAAAAGCAAGTTTTTTCTTTCTTAGTTTGGTGTTCGTGTCTGAATTCCATGCACTTGTAGTTCATTAAGTCAACAAATGTACTTTCATTGAAATTAAGATTGTGTAGATTTGTTATTAACGTTACTCTATTATGGGTTTAAAAAGGAAAAACGTCATTTGGTTTGTCATTTTTCATTTGACGTTTGTAAGTTTTGTGTTTTTTCTAAAAATATATTGTGTATTGTAAATGTTTAACTCACCTTTTCAGTATGTTACCATCTTTACAAGTAAGATCCGCATTCAACATCCAAGCGATATTTGTCCAAACGGCTGCAAAAGTCTTGAATTTGAGCTCCAAAAGAGCTACATATCAAAGTAGGCTAGATTGAAGTTTTATGATCTTTTTAGGGTTCAACATACGAAATAACATGAATCTTCCTATTTAGTTTTCTATTTCTCTCTTCTGGAGACGCGTGGATTTTACGCGCCGTAGAAGGAAAATTGTCGGCAATCCCTTCAAACGCCAATAGATAGATGACTTGGATGGAAATGCATGAGTGTTAGGCTTTGACCAATTGAGATCTAAAGGTAATTCTGTTCCTTTCTTGCATTACTTTGACTTGAGAAAACGACATTAACTTCAATTACTTTTTGATGTCATGCAAGAAAAAAAGAGACTTAACTTTTATTCCATGTCCATAAACCATTCTTAAATCTTAATTTGATGTAAACAAAAAATAGTTGTCGTAAAATCTGCCAGTCGCGTACACAATATACCCACCTCCAAATATGCCAGCCTGCTATATAACAAAAACATCAGAATTTCTTCTATAAATTAGGTGACTATTAAGAAACCCTAGACTTAATTATGATCAAACTGACCGTGATGAATTATCATTTTGTGACTTTTCATTCCGATCAATCGAGATTCTTTCTCTTACTCTTTCTACACACGTAACTACATTGTTTAAAGAAAAAATATTACTCCTATATTGGAATCACTTGAAATAGAATTGAAGACAAATAAGTTAAGGTGTTGAAAGTAGAAACATACAAAGCATGAAAAGTCAAAAAGCTAGTCATCAAATTTGAAAAAAAGAAACAAGATAGATACCTAATACTCGATTAATCATGAGGGTAAACAAAATCTTACAAAGAGGTAAACATGATAAATAATATGCATAATAATTTGCATTCATTGTTTATGTACATTGATAGTACCACCACACCTAAAGCGGGTCCAAACTAGTTGCTTCATATCACAATATCCAATTTTACCAACTGATATAGATATGTAATTCTATATTCACACGTATATCTCGTGACTCCTAATCGTTTTCTTTCGTACGTCTAATCAAACGCACACACGTTACAACTTACAACTTAAAATATTGTACAATACAGCTCGGTTGGTAAAAGCAACGACTAAGGTTATTTCTCTGTTAAATATAAAAGGAATATCATTTATACAAAATTTAACCCAAATGTCATTAGCTAAGCCGGATAGAAAAGTATGATCGATGATTGGTTTCAGACCTGGAAAGGCTAACTTTTTTTGTTTTTTTTTGTTTAAGTTCAAATCCAAATAGAAAGTAAGTATTATGCAAGACAATTTATATAATACATATAATTCATCATGTGGATATAATTAAGGCGAATGTTCCTTGAAAATGGTTCAAAGTATTGCTATTCTTGTCTCAACCACTTAATTAAACTAAACAAACGTCTCTTTCTCCCTCTGTGGAGTTGTGTTACGTCTTTCTGGTTTGAGATCTTTGACTACTTTGCTCTCTTCAAGAAATAATACTTCTCGTAAATTAATGGAAGATGCTAGTGATCATTTACGGCTTAACGCTAACATTATCGACGAGGAGGAGGAGGAGGGTTTTCCGTTGGAGTTTATGATCGGAAAACAAACATCCACGGCGGAGCTACAGCCGCCACCGCCGCCATTCTTGTTGAAGACATACCAAGTGGTGGAGGATCCGACAACGGACGAGGTTATCTCTTGGAACGGAGAAGGAACCGGATTCGTCGTGTGGCAGCCTGCAGAGTTCGCTAGAGATCTGTTACCAACACTTTTCAAGCATTGCAACTTCTCTAGCTTCGTTCGTCAGCTCAATACTTACGTACGTATAAGCTCCATTGTTTTTTTTTCCAATTAAGTAAATGAATTTTTTATACTTGTGTTTTATTATTTTCATATTTGCATGTGAATTTGGTAATGAGTGGTTACAAAATATTATAGGGGTTTCGGAAAGTAACGACAATAAGATGGGAGTTTAGTAATGACATGTTTCGAAAGGGGCAAAGAGAGCTTATGTGCAACATCCGAAGAAGGAAGAGTTGGTCACACTTACATGCACACAACAAGTCTCATCAGGTTGTACCAACGACAACAACGACGACGATGAAGCAAGAAGATCATCATCAACGGCTTGGGATTGATCATAACCATGAGGATCAACGGTCTTCCTCCGCTTCATCCTCCTTTGTATACTCTGCTTTGCTAGACGAAAACAAGTGCTTGAAGAATGAAAACGAGTTCTTGAGCTTAGAACTCGGGAAGACAAAGAAGAAATGCAAACAGCTTATGGAGTTGGTGGAGAGATACAAAGGAGAAGGCGAAGAAGAAGACGAAATCGATGATGATGATAATGAAGATGAAGGGCTTAAGTTGTTTGGTGTGAAACTGGAGTGACGCAGATCGTTAGATTGATTTGCCTTGCCAGCTTCTCACAAGTTTGCATATAAATACACTCTTAAAGACATGCAAGATCAAAACAAGATTTTGTGTGGTATTGATGAAGACTCGTGTTCAAAACATGGTGTACAATACTGCATTGTGTGTATATAGATAGAGAGACATTAATAGTACAGTTTCTCATATATTTGCCATATATACAACTATTTTGGGTTATGTGTGTTGAGTGATCCCATCTCTCTCTTTGGGGTGTGGTCATGAAGGGTTTTGGTTATGTAAGCCGCAATAACGATTTCACTGGTTATGAGTTAGCTGCAAAATGGTTGAATATGGTCTCAAGTGTAGACTGACTTATACTGTATTCAGCTATTCCCAACCGATTCCTGCCATATCAAGGAGCAAATTTCTTTCCTTAGACTTACAAAGACTGTAAATTGTGCGAATCATGGAGACGAAACAGTTATAAGAAGAAAGTCTTACCGGTTTCGTTCAAGGTGTCCAAAGGCATCTGCAAGTGACAATCCTCCTTCTCCAAATGGCAACTGCAACAGAGTCCATTGAAAAGATTTGAGTACAAGACTAAAGAGTAATCCCAGATCTCCAATAGAGTAGCAACGGATTTCGTCTTTGCTTTACCTGGTATTTAATGCTCAATCCGTTGCAGCTCTTGAAAGTTGCACCTGGAAACGAAGACTGTATGAAAGAATCCAACGCTGAAAACTTTTCTTTGGTTAGCCACCACTCGGCAAAGATTGGCAGTGGAATACCACCTGTTCAGCATCAAACCGACAAAACAGATATTGGTGTTACCAGTCTTGAAACAAGGAAGAATCTAAAAACGTACGTGGGACGTGTGCTCATACCATCTCGAAACAGTTGTTCCGATAACTGTTCATTGAATCGAACATCTTCCTCAGGCATGGGAGATACTAAAGTATTCACTCTCTGCTCATTACCAAGATACTTGGCAATGCTTTGTATCATGTCTTGTGACAAACTGATTTCTGATGCTGAAGCTGTATCAGGAGTAATAGAGTCAGAGACACCGATACAAACTTCGAGATCACCAAGGAAACTTCTAGGCTGCGAAGGGAAGTTAAACAGCCACTGCTGAATCAATTGACAAAAGTTCTCCAAGTCCACATGGCTGACTTCCTCTGGTTTGACCTAATTTGTAAGACATACAACATTGTGCATAAGCTTTGACAAATGATCCTTCCTACCATTGAAACAAAACACCATTGAACCAAATCTTCTTTACCTCTAACTCAAGGTGGTTTCCGAACCGCGTCTTTAAGTGTTGTGGACTTCCTATGCATCTTAGGCGGCCTCCAACCTGAGAAATTTGAGGAGTGTGGTTCTGTGAGGTGGGCACATATAAGGAATTAGCGTCCTAGGGATTTCAAATGGAGTTTAACAGATACCATGATCCCCATTCTAGTGCAAAGCGCTTGAGCTTCATTCATGCTATGAGTAGTCAGAATGACCGCTGTCTTTCCATTCCTAGTCGACAAGCGGGATATCACATCCCACATGAATCTTTTGGCAACAGGATCCATACCTGAAACATTTAGCAAAAACTTTATAGAGTAGCTAAAGAACAGAGAGGAAGCCCACGTTAGTAATTTTAAATGGTCAGGCAAGTGATACCTGTAGATGGTTCATCAAGGATGACTATGGGAGGATCTCCAATCATTGCAATAGCAACAGATAGTTTGCGCTTGTTTCCGCCGCTAAGGGTGAACGATGGCTTGTGAGAATGTTTCAATATGTCAAACTCGACTAACTTTTCCATAACCACCTGTTATTTTATAATACACATCAGTCAATCTCCAATTTAGCAACTTCCACTAAATAAAAGACCTAGTTAGTTGTAATGCAAATTTTATCTCAGACGGTAGAGAAGGATGGTTTTGTTAAAATGTTGTGTAGGTAGGTTAACTTAGCCAAAAACATATTTTCTCTGTCACAAACGAAAGCGGAAAGTGACACTCTGGTACGTAAGCGAGTATGCTACTATCGGGGAATCAAATAACTCATCAGGCCTTTAAGCAAGCATTGACCATTAGTTCCTAATAAATACCACTTACCTTATCAATTTTATGATCAACTACTCCTTTGATCCTTGCATAAAGTTCAAGGTGTTCCTTCACAGTCAAATAGTCGAATAAAGCATCGAACTGGGGGCAGTAGCCAATCTAGTACGAAAGTCAAAAGAACAAATTTAACATTCAAGTTTCATTTTATAGACTCAGTGAGATTGGTAAAGTCAACGAATTGACATACATGCTGACGGATAGCTTTGGGACTCGCTACTATGTTTTTGCCAAAGACAAAGGCAGTTCCACTAGTTGGGGTTTCTTCTCCTGTTGCACCCAAAATGGTGAGAATAGTACAGTGCTATTGCCTCAGAAGTTGCAGCTTTTATTTAGCGGTCTCAAAAGTGTTGAAGATAACAGCTCTGAGAATAGTTATTCTAATTTCCAAAGACCAAAGAAGCACAACATACCAGATAACATAGACAAGGTAGTAGTCTTCCCAGCTCCATTCGTCCCTAAAAATCCGAAACATTCTCCCGCTTGGACGGAGAAAGTCAAAGACTGTACAGCTACTTTTGGGCCGTGGTGTTTACAACCAGGATAGACCTGAAACAGTTGTACTCTTAAGAAAAAGAGAGGATAATTCTGTTAACACTTGGGTAAAGAGCAGACTTCCATACCTTTCTCAGGTTCTGTAAGTAGAAAATGGTGTTTTCTGTCAACCCTGAAATCACCCTGTTTTTTTCCTCTTGCACGTCTATGTCATCCTCCATATCAGAGGAAATGGCTCCAGTTGAATCCTTGAGAAGTGGCTCTGTAGAACTAGACGCAGCACCTTGCTTGAAAGGTTTGAAGCTCTGCCACCAGTCCCCAACGGAGAAAGACATCATCTTTTGGACAGGCAAGAGCTCAAGCCCAAGCGTCACAAGGAAGTAGAATATACTCTGCCAAATACAAGTTCAGTCAGATGAGAAGCGCCACTACCACTATGGTACAAATTCACTATATTTTTTGTGTAGATCCCATGACGAAATAACAACAGTAACATAAAGGCAACCTCAATATTCCACCTTTATCCAGAAAAATGAAATCATTGACACTTAATGATGGATCCATTTCTCAGGTTTTCTAAAAAGTAGGATAAACATGTCGAAGAAAAGGGAAGAGTCTAACCTCCAAACCTAGGTAACATATGGACGCTCCAGTGACATTCCAATCAAACACCCCACGACTGGATTCGTCTTTCATACCCTGCCTTATAAGAGCTAATGAAGCCAACCCATCAGAGAAGCAAAATCCTGGTGATAATCTGAAGAAGTTCTGTAGAAGCATAAGGAAACAAAGGATCAGTTCCTAGTTCTTTCAAGGCTCACGGAGGTTAGGAAATCAGAAGAACCCACACCTTTAGATATGAGTTTGCACTAGCAGTCGCTGGAATAAGGCCCATAATAAATGAGATAACCATAAGGATAAGACCAGAGAAGAAGTGGAGCATAAGAATAACATTCTGCGATTACAACAAAGCATCCGTCCATCAGTCAAAAACATTCAACATTATGAAGTAGCTAGAGAGAGGAAAAAGAAAAAGCAAATAACGATATGGCTAAAAACACAGAGTTGTTGGAAGTTGCCTGAGCCATGCTATGCTCGGTGAAGAAAAATGTAAGACAGTACGTTGATGATGCAATTGCCAAGCCATACTCCAGGAGCATAATAACAGTCGGCAGAAGCCGACCTATTCCGATAAACTGCTCGAGACCTAAGGAAAGGAAAGAAATCAACCATCTCAGTAAGCTAATACTAAAGTAAAGTGAAACAGAAGTTTAAATGCAAATGGAAATGAAAGACTAACTTACCAAAAGCGTAGAAGAGGATTATTGCAAACGTTGACGGAAATAAGAAACTGATGAAATCCCATACGTATGTTGATAACCAGTATGAAAGGACAGAAACCTGCAAGCCATAAAAGAACATAAGGTAATATTACAAGGATTATAGTAAGAACATGGGACTGATTCCATGCTTGTTTATGGTACTCCAGAAATTTTCCAGAGAAAAGTTTACCCCACTAATAAGCTGTTGATGCTTTGCCTTCACCTCCCGCTCCTGAATAAAATACATATAAATATTCAGAACAAACCACTGGAAAAGTAGACGGATAGCACTAAACAAAAGCCTTCTAGCAAAACTATTGTGAGGTTTGATCTTACATACATACCTTAACAATGGGAACAGCAAAAGAGGCTGGGATGAACGAGAATGCAATGTTAACAATAATTGCAGCGGAAAACGCATCCAGATCCTGCATTAAAAAGAAAACAATATTGAGACGGGGAGACAGGGACAGTAGAATCAGATCTTTAGTGATAATCAGTTTCCATTATGTCTCCAGCTACAGACTTTTCAATTGTTTCAATCTTAGTTCTCAGTTACTGATAATCAGTTCCACGGATCCCATTAACTCTAACTTATCGCTACTGAATATAGTTCGATATAATAAATTTGATACCGCAGAAAGGGAAACTACTACAAATCGATAGACATACATGACGCTGTGTTTGCTGACTTTTTGTTGGGGGCAAAGGATGGTTTCGGGTTTGAATTATCATATTCTTGTTACCAGTAGCAAGTCGGAGAATCGCAGCATTCATAACATTGATGTAGATTGGACCAGCATGCTGACAAGTACTGTTGTGTAACACGGTGTATCCTAAACTCCCATCTGGATACTGACCATCCATCAAAACTGCCCCATACCTAAAGAGACAGTCACGGGTAGCACTTAGCAAAGTCAGTACATATCATAGTACAATGTAACATTTTCAAAGAGGTCATCAAAATCAGAAAATAAAATGGCAAAGAAAATCATATACACTTTTAAAAATATTCATTCGAACACATGCATCTTTTAGAATGGCAGAAATCGATGCGATACAAAAGGGCCTTCCAAATTTAAAG